GTGAAATCTCACCTCTTCACCTAAAATATATTTTTGTCTGATTTACACTCATTACGATGAAGTCATGACAAATCATTTCCTATGTTGTTGTCAAAATGTCATGTTGTCTCATTTTTTCAGAGAAGTTAAATAACCTGGTGACATGGTGACATAGTGACACCCTCAGTTCTTCAAAAATAATTCATAAGTGCCTTCCTCCTGCTGTGTTGTCAAAATGTCATGTTGTCTCATTTTTTCAGAGAAGTTAAATAACCTGGTGACATGGTGACATAGTGACACTGAAAAAATTAAATTTGGATTGAGTTTAAAAATTCATATTTATTAAATTCATCTCTTCCAACCAATTTATTTATTCTATTAAATTCTTTTATTTTTGCTTCACTCAGTTTAATGATTGAACGATAAGTTTCTAATTTTTCGATTATTTCTTTATTGTTTTCAACCCCACCACATTGCGGCTTCTTTTTGTAATAGCATATTTTTGATTTAATTCTGTTTAGTTTCTTTTTATATTCATCGTCTGGACTCTTGGCTGCTTCGTTGTCACTCATTTCTTACGAATTAAAAAAATTAAATATTATTTAAATATAATGGGTAATAAAATAAATTGGAATTTCTATTAATTTATTGTCAACTTCAACTAATGCATTGCCGTTAATATATCTAACAAATTCAGCTATTGTGTCAAATCTTCGTCTTCTTTTTGTCATTGATTTATCAGTTTTTCCATAATCGAGATGAATCAAAACTTTATCCCCTTGTTTAAAATTCATGAGCCCCGAATTAATTTGTTCACGTTTAACATCATTCAACCTTTCCATTTGCTTTCTAATATATTCCCATTCTTTTGAAATATCATTTTTCATTTCCACTGGTTTCATGTTTATTGTTCTATGCCATGTATTATTGTAATAATATACTAACTGTTGTATGATGGAGTCATGATTTCCATCCCAGTATATCTGACCGTTAACCCCTAACGCATCTCTAAGAGTTCTCATTACCGCATCAACTATTTTATTATGAAACGTATATGGAGAGGATGAAAAGAAAAAATTAATTTGTGGGAAATAATGAGTCATAGTTGCCTGAAATCCTTTATCACCATCACCCCTGATATTATCTACTCTTTCATGATCTAGTAAGTATTGAATAGCTCTTCTTGTTTCCTGTTCTGTTTTCCCTTTCACTGGAATGCAATATAAATATCTAGTGTTAATGTTAATTGCGAATAAATAAGTAACGTTTCCTTTTGAATATTCTAAATGATCGATTTCGTATGAATATGGATATGGTGCAAATGAAGGGCGACTAAATTTTTCCTTTAACGGTTGAATTTTTGGGTCAGTTGGTTTATTTAATATTTTGAAATACTTTTTAAAATCTTTTTGCTTCTTTAATGTTTGAAATGGATATAATAAAGTGAATGATGAAGGATTAACTGAAGGAGGAGGCGGTACTGTCGTTGGAGGTTTTGGTGTTGCAAGTGGTTTAATTTTATCTGCTTTGATTTTGGATTTCATTCCCCCCTTCATTAATTCTGGATGTATTCTATTCATTTGTTTTAAATATGCTGTATATAAAGGTTTGATATACTTTCCCGCTTCGAGTTTATGTTGAAGGATGAATTCCAAAAGTTGATCTTCATTTAAAAGTCGGGCTGAATATGGTTTAACTAATGAATCATAAATTAAAGCTTGTGCTTCATTTATGGTCTGAAGGACCTGGGCGTTTTGCACCTTTAGCTGTTGAACATTTGGCTGTTGAACATTTGCTACTTTAGACCTCGGCTTTGGCTTTTGTGGCTCAGGATTATATAAATTATATAATCCATCAATATCTTCTTCTGTTAATACTTTATTTTTGAAATCTTTCAACTGTTTAAGTTGTGATTTAGTTTTTCCCTTTGTATATTCATTATTTTTAATTTTGTCTTTAATTTCAGAAATTATTTTATTATGATATTTCAAAATTTCATTTTTATAATATGGATAATAATATTCCATATCATCACCCGTTATATTATTATTATGTTTTTGGAGATATGATTTTAATTCATAATAACTAAGAAAATTTTGATTAAGTACTAAATCATCAATTAAAATTTTTAAATCTGTGTTATCCATTTATATAAAAAAAAATAAGTGTTTTAAGGGTGCCCACCTCTTTGAATCATAGTATCAAAACCATCATTAACGGTTCCTTTTGTCTCTTCTGTGGCATTTCATTAAAAATAAAATTTTAAATTGTATTAAATAAATGGCATACAACATCCATTTTCACAACATACAGCCTTAGTGTGTGCTCCTGTTAATGCAGTCTTACCGATTGTTAAGCGAGTCATTGACCCGTTTTTAAGTTGTAAATTAATATTCTGACCATCAAATATCAATTTATCATTTATTATATCCAAATAATTTTTAGGTGTTAATTGCTTATTTTGTCGTAAACTAACACCTTTCACTTTTTGTGCAATCTTTTTAAAATCACTTCCATCAATTGAACCGTTGAATGATGTATAACACTTAGGACATAAAGCAACCATGTTATCACCTTGTTTCTCAATTGCTAAACCAATAATTTTTTCTCATGTGCTTTTTCTTCAGCTTTATTCTTTAATTTAGGTTTAAATTTCTCATCAAAACAAAAGAAATCAAAAGGTGCGAATTTGAAAATGTTTTTATCATAAAATTGTTTATCGGTAACAATTGCTTGAAATGCTTGAGTGTTAGGAAGATTTGGGTCGCCAGCGATTGCCCAATAAGATGAATCAGTATCACCTTCAATGAAATGAAAACGATTAACATTCATGCATTTATACATAAAATCATAAATGAAAACCAAATACCAGTATTTAGCATTATCTAAAGTGAAGAATGCCTCTTGTAAACATGTATCACATCTATAAAATCTATCTTTAAGCATCACTTGATATGTATCTTCACCTATTTCTCTTATGTTTTAAACTTATTTGACATACATGCAACGCGTGCCTTCTGTGCATTCATTATTTTAGTCTTTGCGTAATTTTGTGTATTCATTGCATCGTAACCATATGATCCATTAAGTGAAATTTTGCAAAATAAACTTTTTCCTTTATTTCCTTCTAATTCAGCCTTTTGTCTTTCGTTCATAAATTCGTTCGCAAATTCATTAAAACAAGTGTTTTTCGTAAATGTTAAAATTGATTGAATATCATCAATGATAAAATGAAATCTGTCGATTAGATACCAAAGATAATAAGAAGAAAATGGTTGATATTGGTTGTGTGTTGATGCTAACTGAGTTAATTTCTCTGTTTCTGGTCAACTGGTAGATTGTTTGATTTCATGTAATTATACATAAAACTGCCAATTGTTTTTTCATCTGTGATAATATCTAAGTTTCTTATTATCGGTAAAAAGTTTATGTAATCATTAATGTATTTTTCATCAATGTGACCCTTTACTTCAGCCACGAATAAAGTATTTTTCTTCTTAATTATTCCCAGTGCTTTTGCTTTCTTTGTTGCTGTATCACAAATGATAACACCATTCAATCTTCCCGGCATATACATTTTATGGTCAGTATATTGAATGAAATCATGAGGATTAGATGAAAATGATGAAGGATATAATGAATTAAAATCAACACCAACGAAATGAGTCATAATGTTGGTGGTGTCCTCATTTGATACAGTTTTAGTTTCTGGATTATATGAAAGTTTATTAATGTGCGTGATTCCTTTAAGATTTACTCTATGTTGAACATTTGATAAACCACCAGTAATTCCATTACGGAGAATGTGATAAGCTTCAACTGAATCTAAAGTCATTGGTAAATTATTTTTTAATGCGTAATTTCTTAAATTGATTCTTAAACGTTGAACATCTTCATCTTTATTTGATTTTACGACATTGCAATAACAACACATTAACTGACAATTTTCTTTGGTATGTGGTTTTTCATTATCGATTCTATCCAATGTTGGTTTATTTGCATATGTAAACGCTTTACCACACATTTTACATTTAGATGAAAGGATTAAATCGTGATAGTATTGAAAATCATCCATTGAAACATTATTTTTAGTATCCCTTTCTGCTTTTTCATCTTGTTTCTTATATGATTCAATTTTATATTTCCAATACTTTTTCGTTAATTCAAAACTTGATTCTATCTCTTCCTCAGGATATTTTTCATTAGGATTAAAGTTTTTATATGCTAAAGCGTAACGAATCATTGAAGCATTCGATGATAAAGAAAGATTATGAAGCATGTCAATTTTATAAACAAATGTTTCTTCAATAATTTTATCAATTGGGTCAATCATAATTTCAACATCTTTATTGCAATAATGAATAAAATATTCTAATCTATTCTTAAAATTTTTAGCATCATTGAGATATATTTGATAATCAGTATCTGATATAGTTTCTTGGGTTAATGCTGAATAAAATGAATCTTTCGTGAATGGTTCCTCTTTATATAATTCTTCTTCGTAATTTTCCCACGTGATGAATTGATAAGGGAAAAAGGATTTAACACGTGATTTATTGTTTCCGAAATCTTGAGTGAATTGGTCTAATGTCCACCCGCTATATAATTTCTGATGTCAATAAATCTCAATTCATATGGAACGTTTGTTTTCTTTACAATGATTTGCTTAAATTGTGAAGATGAACACAGCATTGATTTTATTTTCCATTTTGCAGTGTTTAAATCACGAAGAATTAAATTTAAATCAAACTTTCCCGATTAAAACCTATGATATTCACTTTATTGAATTCCTCATCTAGAAGTTCTTTAAATGCTTCCTTCTGTTTTTCATTTAATGTATGAGACAAAGTCCCCGCCGTTTGCGGCTTCATTAATTCTTCATATTATTCAATATTTGATTTAGCAACTAATGAACAGGTTGAAAATAAAAACTCAATCCAATCAGAAATAAAAGAATCACTCGAAGTTAAGCAAAAATTCCTCGTATATGTTTTATCATTTAATTTAACCGTTGATGATACCATGAATGGTTTTAAGTAAGCGTTCAAAGTTGCACACTCAGAAAGTTGTAATTCTTCTTTAGTCTCTAATGTTTCAAAGTCAAAAGTAATATAATATCTTGTCGGTTGATAATATTCCTGCAAATTATGAGCTAATAACCACTGATATATCTTCTGTTTCGTAATATGTGGTGCATATGGTTGCTGGGTCTTTTGCAATTGAACGTCTTGAATTAATCTTCCATTATTTTCTTTACATTTCTCACAATGCTTTAAAAATCTTCTTTGGTTTTTCCTTTCTGGATCATCACGGATAGAATAAACTTCTTCTTTACAATATGGACAAACTCTATAGCCGGTGAGTGCTTCAACGTCTGTTATTCTGTCAGCGTGAAGTTTTCCACATGGACTCTGTGTTAATAAAATATTTACTGTTTCAAATTCTGGATCTATCATTATTGAATCCACTAATGGAAAGTCTACCTTATTTATGTCCACGTCTTCTGGTTGAGGATCACAATAATAGAAATCAATATTAACATTTAACATTCTCGCTAATCTCTCACTTTCTGATGAAATGTCAAACCCTTCATATGAATCTATTGCTTCATTTAAATAACTTCTACGAGTTTTAGGATTAACACCATCAGGAATGTTATAGAAGCGTTTAAATAACCTTCTACCTTCTGCTCTAATTTGATTATCATTCATTTTAGCTGTTCCGTTTTTGTTCATTTATGTAAGAATAAAAAATTAAAAAATAAATAAAAATAAAGTTTATTTTTTAAAGCCCATAAAATGAATTAAGAACACATAAATTTTTATCATCTGCGACGTGACGAATACATTTTAATTTACTCAAGAATGCGTACCCTGATACATTAAATCTAATTCCTGTCTTATTTAATTTCACAACTTTGAAAAGGAATGTATGAATAGCTATAAAATGATGAGAAGATGTTTTATGGGTTGCTTCCATTTTTTCTGAAATAAATGAATAAATATAATGTTTATAAGTTTTCATATCTTTTATGTTCTTAATAACGAATGGTATAGCCCTTTCCACTTCGTCTTCCTTCGGTGCTGTTCTTTCATATGAAACATTATTGGTATCTTCAATAATGAAACCACAATCACACAAAATTTTATAGGTTCCAGTGGTTTCTTTTGATATTTTATCTAATAAATCAAAAACTTTATCAACACCTGTGCATTTATTTAAATAATAATTTGTGTAAATATCATGATCTTCTTTCTTAATCGTATTAGTTGCATATGTCACATTTTAAGAGCTTTTTTGAATTTTTCGGAATCTAAAGGTGGTGAAAGTAGGATACAGGGGTATTCTTCATTATCAATAAATTGTAACTTATGTTTACGAATAAATTTAGTACCTTCTTCTGAAAGTGTTTCGTCTATTTCACCATCTAATAAATTTTGTGTTGATTCTGAGACATAATTTTTATATCTTTCTTCATGAGATTTCTGAACTTCTGATTCTGAAGCTGGGATATTCATTAAATCCTCTACTTCATTTTCATTATATTTTTCAACTTCTCTTAATTCCTTAATTTTTTCATCTATTTCATCTCTTATTTTTTTCAGTCTTTCAATTTCAATTTCATCGTATTCATCATCTTTAATCCGTTCTTCATAATATTCAGGGAAAACATCAGGTTCTTTTGGTTTTTCTTCTTCAGATGTAGGATATAAGAAATTTATAACATCATATCTATTCATTTTTCCATCATAATCTAAATCATTTAATAACTCAGCAAATTTTTGACAATTTCTTAAATAATATTTACTAACTTCATAACACATCTCATCTAATATATCCTTTATTTCCTCATTTGTGAATCCCAATTTTTTAACGTCGTTAGTCTTGACGCTCATTTCATACAAAATAAAAATAAATTATTCAAAAATGTAAGACATGAATTTTTAAAGTTTATTTTTTTATTTTTTATTTCATTCATGAAAATAATTATTTCTAATTTCTTTTATTCTCTCGTACATACTAGATTTGAAGAATTCGGAACTTTTACCATAATCTCCTAAATGTTTTCTTATCCCTAACGTGTGCCAGTTATTATATGAAACTGAATAAACTTTATCTTTATCTTTGCATCTTTCATCACTTCCAATATATTTATATCTCAGTTTTGATTTAGCATTTTCATATTCATTAGCGTTTAATAATTCACAGTCTTCCTTTTTAAATTGATGTTTAAGATATTCAGGATTTAATACTCTACGTTTATATGCTCCTAACTTAGTTCTAAAGGTTTTTCTACAAAATTTAGGAATTCCATCCTCTTTAATGTCATCAATGATTTCCATTTCATTATTTTCAATTTCTTCTTCTCGTTTATGAGGTCTTTGATTATGACTCCATTGATTCCATGAAATTAAATATTCTTTATCATTATATTTATACCTCATTAGCTTATTTTGGCTTTCATATTCATTTAATAATTCACAATCTTCATTTTTAAATTGAAGTTTAACCCATTCAGGATTTAAACAATGTTTAATTAATCGCGGAATATCTGACATCATCTATATATAGCTTCTTTTATAAAAGATAAAAAAATAAATTATTTTAAAATTAATGTTAATTTTTTAAAATGTGTTTAGTATATAATATTTATTACTAATTTATTTAATAATGTCGCGCTTTCTTACGAATTCATGACTTAAAAAACGTAAGAAAAAATTTTTATATCATCTATATATAGAAGATGTGAAAATATACCTTCATCTATATATAGACGTAACAAAAAAAGTCACACACCCCTTCCTATCCTACTACTACAAAATGAAATGAATTTTCAATTAACTTTCATATCAAAATATGTTCTTACAGTATATGAGCTGATTTTCTCGGCCAAAAGTTTAATAGAATCAAAACGCTCTCCCCTTTGAACATATTGCAAATTTTTCATAAAATTCTATTTTGTAACAGAAAACTCTCAGATGATACATATTAAAAAAAGATTATGAAGCTTATCCCTTATAATAGAACAATCGAAATGCAACATTTGTTCCGCTGCAACGATTTGTATAGTTAAATCAATATAAAATGGGATGTAAGCTTTATTTATCATTTATAACGATTCTATCTTCATGTGAGTTAAATAGAATAAACTTTATCCTAGGAATCATTTTGATTTAGAGACGGCGACCACGGCGACCACCCTTCCTGCGTGTAGAGTCGTGTGGGAGTGGTGTAACATCCTCGATACGGCCAATCTTAACGCCAGCACGAGCGAGGGCGCGGAGGGCGGATTGAGCGCCCTGGGCTGGGAGGCGGCGGGATGAGCCACCTTCACCGCGGAACTTGATGTGAACGCCATCAACGCCGAGCTCTTTAAGACGAGCAGCGACGGCCTGAGCGGCAAGCATAGCAGCGTATGGTGTAGCTTCATCACGCTGAGCACGAACAGCGATACCACCTGTGCAGCGAGCGAGTGTTTCAGAGCCAGAAAGATCTGTAACGTGAACAAATGTATCGTTCTTGGAAGCATAGATGTGAGCAACACCCATAACGATTTCGCCATCACGCTTAACTGGGCCGAGCTGGACATCCTTCTTGGATGTTGCGGCGGCTGCCTGTTCGGCTGCAGCTGCCTGTGGAGCTTGTTCTAGAGCAGACATTATAAAAGACCAGAACAAAAACCGCCGACGATAGAAATTCTTTGGCAGGCTTGAGTTTGAATTCAACGATTTTGTTGTTTTCATAATATAAACAACTAATATTTGCATTTAAAAAGTTGTTATCGAAAAATCATTTGGATATCTGTAAATCAACACGGACATACACTATTTAATTAATCAAACATATGAATTGAGATACAATGGAATTCAGTATTTCACTCAGAAGCCATTCTGTTCAGATAGTTTTGATATCAAAAATATCACTTACATGGCTTTATTAAACATATAAAAAACATCAAAACTCATAGTAGAAAAACATTCTAGTTTGTCAAACAGAGCCATATACCTTATTCAGATCAAAAAACGAAATTCTTGCAAATAACAAATGGAATAGTAATCAAAATTAATAACAAATGTTTAATAAAACAACAATACAATTAAATACTTTATTTGAGAGTCATTTTCTCAAATACACTTCCATACACATCATGAACTGCCAAATTTTTAACAATTCCAACGCGGTTGGCAAATTTAGCAGTTGTTTCCCACTTTTTACGATCTCGCTCGATATTAATCAGCTTAATTTTGAGTTTATTCTTTTCTTCATCGTATTTAGCTTTGAATGCTTCAACATCAAATTGCTTAGCCGATAATTTCGCAATTTCATCTCTGAGAAGAACATTAGTTGTTTCAAGATTATCATTTTTAGCTTGCTCTGCTTCGAGCTGACTTTGAAGTTCTTGAACTCTTCGCTTGAGCTTAGCATTTTCATCTGATAATCCTGAAACAGATTTTTGCAATGAACTTATTGTATCTTGAGCATGTGAATGATTGGATTGTGTTGATGCAATGGTTTCTTCTTTAGAAGCATTGTCTGATTGAAGAGTTTCAATCTGTTTCTTCTTCTTATCAAGCATTTCATTTGCAAAATCTAAAGATGCCCGAAGTTCCTGATTCTGCTTCTGAAATTCATTACATTTAGATGTGATTAGTTTATGCTGGTCCTTCAGGATTTTATGTTTTGAAAGCTTTTGTTGGATTCTATCATTCTCTGTTTGAATAGCTTCAATTCGGAACTCCATTTCTTTCAGCTGGATTTCAAGTTCTTTGTTTCTCTTCCTTGTAGCTTTGATCTTTTGTTTTTGCTTATATGCAATTTCTAATAAATCATTATATTTAGCTTTAACTTTTGACAATGATTCAATCTTTATTTTAGTCTGATTCCTTTCTTCAGAGAGCTCTTCTTTCATGGAATTGCATTTATCAACAACATTTTCATATTCAAGTCCTGCCTTTCTAATCATTTCATCTGCTTCCATATTTATCTTTGCATTTTCTGCTCTAATAGCTTCTATTTCTTCTTCAGTTTGTCTTCCAGTTAAGTTAAAAGCGCCAACTAAATCATCAAAGAAAATATTACGATTATTATTTGTCAATAATGCCAGGGCTGAAATAGCATCTGCTGTTGCTGACTTGTTTGATGATCTCAGTAATATGTGGGCTAAAAGAGCTGCAAAATGAGAATCAATAATGACTTTTGTAAGCCTAACGCTCCAGCTGTCAAACTGAGATGCGCAGCGCAGAATGAAGTGAAAGATTTGCAATGATAAGTATGCATTATTGCTTTCAATATTTCTCATCAATTGCATAAATATATTTTCTTCTTGTATTTGCAAGATTTCAGCCAGAACCGGAGATATTATCTTATTCATGAATAAGCAACGCATTATTACTAAAATTGTTTCAAGTTTTTCTGTCTCTTCAATATTCTTCTTTTCAATGAACTTTCTTAGACATCTCTTAAATATTTTATCATCAGCATCTAAATCAGTAAATATATTCGGGAAGGAAATCATAAGTTCTTGAACTAATTTCGAAGTTGCAATTGATAAGTATGGACTATCATCATTAATTGCAAATAATAGCAGCTTCTTGATCAGTTCTTTATTGTTAGTGAAAATACCATTCTCACATAGAGTAAGTGCAGTTTTCAATAATTCGTAAGCAGAAAATGAATCATAAATTAGCAATGAATTAAGTAAGCTATCAATTATATTTTGACAAGAGATCTTTTTCACAGACTTTGTTATTATGATGTTGACTAAATGTGGTAAAAGAGGGAATGGAACTTTTTCTTGAAGAACTTCCATCGCAGCTGAAACTACTGTTTCATAATCAACAGTATTTGGAAATAGTATAACTGACAATGCTAGTCCTGCTATCATAGCACATTGATCTGATGAAGTTATTAATGCTGTAACTTGATCTTTAAGCGATTTAAAGTGAGGACTTTGTCTGACGTAAGTTAAGAATGAGTCATTGGAAAATGCGATATTTGCCATTACAGTTGCCGCCCAAGCTGCAACTTGGGGGTTTGAAAGTAAACAATTAATGATGCCTATTAATAGCGAAGAAGCTTCTGCTGATGTAAATGCATTTCTTTGAGTGGAAAAAATATATGCTAAGAATTTCAATGGTAAGAACAAATGATTCATTGATTTACTAATTATTTTCGTATTGTCATAGTTTTTAGCAAAGAAAGCTGGTATTAAAAGGTTTAAATTTGAATTTAAAGATATGATATCAAGTAAAACCGGATGTTTTGAAGATAACGTGATTAAATATTTTAGAACGAGAGTGACAATTGATGGCATATCTCCATCTTTTGGATTTGGTATAGGATTATCGACGATCACTGCTGATAAATATTGACAAAGTTTGGGAAAATCTTTATTATCACATAATTCTTGAAGATTAATTGGATCATATTCGGAATTTTCAATGAATTGTTGTAGAGTTACTTCTAATACATCGATTTTCTGATTGTTTGCATTAATTGACTTAATCAGACTGCTCAAAGCTGTATTCATGAAGTGAACGTTTAAAATTTCTAAATTCTCAAGAATCTCAAAATCATTCTTGAAGTCTTATGGGAAAAAACAAGAATATCACATGAGTATTTAATGTATTTATAAAAATCTAAGTTTTCTTACAAATAAATTAATATTTTATTACAAGTATGGAAACAACAATAATAGGATAGTATACTACAAGAACAATGCTAGCATTGTCATGGTTAATCATCAAAGATCTTGAATGTCATAGCTCGAATTAGAGCTGTGCGATCATTATCTCTTTGTTCTACATGGAATGACATAAACATTCGAAGTGATGTCTTTGCTCCAAAATAAATCAGACCCGAAATAACAGTAACTGTATATGTTGGCTCTCCTGGGATTGTATGTGTATCATATGATGCTACTTCTGTCTTAAATAATGGGAATGTTTGCAAAAAATCGTATATTGCGTGTTTTCCATTGATTGTTGGAAAATCATTTTCTTTTGAGTTGGAAAAAATCATTTTTGCATCGATAGCAAAATATCTCATCGCTTCTGCAGGATTGACTGACATTAATGGGAGAAATTTATCAATCAAGACCTTTGAAATACCGAATGATTCTCGAGAAGTCATTGATCAAAAAATTTGACGCTTTACAAAAAAAAGAATTTGACGCTTTACAAAAGTCATATCCAATTTCTCCAAAGGCTTGCATGAAGAATTGCTGACTATGATGTACTACAACATAATCAGTACATTATGGCCAGCAATAGTTACTACAAATGTGAGAAACTTTGTCTGCAAATTAACGTATTCAGACAAGTTTTTCACATTTCTAATGGGAATGAAAGAGTAAGAGGCCTATGTTATAATTACATGCCTTTTACCATCTCATTCTCATTGGAAATAGTATAATTTTCTCCGAATCATATCTTTTTCTGAGAAAATTTCTTCCATTTATTATAGAAACTGTTATTTGTGAGATACCAAACTTGATTCAATGCTTCGCAAGCAACAATTCTTAGGCTAAAAAACTTATTTAACAAATTTGAACTCAGAAAATTAATTTTTATTTATAAACATAGCACTTAACAGATCCAAAGATCATATGTGTAAAGCACTTATTGCAGCCAATGCATTTGATGTTTTGTCCTTCCATTAAATGCTTAACAACGTGAGTATCAGCAATTGCTGCTCTGCTCATAGAAACTAAATCAGCTCCTTGCTTGATTGATTTGATCATTGAACCTTTAGAGCGCAATCCACCACAAACAGCAATTTTTGCGTCAGTTTTTGCGCGAATTGTTGGAACATAATCAAGGTTGTATCCAATCTTCTTCTCATAGCCTTTCTTTGTGAGCCATTTACTGTTGAATCTGCTTGTTAAACGTGGATCAAGCATTCCGCAAGAAACTTCCCAAAGATCAACATCTTTGATTGCGGCTGCTGTCTCTGCTGCATCGTTTGGTGTAAATCCGCCTTCAAGACAGTCAGATCCGTTGTATTTGACAGCAATTAAAAATTCTTTGCCGCATTCTTTACGAATAGCGTCGGCTAACTCAACGAGTATACGACGCCTATTCTCTGGGCTGCCACCATAGCGATCTTGGCGTTTGTTTGTATAAGGTGATAAAAATTGAGAAATAAGATAACCGTGAGCTGCATGAATTTGAATTCCATCGCCTCCTATGTTCTGTACACGCTTAGCAGCAAGTCTGAAATTATCAATAATTTCGGAAATTTCCATTTCAGATAAATATCTTCTGAAGATGAGACCTTTTTTGATAAAACGGCCATCTGCGAGCTGAAACATCATCTTGCTTCCTTGATCATGGACATATTTAACTATATATCTCCATGCTTCTGCTTGCTGATCAGTAGCTAAACCTCCTTGACCAGGTACAGCCTTTCCAGCCTTCTGAACATGAAAGTATCCTGGAACGATTAATCCCATCTTTCCATCAGCGAGGTTTTTATAATATTTTAACAGTTCTGGCTTCGGAAATCCATTAGAATCACATGCGTGCATAAATGTTGCTGAGCGCATGAATCTATTTTGGATTGTTGTGTGATTAATAGTTACTGGAGTAAAGAGCGAATCCATGAAATTGATTTTCAGAGTTGATTCAAACTCACAAAAATAACGATATGTTTTACATTTTTTAGGAGTAAAATGCACTAATATAGTTAAACATAATCTCCCAATTTTTGATGCATTCAATTTAGCAATTTTGGTGCGTTTTCAGAAAAATGCGAAGGGAGCGTCAACGACCGAGCATTTTTCTGAATATGCATCAAAATTCGCAATTTAAATTTCAATGGTGAATTGCAAAAATTTTGGTGCGTACGATAAATTTATCGTCAAAAAATAAAGATCATATACACATGATACATAATCTAAATTTCTAATTTTTAACCACCGAAAAAATAATCGTATGCACCAAAATTTTCGATTAACAATTGCATTTAAATTATTTTTTTCGCGATTGAAAAATTGTGATGAATGGGTAATTTCTTTGAAAAAATTCAATTTCTTGTTAAGGATGCCGTTTTGTCCCCCGGGGGTTGATTGCTTCCACCATGTGGAGACGCTGATGGTTAAAATTTCTTCAAAATAATTATTGATGAATGAAGTTCAAATATTATAATAGATATAACACTTTGTTAATACCCAAAATGCATTTATCTAGTTTTTGTTGAGTTTCTTGCATTTTCAGAGAATTGATATTTGAAAACATTATGTTGGTAAAATTGAAAACCAATAAGCTGTGATATTGGGAAAATCTGTCAGAAATCTTATGATGAATTTTAATCTTTTAATTATCTTTTTATTAAATTTTGAAATACACTCATATAGAGTTCTTGCTTTTGGTAGAGTTTCTATATGCCACATGATAGATAAATATTGATTACTAGACATGATTACACAAGTATATTCTACTTTTGTATAGACTGAAATCTAAGATTTGGATGTTATTGGCATTAAATTAAAATCCTTGTCCTATGGGTTAACCGAATGTTCGGATTATTACCAATTTTATTTCGTCTATAGATGATTTTGAAATAAAAGTCGATTAATTTTATACCTATCTAGCTTAAATTTTTCAATCAGCTCTTATGGAATAATGATACCTCAAAACATTGGACATTTCATCCACGATCAACCTGGCGAATTTTATATAACTATTCTATCAATATAAATCTATGGTTGTTAAAAATATCAAAAATTAGCGTTTTGAAGACACCATGGTGTCTTATAATTTTCCCTTCCTTATTGGCGTGTAGAAATAAATGCGCCAATAGATTGAAGAAGAAGAATTGTTTTTCTCTTAATGAACTTTAATCCTTTTGATATAAGAATATTAAAAACATTAATATAATTTCGATTTCGGAAATTAAATTTCCAAATTTTTTGTCGATTTCGGAAATAACAGGATCCCGCATCCAACACGCAACAACAAAACACAAAACACACTTTTTGGTTCTTTCATCGTTTTAATCGTAATTTATGTAATACATGATTTGGATAAATTTTACAAAAATAGAACCTATATTATATTCTTTTCAAAGATTCTTGCAAATCATCAAAAATAATTGTATTTTAAAAAACGATCAAATTATCCTTTCATTATTTTAAACTTAAATTAGTTTTTATGATTGACTAAAGCAATCATATTTATTCATCATTAAATAAACAAAAAAATAATATTTGAGAGTTATTTCAAAAAAAAACACATTGAATTTATTAATTTGTCTCAATTTCAGTATTATAAATTTTTATAATTTCAATATTTTAAATACACTTTTTAATATTTCAATATTTATGATATTTCAATGTATTAAGTGGTCTCAAATTGAGCTTCTCAAATATAAGTTGGCCTATTCAAATAATAAAATTAAATAATATTTAAAATAATAAATAAAAGTGATTGAGGTCATAGCAAAACGGCTGTTTCAGTCATTAATTCTTAAAAATAAAAAGGGTAAAAACTAAATAAAATGGGTAAAATTCAATAGTGTCTGTGCTATTGTTCAATTTGAAGGTGTCTTTTGAAATCGCAAGACACATTGAATTTTTGAATAGTGTATTATGGTTTGACAGACACCAATGAAAAAAATAAAATGATATTTATTTTAAATATATAAGATCCTTATATAAAATATAAATATTTTATCGTTTTATTTTCTTGTTTTAGAAATTTTTTTTATTCAAAAATCAATAAAACTAACTCCAAAATACAATTTTTGATTTAAAGACACTATGATGACACCAGGCAAATCTTCCAAGACACCTATCGTCGGGAATCTAACAACCCTATATAAATCTTTGTAATTGATTGAATTTTCAATGTCAATTTTATTCTATACAAAAATTGACTGATTTTTCAAAGAAACGATTTCACACAATTCTCTCAAAGCGTCAGACAATATTTACCGCCTTTATAACTAGCTCAACATATACCACTATGTGAATAAAAAGCTTTAGATTTGAGTATTGAATTAAAGACTTTTTTCGATCACATTTTATGCAGTGGATCTTTTTCCTCTCAGAGAGGGTTCCACAATTTTATTCAATTGAACGACAGTATATCGATGCACCTTCTGAGCCGAGTGGAGGGAGAAATATTGATTTTATCGACACAAAAATAAATTCTACCTTAGAGACATTCCTTTATAGTTCTCTTAATGTTCATAACAGTTATTTTGCTTATTTAACTTCGTTTGGCAGAGATATATTTCCGATAGGCGGTGGAGCGATCTTTGCATCTCATTCAAGAGTAGTTGTCAAAAATCATAATAAATCGAAAGATTTTGGATTTTATTACAATAAAGCTCCATTAGGAGGAGCATTGCTATTAACAAACTGTGAATCTTTCATAAATCAAGTAAATTTTATTCAAAATAAAGCGTTTTTAACTGGTGGTGCGATATATGCAGATAAGCTTGAGCCAAAGTTTACTGAATTACTCATTTTTGACAGTATTTTCGAAAATAATTCAGCAGATGATGTAGGTGGAGCAATAGCTTGCATGTTCATGAATGAATCATACATAGATTCCTGCTTCTTTATTGGAAATGATGCAAGAATGAGAGGTGGCGCAATTTTCATTCAATTGACAAAATCTTCCATTTTTGATTCGGTATTCAAATTAAATACTGCTGGAAATATAATAGACCCAGAAAGAGGAACTGCAAAATTCATAAATAAAGAAACAAACAAAAAGTATTTGCTTGATGATTCATATCATTTCAGAGGACGAGGGGGAGCAGCAATTTATTACATGGGTGATATATCAAATGAAAGTTCCCCAGTATTATATACGCAAAATACATGTTTCATGAATAATCAAGCTCATCGCGGAACAGATCTTGGAGAAAGAGCACAGAGAGCTGGACATCATATAATGTTTGATCTATGTTGCAAATGGGATTCATACCATGACTCATTCTTTGGCCCAAGTTTCGATCAAAACGTTGCACACGTCAACAGAGAATTTAGAAACAGTACTCTTATTGTTAACTATCTTCCACAAAACAATACTAATTGTCAAGGAGAAGTTATAGAACAAAAGCCACCAATACAAATTTCATTCGCTGAAAAAATTAATAAGGAAGATGATTCAAAGACTATAAGTGTTCCATCACCTTCAAAATATATTTATCAAGCAACGCCAATTACAAAACTTCCAAAGGAAACAGAAAGCTCACCTTCTGTTTTACCTTCTCTTCGTCCAATGACAAAGACAATTACTAAGAAATCTAATACAATTCCGCAACCAACAATTTCTTTGTCAATAGTAAAAGCTTATGCACAAACAGTCAAACATGGTTACATGGGTAAGACTTCATTATCTTCATTTATTACAAAGACTTCTACTATCACGCTCTTTGAAACTTTAACAGAAACATTGATAGAAACAATTAATACTAGAAATGAACAAACAATGTTTTGGACATTTGTTCATACAAGTATTCTTAGTGAAACAAAAATTGGAATTGAATTTATTTATGAATATATGAAAGGATTAGATACAAGAATAGTGATTGTGCTTGCTGTACTGGGCTGCTTGTTCATTATGTGTCTTGCAATAATTGTTCTTTTCCTTTATAGGAAAATGGTTCATGATAAATCAGCTGAAACAGAATCTCTTGAATCAGAAAAAGAACCAAATGATGAAAAGCAAACAATTGTAAATTATGAAGTGGATAATAATGATAATGTTAATGAAGGAAATAGCGAAGAAATTGTTGATGCAGGAAATCCCGAAGATGATGCCTACATGAATGGAGACTTTTAATTTTATAAACAATATGATAGATATTTTTTAATAAGTCAGAAATCTTAATCACTTTGATTTTGTTTCATGCATTAATGAAAGTAATTAGCGCATACATATATAGAGCATATCCTCATATGACCGAACTATAAATGATAGACTATATAACTGTGATGTCAGATTAATATGAATTTATTGAAGAAATACGATTATGTAAACTTATCGATATTAACATAAATTTGTTGAACCAAATGTTAATGAATATACTTAAGCATACAGATCATTTCATAATGTTTGTGAAAGACAGCATTCAACAATTGTTTCATTTACAAGTATTACTATTCACTATTTTAGATTTTACAAGCTAGAGCAATTTAATTGAAAGCAGAGAGAGTTTCCTTTTGTAGCTTATCTTGAGTATAATAAGAATATGGATTTGTTTTAACTTCAATTAGGTCATAAAAATATTGTTTGATATAAAAAATAACTGTTTTTTAGACTTAAAAAAATTGTTTGTCAATCCGAATTCAAAAAAAATATAAATACAAAAGTTATTCGAAGAGATTTCCAGTTATATCAATGCACATTCTGTTAATTTCTGCAATTGTTGGTGTGAATGTTGAAACAGGTACAACAAGTAATGATTGTTCTTCTACTTGTGGAATTCTTTCTTCACTTTCGGATGAAATCGATGCTCTCAATTTTTCAGAAGAAGAAGATAACAAATTCGTCTTCTTATTGACTTTAGTAATGAACTGTTTGATTGTCAATTCAGAGACTTCCGGAACAACACCAATTGCCATATCAGTGTTAGGACGCTGAGGAATTGCGTGGAAAGCGATATCATTCCATCTATCAAACAGATCCACTTTAATTTGAAGACATTCGTTTCTCAAATCTTCAATTGCATTAAAGTAGAAGAAAGTGCATTCTGTTGGATAATAAGGGAACTCTTCCTTCTCCCATTTGGCAACATCCTTGCAGATGTTCTCAACAGGGAAGGCAGAGCCGTAGAAGAGAGCAGGAAGTGCATCAAACAAACCAATCTTTGTTTGGTACAAAGGCAAAAACTTCTCAAGAGATTTCGATGATTTCGCTGATTTGTCTTTGATTGCGTGAGTTGCAATTCTCTTCAAGCTCAAGTTAATTGGATTCTGGTGCTTGTCAATCATTACAGCGCTTACTTTGTAAATCATCGGTGAATAATGCGTTGTATGGTTCATAATCAATGAATAAAGTTTTACAACAGCACCTGTCAAGTTATCTCCAGCTGTTTTCATCAATTCTTCAACCGTTTCTTCGAATCCATCTGTTGTATCTAAATGTTTGAAGCAGGAAATGTCAATTCCTAAAAGTTCCATTGCGGAAACCTTTATTGAATTGAATTCTTCATTAGATATTGTCTGGGATAAATAAGGAATCAAAAACAGAACAATTGTTGCTGCTGCCATTTCTTTTGTAACTTTATATTCTTTGCCAGCAGTTTTTTCATCAATTTGGTCAACAAAATCTGTCTTTGTTGGCATCAAACAATTAATGAATTTCCTTTCAAATAAAACACTTGTCATATGGAATAATCTGTCAATAATCTTCTTCGCTTTCTTCTTGTCCAAGAGGATGTTGTACTGTGCAATCTTCATGAGAATTCCGCCACTCTCTGTTGAATCTTTGATCTTGTCAGAAATTGTCAAAAATTCATTTGTAATTTTGACAAAATTGTCAAAAATCGGTTGGAATTCACTGTCACCGCACGAAGCGAATGAAATCACAGCGTTGAAAGCAGACTGTGGCACTGTGTTAAGTGATTTACAGATTTCTGCCAATAATTCAATTAAAAGTGACAAATGTTTGTAATAAATTTTGAGGTTGACTTCTTCATCACCTTGCAACAATTTTGCTAGATGTTTCTTTTGTCTTTTTTCGGAAGACGGAACAGAGTTTTCTCTCAAAACTTGTACTGTTATTCTTATTGTCTTCAAGACATGTTCCAGCATATGAATATTAGGAGCAGTTACTGTTTCAATTGCGTATTTGCAAGCTTGAACAGCTGTTTCTGTATCTCCACAAGTTGTTGACCACAAAAATGCTTCTCTGAAGAATTCAACTGTATTGTCTCCAATCAATGATTTGATGTCTTCTGAATCAGGAGATTCTACACCTGTTATCTTCTGGAAAGCCTGTGCAATCAAATCAGTTCTTTTATGTGAAATACAGAATGATAAAATTGTTGGTTTGAACTCATCTTCGTACAAATCAACTAATTCCAAACAAACTTCCAAAGCAAACATCGCATTTTCTTCTGCAACATTCGGATCAAGAGAAGAAGTTGTTTGTTGTTGGTCTTTCTCTGATTTCATCTCGTTGAGGAATTTGTCGAAATCGAAGAATCTATCGAAAGTTCTCAACTGAATCACAGAATAGAACCAATATCTGAACTGCAAATATGATAAAACATTCATTGCTATGTCTTTGTGCGACTTGCAAAGATGAATTAACAATGTCTTGCATTGTTCTTTGCATTCTGAATAAGCCGTGAAGCAGAAAATAAATGCAAATTCACAGGATTCTGGTGTTGATGTCACGTAATCAATTATGGAAATGGCAGACGGTTGTAAAGGTGACAAACAAACAACTCTTGTGAATTGTTGCATGAAAGACATGGCAGTGAATCTCTGGAATGCTGGTTGTGTTGACAATGAAATGGATGTAGCATCGGAAATCAAGTTTACGTGTTTGAACCATGGAAGAATGATGTTGGCAAATGTTGTCAAAAATCTGTCATTTAGTATTGAAAGTGATTGAGAAATGAACTGTTCAATGCACATTTCAAAAGCATTTGACAGAATTCCTGACAGTTTTGTCAATCCGACATATGATTTTTCGTGGATGAAATCGAGGGCTTCCGCGAAAAATGGAGAATCAATCAACAAAGAACCACTTAATATAATGTGATATAAAACTTTCTGTGCGTCTTCTTCGTAACCTTGTTTTTCGCCACTCAAGAAGAAAAAACACAAAGCGAGGAGATCTCCAATGTGAGAGAAAACAGAGTCAGAAAACTCTTGTTCGTTTGAAGATAATTGTTTTCTGGCTGCTGCGGCCAAAAGAATCGAATCAGCTTCGATTGTTTGTGGCTGCGGGAACTGCATTGCGATGCAAGAGAAGAAGTGTGGTTCGGAGAATGATTTGTTGATGAAATGTCCTAAAAAGAAAGAGAAAGAATGTGACAAAATGTAACTGCAAGCTGAAATGTTTTGTTGAGCAATTTTAAGGACATGGTCAATCAAATTCTCGAATAAATCATCAGGAATAGTATTGACAGAACAGAAAGCAGCGAAAGCGGATTTTGCGGCTATTTTCAGTTTATTAGGAATCTTTTGATCAGGTGTTGCCAAATTGAACATGAAATAGAACCAATTCGATCTATTCAAGGATTTCTGGATGAATGGTCTGTGAAGGAATGGTCCTGCTATTGGAGATGCGTTGCAATCTTTGAATTGCTGGCAAATAATTTCAATAACGTGCATAAGTGAAGTCAAGCATTCAAACATCAGTTCACTTAATTCACCAATTGGACTTAAACTGACTGTAGAAATTATTTTATTGTTCTCGCAGTATTTCACAACATTGTCCATGAGTTTAAGAACTTCTTCCATATGTTGTGGATCTCCAATGAATGAAGTGTTTTGGACATTTATTTGTGCAACAAATGTGAAACATCTCAGGAAAAGTTCGTTTGCATTTGCAAGGAGTTTGAGCATCATCATTGTATGTGATTTATGAATGGAAGAGGCAAATGAATACAATATAGCATTGAATGGATTGACCTTGATTTGGTCGCTGATAATTTGAATTGTTTTTTGCAAAATTTGTTGCAAATTTTTATCATTTGTTTCATTGTTATCAGCTGAACAAGCCAAGAATGTTGCGATATTGATAGCATGCAATGATGCATATTTATGTTTATCGCAATATCCAAATACTTGTTGAAGCATTGAATATATCTGTTGATTGGAATTTTGAATGTATTTGTATTCTTCCTTTTGAACAATCAAAGAGAAAACAACACTTAAATAGATATGATAAAATATCTCGTAGTGAGTAAGTGCGTATTCCTTGAATGATTGGAAAGGAAGCTGCTTCAAAACTCCTGGATCGCAATCGGAATTGAAAACTGAAGCGATTTTTTCCAAAGTTTTTTGTTGCAAAATTTTCTCATTTTGCTCAAAGAACTTGTTCAAAGGTGTCAATTCTATAACATCTAATGCAGCAGATCTCACTTCATATGATGGACATGATAAGCCACTAATAATGGTTGGAATAATCGTCTCTGTCACTTTTTCAAGAATTTCATCGTCGTGAATTTGTTCCAAAATCATTTGCATTGTTTGTAATTGGATGAAACACTGTTCTAAGTTCTGTGGAATCTGGTTAACAATGGACTTGATGATAGATACAACGTTATCCTTGTATTTGATTGATAAAACCATGAGACATCTCGCGGATAATGAACAAATAAATGATTGACCATCATAAATTCTTTGTGTAACAAAATTCACCAAATTTTCGTTGTATTCCAATAAAGGAATTAACGAAATACATCTCGCTAACGGTGAATCTACTTTACTTGAATCAGTAATGAATTTCAAGTCAAATTTCGGATCGTAAGAAAACGGTTTTTTGTTGTCCGGAGAAACAGTTTTTTGTAGCTTAGCAATATCGGATGACATGCGGTGCTGTGTGATGGAGGATGGTATAACAGGTATAGATGTCTCGAATAATTCGGTATCTGAGCAAGGAGTAGTTGGAATTCCACAGATTGTTGTTGCACGCTCTTCCAATGAACAGCTTTCGATGAATTTATCAACAAGCTCCGTATAACACTTAAGAAGCTTGTCATTACCGGTTGGAATGAGGTAACAACCAACTTGGAATAAGGCTATTCCATTTTGTTTGATAAATGTTGGATTTCCGAGGTCCTGGATGTAGCCATCGACGAAGGATTGCATTCCGTTGACAGCAATCATTGTAATGTAGTTGGCAAGTTCGAGTTTTGTATTATCGAAATTTTGGAATGAAGAAATGACTGAGAAGAAATCTGTAAGCTTAGAAACATCATGAGGATCTGCTTGCCATTGTAAGAAGTCCGTATTTGTGAATTCTACGCAATGTGGTTGGAAATTTTTGCCGCAAAGGATACGAGTAAGTCCGAAGAGAATTGGTTGTTGAGAATTTGCTGTTTGGCGTGCGATTCTTCTGGCGGTTGACATGATTTGGCCGAGATTTACAACGGATCTGCCATCTTCGCTTAAAGCGAATAAAGTGCAGACAATTGGGAAGGTAACTGGGTTCTGCTGGTTCGTTGTAGCAGAACTGTAGATAATTTGGACAAGGTGAACCGGACGATTATTTCCTTCTGTTGTTAAGGCATCTGCGGTCAAAGACGCGAAGAACAAGGCTGAGGCGATGGAAGAATCAACAATGGGCTGCGGCGTGGCGAAAGCGACTAAAGCGTTGTTTAATGCGCTTAAAGATTCACGAGATTCTGTATAATCAATTTTAGTGTTCTTGAAAGTGAAAGATCTCATCATCTTATAGAGGAAGATGTGGGAGCTGGATGAAATTTGCCTATCCTGAAGCACTCTCAGTAAAAATTGCCAACATTTTTCTGGAATCTTAAGGGAAAGGTAATAGAATAATTTCTCGAAGCCTTCTACCATAAGGGTATATGTGATATAGTGCGTGAAGTCAGAAACTGCGTCTTCAATGGAAGTTATATATTCCGATAAAAGGAACTCAATTTTATCACCTGAGCAGTTGTTTGCTAACTTGATGGCAATATCAGCGAGGTAGCGTTCTGAAAGATAGAATAAAGCAATACGGTAAGTTAATATTGATTGTTTTTTGTCACTCGCTCTTTGAATCCAATGGGCCGTTGGCAATTTGATTTTTGTAATTGGTTCTTGTGTATTTAATGATATTTGTGTAAAGAATTTGCGGATTTCTGCAAAGCTTTGTTTTGGATTCGAGTTTGAAAGCAAAGCAATCTTATTAAATGCATTCTCGATGGTTTCATTATAGATAACATACGATTTCAAGTATCGAAGTAAATCAGGATGGAGAGTATTGTCATTTGTATTGAAAGCTTCTGATTGTTGAACGATCGGCTTAGCGATAGTCAACAGAGCAGACTGAATTGAAGAAAAGATGGCTTCAATACCTGATGTAGGTGTTGAAGATGAGCTTCCTTTCTCCATTTTTTTTATTGTTTATTTATTCAATGTAAAACAAGAAAAAATATTCTGAACGACAAACAATCAAAAATAAACAATTTATAAGATAGATAGGTGAGTCTGTATAGTTAATAAATCTTGCAATTTTATTGTTTAATTATTACTTTTCACCGATATTGCAATGTTCAATTCAGATATCTGCTGACAATTTGTATGAGAAAAATATAAGCATATCATTTTCTAGGAGCCGATATCATGCGACTAGAGAATAATTGAGAATTTGAAAAATTATTTTTATTCCAAAAGCTATAGATGTACTTTAGGGAAGATACTCATAAAAATGAGCATATATTTACTTAATAGATTGATTTTGTTTTTATGCATTGAATGCTTGTGAATTGGAATGCAAATTTTTCAGAAATAACAAATTATTGGGTCTTAAGCGTGCAGACATCAATAGGCTATATAAACCTGCTAGTACCAAGCAGTTCAATTCAGATAGCAATTTCTCAAATAATTGTTGATTTTGGCATCTCTGTATTGTAGCATTATATATGCAATAATCCACATATTTGAAAGTAATGACAGCAACATTGTTTGGCATGATTTATTTAAATTTTTGCAAAATATTTCAAGGTGTTGAAAGGGATTAATGATGTGGAACTATGTGTGTCTGTGTGAGATTCGCAGCGAGCAATAACTCAGATTAAGCGATTGAAATCTGTCCCCAAGGACAGAAAATTTTGTAATCACTTCACATTCAAAATTTCGAAATACAAATGAAGCCTTTTCATGAGTTAGTTGAGATGTTCAAGGATTATATAAATACATACCATGAATTGTTTACTCTCTAATCAAAACAATTCTCATTGAAAAATACAAAATTCGGGCGCGTAAAGGGTTGGCGTCCTAAGGCGTCCTGATGTAAACTATTCAATTTTTGAGAAGTTTACACCATAATTGAATAGTTTATGGCGTCCTGAGAGGAGATTTCAATGGGTATGGCGTCCTAAAAAATAGAAGAAAATGATTTTTTCTCGATTTTTCTAGAAATTGAATTTTTTAAAAAAGAAAAAAATCAAAACATATACATTCAAGAAAGACTATAAATGAAGATTTTTCTATTTTTTTTCATTCTAAAACATCTTTTTTTGGATAATTTTTTTTTAATAAATATGTAAGAAAGATTGAAGAAAAAGTAAATTTACTTTAAGAAAATTCGTTTTACATGATGTAAGACCCATAACAACTATAAATATTCAATTATTTAAAATAAAAAAAAGAAAAACAGATTAAATGTATCTCACATCAAAATCCATTGACCTAAGGATGTTAAGTTTCTGTTTTTAAAAGTTGATATTTTTTTTTTAATTTTAAGAAAATTAATAGCATGTTATTAGACAATAGGAGTGTAATGATATTGACTAAACAGAAATGAGAGAATAGAGATATAATTTTGATAAGCAATATTGCGAACAAATTCTGAAGTAAAATCGCGATCAATAATTGAAAATTACGATCATGTACTGAAAAATGACGATCGAATTGAATGAATAGAATTATATCTAAGAAAAAATAAATTGTATTTAGAAGATGAACAAAGAAAGGTGTATGCTAAAAATCATTTAACAATAAATGGAAATAAAACGAAATTGTTAAAAGAAAAAAATGAAAATTGTTAAATAATATATTATTTTTTAGTCATAAGAATAAAAATATAGTAGTTATAAAAGGAATTAGACTTCATATATCAATTCTTTTTCTCTGTAGATGTGGAACGTTTGCTTTTCGATCTCTTTCGATGAACTTGAAAATATAAGTTATTATCGCTGAGAATCCTTTCCGAAATAGGAGCTTTACATTTAGGAGGATTGTCGGATGAATTTTGTTTTTTATTGTTTGATTTTGTTGTTATGGAAGATTTTTTCTTATTTTTTTCAGAATTTTGCTTGCTATAGTTAGTATCCCTAAGTTGCGTACTGTGGCACTGCGCACCTCCGTACACCACTTAGTGGTTTTGACACTTTACGAAACCGGTAACGTATATTTTACAACACAACCATAACACCAACTTAACCTTAAATATTTACAAAACCATCTGACACATAAACGACTTCACTAACGACTTCACTAACGAATTCACTACCGTCCTCACTAAATAAAAAATAACCTTATTTTTATTTTTTTAAATTTTTTATTTCATTACAAAGACATGTCCGACTACATTTACTATGACTCTTTCCCAGAACGTTTCCGTGAACTATTCAAAACTCAAGTAAAACTGAGAAACATGCATTTTAACAAAGACAGACCCATTGACGATGAAAGAAACCCTGAATATATTACAATCCCTTATGACGCAAAGTTCATTGCATACATTCCTTATGGTCGCAGAGGAACGAAAACTATTTCAACAAAGAACAAAAATTATTTCTGGAGCGATGAAGAAAATTGCCTTATCTACATAAATGCATACTTAAATAAAGCTACATATTGTACAAAAGAAGGTTGGACTGGATTTGAGCTCTACATATACGACGACGATGGAAACAGACGTTGTGTATACCCATACGATAATATGTACCATTGTTTTCATCAAGCATTAAACGAATACATAGTCAGTAAGGGTCTCATTCCTGCTGAGTAGAAATGTTATATTTTTGTTCTGTCATTTATAAAAAAATAAACTTAAAAATTAATGATATCACCACCCTCACACGTATGAAAACATAGCACAAAAATAAATTTAGGGTAGATGGTTAGATCTAACCCGATTTCTAACCTCATTTCTACCCTGTTGAATTCATTGCTTTATAACTCTCTTCCTTTCTCCAACTCTTCTAACTTCTTCTTAAGTTCAGCAATGTTGTCCTCATGAAGTTTAATCTTCCTTAATATACCTTCTCTATCTAATGGTATGCACCCAAAAGAAGTTGTACTCTATGACTCATTCTTGGTATCTTAAACTCTTTCGCATAACTGAACTTCAATGTTCCCTCAGAAGAGAGTTCGACATCTATGTTGTCAATAGTTTCTTCATTTATGAGAGTATCCATGACTCCAGCAATTTTATCTATTCTATACCCAGCTCTGTTAGGAAATGTTATAACACTTTTTTTGTCATCTATTTCAATCTCTATGAAATCTGTTTCATCTGTTATGACAAAAGTTGCGATAGTATTGAAGTCAACAACTCTGAAAGCAAGCGCTTCATTCTGAAGACCTAAGTTTGTTTGTAGCTTTACTGTCCCGTATTCATTCGGGTCTGTACTTTGCAAATAGAACAACATTTTATTCTCATTAAAATATGACTATTGCTGCATATGCGTATGAAACAAATGAAGCAAGAAGAGCACATGAACTAGTAAACGAAAACTCAACTTTAACCATTGAAGGCAATGATTTAGTCATTGACGATGGAAAAACTAAAAAAGTCATTGATTTCGATACTTTTAACACGTATGACCCATTCATTACAACAAGTAAAGTTCCTATCATAAATGATGGAACGGTGCAATATATAAATTCTACAGTAGATGCCTCATTAGTGAAAGTATTAAATGTTCTCATTGAATTGTTAAAGAGCTTTCGATTTGACGACAACATTAAATGCCTAAAGAATTTAGTCATGAATGAGAAACAAATTCTCGGCGTTGCTGGTAGCAGTAATGATGTACACCTTATGACATTAGAATATTATAACGAACATAAAGATGAACTGAAAGGAGAGAAGGGTGACACCGGACCTCAAGGACCACAAGGAATACAAGGAATACAAGGAATACAAGGACCTCAAGGCGAAAACGGTTTGGATGGTGAAGATGGAAAGGATGGAAAAACTGCTAAATCATGGATATGGAACCTTATAAATACTGGTTTAACAGCTGCTTCATATGGAGTTCTTCAATACCAAATCGGAAAGATATGGGCAGTACTTGGTGAAGAAGTTTTAGATGACGTTAAAAATGCTTTGAACTTCATTTCAAATGGTTCGGATACTATTAAAACTTTATCTGGTTGGATGCAAGAAACAAGGAGTCAAATAGATACTGTAAGACGTATAGCAAACAATGCACGTACGGGATTGGATACTTTACGAGAAGCACAAAATACACTAAAGGAAGCAAATGATATTCTTGGCTCAGTATCAGACATGCATGAAGATTGGCTTAAAGGTATTGACAAATCTTTAAAAAATCACAGTCAGTCTATTGCTGACTACAAGAAAAGTATAGATTTTTTACATAGTGCTATGGATGTACATGATGGAAGCATAAGGAACTTACTTAATGCTAACAATAACTTACCAGGAACTATTAAAGCATTTATAAAGTCCTTTGTAAAACCTGGTGCTCTAACATTTAGGTCTTTGAGAGCAAGAGCATTGAAGTCAAGAGATGCAGAAACTCCAACAGAACCTACAGAAGGAACTGAAACAACAGAAACTCCAGCAGAACCACCAAAACCAACAGCTAGTTCGAATATTTTCCAAGGTACTCTGTTCTCATTGCATACATTCAAGAAATACTTAAGAAAGCAGACTTGACTTTAGGAGATGATGAAAGTTCTGTATATCTTTCATTCCAGTTTCAAATAGCAGAACTTTTGAGACAGATATGCTTAATGTATGACAACATCTCTGATTTCACAAGATATGATGACGACCATGACCCCGAACACGGTGAAGAAGAAGTTTTACAAACATCCATTAAGACAGGAAAGGTTTTAACTCAAAGTCTCATTATTGACACCAAAGATGGCGAAGTAGACGTTCTTCAAGAGCTGAAGAAAAATACTTCTGAAGGAGGTGGTGGTAGGCATGAACTTGAAATAAATGAGATAGAAGAGAAATTAGCCGAAAAAGCAGATAAAAACCATGTTCATTATATAAGTTCAGACGAACAGATTATAACGGACTACCATGGATATTTAACACAGGATGAACAAATAAGCACCGAAGATGTTAATGAAAGAAGATATAAATTCATTCGTGCTAAAGGTTATGACATACACTGTACTGTACAGTATGACACAGGTAAAGCACCAGAAGCATTTGGTTATAACGATGAAATATATGCTTCATACTTCTCTGTTAACGGTGTATTAGTTGAACCAAGATTTACTTTGAGAGTTAAGGCAAAAATAACTTTTGAAGATGCTATTAAAAGTAAAGCTGACAAAGATGAACTTGACGCAACGAACAAAGTTTTGAAATCTCATAAACACAATATCTCCGATATAAATGAACTTCAAGCTACATTAAATAGTAAAGCCGACAAGAACCATACACATAAATCCTTCACTACTGTTAGAGCAGACGACATAATATTGAACTATGATTTGGGTTCAAGTGCACCTTTAGAGAATCCGAGTACAAGCGTAAAAGATACTCTTAACAATTTAGATAACAGATGTATGAACATTGAAGGTCATGCCAGAAACTTTGAAGCATACGAACTACCAGCAATGTTAGATAAGAAAGCCGACAAAACTTATGTAGATGAAAATTATGCAAAGAAGTCGGAAGTAAATGCTGCGCTTAATGGAAAAGCCGACAAGAACCATACACATGAAGAATTTCAAACAATCAAGATTAAAGAAATTAAGGCATGCATCGAAATAGTAACAAAAACAGGAAGAAACGGTGCAACTGTACAAGAACAAAGAATTTATCCTCCTACTTTTCCTAATGGTTTAATAACAAACAATATAAATATTGTAGGAGGCAATAAAGCTATAAACGTTAAACATGAACTTCTAACAATGAAGGCCCAGATTCTTCAAACCATATATCCTGTTGGTTCTATTTATACGTCAATGAATTCAACAAATCCAGCAACAGTTTTAGGTTTTGGTACGTGGAAGCAGATTGTAGATAAATTCTTATACTGTGCTAACTATTCAAAGCAAACAGGAGGTTCGAAGAAAATTAAAGAAGCAAACTTACCTGCGCACACTCATACAGGAACGACAAACTTTTCTGGCGACCATAGCCACTCATTAAGAGACCACCCATTATACAACTCAGAATATAGAGATGGCAATGATGTTTTATCTCCATCTTATAACAATGCAGCAAAAAAGATTTTGCGACCAACTGAACCAGGAGGAAATCATGTCCATACTTTCACAACAAATCCAACAGGCTCGGGTGCAGATTATATGCCACCATTTGTGACTATATTCGCATGGTACCGCGTTCAATGAACGCGCTTGAGCTTAGAATAAAATCTTTAACTTTACATAAATGAGCTTGAAAGAAGTATTCGAACAACATCCATGGAGGTCATTTAAGAAGTTCAATGAAGCTGCAAAGAGTTGGGGATTTACTAACAGAGCTGAAGTGAAAAGGTTCTTTGACAAAAATGTTGTACATCAAACAAAAATAAACTCTTACGACTACTTTTTACCAATTTACTCGAAAACCCATGACACATACCAATTTGACACTCTCATTCAAAGCAGAAAAGGAGGACATAAACCATTCCTCATCTTCATTAATGGTAATACACGTAAAGCTTTTGCGTATATAATGAAAAATAAAGGAACAAAAGAAGTTTTAAGAGTTTTACAAAAGTTCGTGGCAGAACATCATCCCACTTCATTAACATCAGACCAAGACAGTGCATACCTCAGCAATGAAATCACAGATTTTCTCATTAAGCATAACATAACTCACTACACTACTGAAGACCATAACCATAACATACTCGGCATCATAAACCGCTTCATAAGAACGCTCAGAGATTTAAACCAAGAGCGAGACTTTACCGAAGAAACAATGAAACATTTTCTCGAAGTATATAATTCCTCAACACATTCTACAACAGGACATACACCAAATTCAATGACACAACAACAAGAAGAAAAGTATATACAAAAGAAACGAAGCCAAACACAAAATATCAGAAATTCAACACAATTTACCCTCATTCCTGGTACAAAAGTTCGTGTAGTTCTTGACGACAAACCGTTGACAAAGAAACATTTAAGGTTAAGTAGAAACTATTATATCGTAGACTCTACGCAAGGTAATGGATATCTTATAAAAGCTGCTGACGACTCTATTGCGTTTTACCCTCGTCATAAATTAGTTGAAAGTAGTAATGGCAAACTTGCTGAAACCATTGACGAAGCAAAGCGAGGAGTGGTTATTGAAATACTTGGCTATAACATAAACGATGACACTTATAAAGTAAGATATGAAGGAGGCGTTGAAGATGTTATACCATCTAAGAACTTGAGAGAGTCGAAGCCAACACATCTGGGACCATTAGAGCGGGAGTACTGGAAAGATAAAAATAAGCCAGAAAGAATAAGAAAATTCTTCTAAACTTTTTCATTTTGTTGCTGAAAAATGACCAAATTTCATGAATTTTCATAAAAGATAAAAATAAAGTTAGTTTTATTTTTATTTATTTTTTTATCTCATATGTAAAGACAGTAATGTCAAACATTGAGTTTGAAACAGTAAGAAAGATTGACAATGACACCAAAGTGGTTAGAATTGGTGATTTAAACGTAAGATACTGTAAGAAATACAACAAATATTCTTTGTCAGACATTATAACACCTTCTGGAAAGAAAACAAAGGACTGGGTTAGAATTGCTTCTACTCAGAAAATTTTGACAAGAAATCCTGAGCTCATGATATCGGTAAGATTCTATGGAACTACAGCATATCTCATTGACAAAAGTCTTATACCAATAATTCTTCTGTGGATTGACCCTGTTGTTGGATATAACTTCATAACTTATGGTTCATTCGATACGGAACGTTGCAGTGAAGGCTTACTTTACATCGTTCAGAAACCGAAGGACTTCAATACAAAGAGATATAAGATAGGAAGAACATATAATATAACTCAAAGATATGATTGTACCGTCAATAGAGTCAAGGTTGTGTTCGTTAATGATATGAGAGCCGCAGAAACAGAACTACTCGAAAAGTTTGAGAAAATGTATGGTGCTCCCATAAAAGGTAAAGAAACGTTTGAAGTAGATGAGATAGATAAAGCTATAAAATTATTTGACGAAGTTGCTGAAAAATACATGTAAAGCGTTTATTTTTGTCTTTTGTGAAAGTCAGAAAATAACGCTAATTTTTTCCTAACAAAAATTTTTATCTTGTATGTAAAGACAGTAATGTCAACATCAGAGAACACAACAACTGCTATCGTTCATGAAGCCATAAATGAAGAATACGAGTACATACAGTATAACAAACAGTTACGTCTCATTCGTTCAGTCAAAGACGATATGTACCAAATGCAAAGTATAATGAATGCTCTTCGTTCTACAAAGCAAGCATATCATTGGTTTGAAAACCAACAGACAAAAGAACTTTTAGAAGAATTTCCTCATATGATTGCTTTGCAGAATGAAGAGATTCCGTATGAAAATCGCAAGAATTTGGCTCCTGGTTTGAAAGGTTATTATGTTCATAGACTTTTAGTAAACGCTGTAGCAATGTGGGCTTCACCTCGTTATGCTTGTTATATTTTCATGATGTTAGATGAACTATATAAAGCAAAAGATGAAGTCATTGAATCCAAAGACAAAAGCATACAGAAAAGAATACCGCGTTCAGTACCAAAAGGAAAGGAAAAGAGTTATAAGTATATGATATATACTGAAGAGTTGGAGAAAGAAGAAGACAGAGATATGGTTATGTTGCATTTAGTGAGAAGAAACAACAAGAGCTTTTACGACTTAGCTAAGATATATAAATCTGACAGAAACTGGTTCTATCGTGAAAACTTACCGATTTCAATGACACCGAATGAACAAATAAAGGAAATTGTCAAAAATACTCTTCCTCAAACACACTATGACATCAAAGGTTGCACAATACTTACATTCAAAGAAGACTTAACATTACTGAAGGAAAAAATAACAGAATATTTCGACAACTTCAAAGAGGAAGAATGAAAAAAAATCTCGTCGGGTGCCACGTTAGGACCATAGTGGAGAAAACCATGATAAAAAACAAAACCCTTCGTCAAGTTTATTTTGTTTTTACCATTTAATTGTTTCCATAAACGCTCCATGTCGAACATAATTGACGAAGAGAGAATCGTCTGATCGTCAAGTTTATTTTGTTTTTACCATTTAATTGTTTCCATAAACGATAACATTAACGATAACATAAACGATAACATTAACGATAACATAAACGATAACATTAACGATAACATAAACGATAACATAAACGATAACATTAACGATAACATAAACGATAACATTAACGATAACATAAACGATAACATAAACGATAACATAAACGATAACATTAACGATAACATAAACGATAACATTAACGATAACATTAACGATAACATTAACGATAACATAAACGATAACATTAACGATAACATTAACGATAACATAAACGATAACATTAACGATAACATAAATGCTCCATGTCAATTATGTTCGACACTGATAACATTAACGATAACATAAACGATAAAATTAACGATAACATTAACGATAACATTCATTTTTGCATTAATCCTGCTGTGTTGTCAAAATGTCATGTTGTCATCATTTTTAAGAGAAGTTAATTAACCTGGTGACACATGGTGACGTGGTGACATGGTGACGTGGTGACATGGTGACGTAGTGACACCATCAGTTATTCAAAAATAAATTTTCTTATAAAGCTTCAGGGTCTATTTCTTCAACCATTTCACTTCCTTCGTCAATGTCAATAGAAGCTTCTTCAACCTTTGGTAAGAATTTCTGTATAACATCTTTGTTCGTTATTGTCTTCAGAGATGAAGGATAATATTTCACATTTGTTTCACCTTTCTTATATTCTTTCTGTTCGGAAAGATTTAAAGCAATACTGAAGAAGTCAACGTTAGAGTTCTTTATGACAGTATAGTGTGTATCTTTGACATTCACGAAGAAACTCTTTTGTTTCAAAACTACTGCTAACTCTTGTGAAGTATAACGTTTGCGGTCAATGACGATAGCTAATGGTCTGACATACTGACCAAACTTAGATTCTTTCACAAACTTCTTGTTAAAGATAACATTAACATTTGAAGCATTATTGAACTCATTCTTGATGGCAGTAGCGAGAGCATTGTATGAAAAGAACTTGCAATCTTGCATGTGTTTCATTAAAATAAAAATATTAAATTATTTTGAAAAATAACTTAAAAAAATCTAATCTAATTTTTTCAAAAAATATTTTTTTATTTCCTACTAAAGATGTATCGGAAGTTGTCTAAGTTAGAACACTCGGAAATAAAACAACTTCTTACAGAAGCTAATATAGATGTTGCAAAGCATTACGCAACAAACAAAAAAGCACTCGCTGACATCCTCAATGACTATAATGGTGCAATAAGTTATGATAGAATTCATGAGTTCATAAAGCCGCAACGCGGCGAAGACGAAGTCCATGCAAGAGCATTTCCTTTAAATGACGTTGCTATTGACTTATATCATAGACGTTCAGTACCTCATGAAGTAAGAAGAGAAATGTTTGACATAACAAATGCAAACGTTGGTCATACTCGTAAAGCTCTTTCTCATGACGTTCGTCAAGAGATGTTTGAACTTACGAACTCAAACGTTGGTGAAACAAGAAGAGCTGTACCTCATGAAGTAAGAAGAGAAATGTATGACATAACAAATGCGAACGTTGGTGAAACAAGAAGAAGAGACGACACACTGAAACAACAGAGAAGAGAGATGTTTAAGAGCGCTATAGAACAAGTTCGCAAAGATAACGATGTCCTTCGTTCCATTGACGACAAACCAAAAGAAGGTGAGAGATGGTTAAAGAAAGATGAAGAGAATAGGAAGAGGAATGTTAAGACAGGCAATAGACTCATTGACTTTAACATCGAAGCTTTAGATGAACCAAACAGAGACTACTTACACAAACATTTCGGTAAGGTTTTCATGAGACTCTTAGAGAAAATTAAAATAAACTCCCAACAAAGATGGATGGTATGTTATAAACTTGGTGGAAAGTATGAATGTTCTACGTTAAACCTCAATAATATTGGAACATTACTACATCAGCTCTTGAAGGAGAACTTTATATCAGAGATAGAAGCAAATGCTGCAGGTATTGTTGAAATGCACTATGACTTCTTCTTGACAAACATAAAGAATCTTACTGAAATAAAGATGTATGATTTAACAGAATATGAAGGCTTAACGATGTCAGATGTAAAGAAAGGCAAACCAAAAAAGAGACCATATAGAGATGAAAGCACACTGACAAATGACCAGAAAGCCATTTTGGAAGCTCTTAAGCAAACAGGAAACCCAGCACTTATAGAAAGCTTTTGGAAAGATAATGGTGAAAAGAAGTTTTATAAGAAGAGAAGCGGTCAGTTCTGGAAGTATCTTTGCACATTACCTATAAATCTTGAGCGCTACCAAATCTTCAATGAACTGAACAAAAGAACTGCAACACTTATGACAGAAGATAACTGCTTCGTTTATGCTTGCATTCAGGCTGGAGTAAATGAAGAAACTATTGACCACATGAGAGAAGTCATTCGTGTTAGTACAAGGACAAGAAATTTCTGACGCAACAGGTATAGCATTTAATGTTACCATTGGTTACTTCAATGACTCAAAGTAAAGTACAAGAAATTTCTGACGCAACAGGTATAGCATTTAATGTTACCATTGGTTACTTCAATGACTCAAGACATAATGAAATAAAGAGATACATACCAAAAGAATGTAAAACTATTCGAACTATTGACTTACTTCTTGTTGAAGACCACTACATGCTAAACGAAAGATTACCAATGACAACATATTTCATTCGCAACTATATAGAAATCTTGAAGGAGTGTGGTGGAATGAACATTGAGAAACAGATGAAGATTTATACAAAGAGAGAGAACAAATATGTAGTTCGTTATGATAGAACAACACCGTTATGGGATGTTATGAAAACATTGTGGGAGTGCAAATATTTCGAACCTATTTCTTATGGAGAACTTTTCACATATACGACTGACTTATATAAACAGAACCTTGCACCATTTAAAGATTTGACATATGCTCCAAAGTATTGTGTACAACTGAAGAAGAAAGCCGAGTCAAAAGAAGTAAATAAAGCTAAATGTAAGTTCATTCCTGAGCACGTTTTCTTTGCTGACTTTGAATGTAGCACTGATGGCTTTCATAAAGCTTTTAACATATGTTACGACAGTGAAGATGGTTCAGTGAGTGAAAGCATTTGGGGTCAGAACTGTGCAACAGAATTTTTGGAACGACTTCCTGACAAGAGTTTAATATATAGGGTGTCCAAAGGTGTGTTTAGCCCAAACCTGAATACTGCGAATAGAAATAAACAAGTTACATATATATAAAGTTTATTTAAATATAATCACCATTGGATTCAATCACGCGTTCGCAGCGATCGATCCAGGCTTGAAAGACACGCTTTAAATCATCATGAGAAAATTGCTCAAATTGCTCTCTTACAAAATTTTCAAGATCATCTGGACTCGCGAATTCGCGTCCTTCAGCTCTCTTTTTTAGCGTGCCGAATAAATAAAAGTCAGAGGGTGCAATATCAGGTGAATAAATTGGGTTTGGAACAACTTTGACATTGTTTTCCAACAAGTAATTCATTACCTTATGACTTTTGTGAACTCTTGAATTATCAAAATGAATTGCAAACTTTTGTTTTTGTTGTTTGGATTTCTCAAACTCATCAGAATTGATAATTTGAATAAGAACATTGTCAATTAGATACTGAGCATTCATCGTATTAGGTTTTTGAAGAATATCAATTGCGATGATGCCATTCACGCCCCAAAAAACCGACAACATCATCATTGGTGTGTCAATTTTTTTCTTCGGGAATGTTTGCGGATTTTCAGCCTTCGGGATCCACATGATTTTGGCTTCTGTTGCATATTGAAACCAAGACTCGTCCCCTGTTACTAAAAAGCGAAACTTCTTGGATTGATACGCACTCAATATAGAGAGGAGCTCTTTCGAAGATTGGACTCTAGATTTTTTTTGAACTGAATTAAGGTTGTGCGGAACCCAACGTGTATACGCTAGTTTGTAGTTCAAATAATTGTGCAAATAATAACTGACTGTTGTACGTGGTATCTTTGTCATCTCCTCTATCCTTCTGAGTGATGCTCTTGGGTCTTCATCTAGCGCTTGAAGAATTGCTTTGATTTTTCTTTGATCCGGCGATTTTTTGTCAATTTTTATGATGGGCGCCTTTTTGTTCATGAAGTGATACATCCTAACATGATACGTTACAGTGGAATAGCTAGGAGCATCCATACCGAAGCATTTTACCAATGTCTCGTAGATTTTTTTACAGTCTTTGCATTTTTTTGCAAGAGCGAGGATGTTTTCTTTATGATTCATTAAAAAAATGAAAAAAATCCCGCCAAAATTTCCCGCGAAACCGCCTCTTGTCTCAAAATTCATTTTATATCCCGGCATGGCGCCAAAATACAACATACTCATCATATACATATATTCATATTTTTTATTATATATTTATAATCAGCATATATCTCCTTTAATAGTCTCATATAGAGCGCTGTGCTAAACGCACCTTTGGACACCCTATATTTCCATAACCTCAGTTATGATATAAACTTCATCTTAAGACACATGACAGAAGTGAAAGGAACTCCCATCATTAAAGGTTCACGAACAATGCAAATAACTGGCTTATATAAAGGAAGGGCAATTATTATAAAAGACTCTTACAGTGTTATAAATAAGAAGCTTAAACTATTTCCTGCTATGTTTAACTTACAAACAGGACCGAAAGAAGTATTTCCATACAACTACTACAGCAGTGTTTTGTTAGCAAATGATAACAGAACTGGTGTCATTTCTGAAGCATGTAAGTTTGTAAAAGATATTGAAACGTTCATGAAAAACATAGATTTAATCGAAAACTGCAGAATAGATGAAAACCATTTCGATTTAGAAAAATATAGCTCATTTTATTGCAAACAAGATGTAAGAATTTTAAGAGAAAGTTTTGTTAAGTTCCGCAATGATATATTGAAAGAGTTTGATTTAAACGTTTATGACTACGTTAGTATTTGTTCTATTGCTAACAAATTATTTGAGAACAGAGTGTACTTCCCGAATGGAAATCTTTATGACCTCTCAAATAAACCAAGAGAATTTATTTCGAGATGCATTCAAGGTGGAAGATGTATGCTGTCAGATAACATTAAACAAAAGAGCGAAAAGAAACTCATTGCTGATTTCGACGCTGTTTCATTATATCCATCCGCTATAGCAAGACTTTATACTTTAGAAGGTATTCCAAAGGTTATGAAGAAAGAAATGTTAAGCACAGAGTATCTCATGAGACATTTATTCGATGACGACCAAAAGGAACCCATTGGTGAAAAGTTTATGTCTGGCTTCTTTGTTCTCATTAAGATAACAGAGATTGGAATACATATACACTTTCCTTTAATAGTTTGTGACCCTGAACTAAATCCAGAACTTAACGTTCCCAGAAGTTCAAACACTTGCTGTTTAATGTATGTTGACCATATAACATTACAAGACCTCATAAAATATCAAGGTGTCAAATGTGAAGTGTTGCAAGGATACTATTACGATGGAAACAGAGATATTAGAATAAGAGATGAAGTAAAGAAGTTGTTTGAGTTAAGGTTAAAGTATAATAAAGAAGGAAATCCTTTGCAAGAAAATATAAAGCTCATTCTGAACAGTATTTATGGCAAAACTATTCTATCTCCTATTGAGTCAAAAATAACCATAGTAAATGACAAAGATGCTATAAGATATGCCATCAGAAACTACAACCATATAGTGAAGTTCGAAGGTTTGGATGGTTCAGATAAAACTATTTTCAAGCTAACGAAAAGCATTTGCAGACACTTTAACTTCTGTCCACTTGGTGTTAATATTCTGTCTATGTCGAAGAGAATAATGTGTGAAGTATTCTGTACTGCTGAAGATATGGGACTTCAAATATTTTACCAGGACTGTGATAGCATGCATATTTTCAATGAAGACATACCAAAGCTTGCAGCAGAGTTTAAGAAGAGATACGGTCGCGAACTTATAGGAAAGAACCTTGGTCAATTTCATTCTGACTTCGCAGAAATAACACCTGGAAAACAAAGTTTAGCATACAAGTCAATATTTTGTGGAAAGAAGACCTACATAGACTTACTCACGAATGATTTAAATGAAGTTGCATTCCATGCACGTTGTAAAGGTGTCAAACAAGACGTTCTTGCTTTAACAGCTAATGAAATGTTTCCTGAAGCTATACAATGCTATTACAATGAAGATAAGAACATTTACATACCTGTTGGAACATATGACAAAGACTCTGAGTTCAGTTTAATGAAACTTTACAAAGCACTTCATGATGGTCAAGAGATTGGATTTGACTTATGTAAGTCATGTCAACCTTGCTTTGCTGAAAAGTTTAACTTCTCAATAACGACTAAAACAAGCTTTATTCGTAAGTTGAAGTTCTGAGGTCATTTATTTTTGTCAGCAATGAGGTCATTCGTGATAAAAATAAAACTAGCGTAGATTTTACAATACTGCGATGGTAGAGTTTAAGAGTTGTGCTTCAATGTAGAGCCAGTCCTTATGGTCTGGAGGTAAGAACACTGGTGCTTTATGGTCATGAGTGGAGAACATGTCTATCCAAAACTCACGATTGAAGCCAGTTAATTTATAGTATTTAGGGTTAGGAAGTGGTGAAGTTCTTGTATGACCAATGAACTCATTTTCAACTCCCTTACTTAAGTTTGAATATAATATTGCTTGTTTTCTATCCCAAATACCTGGAAATCTAATTTCGGAAAATTCATTTTTCCTCGGAAGCATTGCATCATAATTGAAAACATTCTTGAAATCATCACTTGGTTCAGAGATTTGAAATCTTATACGTGATGGATTTTTTTTTCTCTTTAGCGACTTCATTGAATGGTGAGAATACAATGAATTGACAGTCATGTGTTCCATCTTCATTTGGTACAAACTCGTAATGAAAAGCTATTAATCTTTCTACAATTCCTTCTTCTTTCAGTTGTGCAAGAAACTCACGTAAAGGCTGTAAAGTTTGTACTTCAATGTTAAACTTCTTTTGAAAATTTTCGTAAAATGTAATTATACAGTCTTCTAACGTCGTACTGTTTTTAAAGTATTTGTATATGTGAATGTTTTGGACGCTTAAAGACTGTTCGTCATTTTCTATCTCGACTTGAAGTATAAAGTCAACCTTTCTGAAAGCACGTGTTATATACATATTTGTTATGCCAATGTACTTCTCTTCATTTATGTTCACAATCCAGTCTGTTGGAAACTTAAACGTTACTCTGTTCCCCTTTATTTTGACGTCAGGGTTTTCACTACTGAACGCAACAGATAAAGGTATTTGTCTATACATTTAATTCGGATAAAAATAAACCATTTACTCTTTCTTTGCTTCAGCTTCTTTAGCTTTTGCTTCAGCTTCTTCTCTAGCTTTTTTCGCCAGCAAACGTGGGTTCTTCTGTCTTCCAGCAGCTAATGCAGCAAGTTGTTTTTCACTAAGTTTTCTCTTTGGTCTCTCTGGCTTTTGTTCTTGTTTTTGTTCCTTCAGTTCGGATAAAATTTGCTCACGAATTTCTTTCTTCAATGCTTCAACATCTATGACCCCTTGGGTCTTGTCCGTAGGGCTTGTCTGAGTCATTTGACTGCAGATAAAAAACAAAATTAAAACTTTAACCGATGTAAAATGAGCTTGTCAAAATCAGAGCGAGAGTCTATTATATTAAATGACGCAAGAGGAATACAACATCCTTTCTATTACGTAAGTCAGAGTAAAGATGGTAAAATATACGTAAGAAAAAGAAAGGTTCCATTAGCGAATGCAGAAAGCGACAACATTAAGGTGTATGGCAAGGGTGAAGTCCACGAAGCCCATGTTAAGCCTTCTATTCAAACTGAAAAGTCAATAGAACCAGAAGAAAAGAAGCCAGATGTACTTTCAATAACGAACCAAGAGCTTATTGCAAAGTTCGTGAATTTCATTGAAAAACAAACCGAGTCAAAGAATCCTGACCCGCCAGTGAAAGAAGTTGAGACAAAAGAGAATGTACAGTTCATTGAAAATGTCAAGAAACAACTTCCACCACGAATGCCAAGAAGAAGAGTGAGAATAATGAAGTAAATAGATATTTTTATCTGAAGTAAATACATGCAGAACGAACAGCTAAACGAATTTACTCCAGCAGAGCATATTCATCAGATTCGCTCATATTTCGATATCATAGACAATGCAGTTCAAATTGGTGACACTAATAGAAAATATTGTGACGCAAAGATTCCATCACAACCTGGAACTGCTAAAGATAACACATGGGTAACATAGTTAGTATACATATCATGGGTACGGTGGCACTGCGCGCCTCCTTACCCCTGATATGTGAATTTGACACTTTACAAAACCGTTAACGTATATTTTACAACACTAATGACTTCACTAACGAATTCACTAATGTTTTCACAAACGACTTCACTAATGTAAAAATAAACGTTCTCACTTACAAAAGTATTGCAACTCCTCCCATTGCTGTGCTTCATATAACAGCTCATAATCTTCTGACTCACTTTCTTCTTCATATAGGTCAAAATCACTGTCATAGTTTATACCTGTAAGTTTTGACAAAGCTAATGAAACACGCTTACCGTTTGTATCGTATGCTTGTATAAACTTTCCATTATGCTTGTAGTCATAAACGCTCAAACTAACTTTACCCTTTCTCCCTCGTATCTGATAGAATGTATTTTCACGAGGAACGAAGAACAAATTCTTGAACTCATGACCGTTGTAGTTTGTTATCTCAATAGTTTTCGTCATTTATATAAAAATAAAATAAAAAATAAACTTAAAAATTAATGATATCACCACTCCCACACGTATGAAAACATCCATTTAAATTTAGGGTAGAAGGTTAGATCTAACCTCATTTCTACCCTCATTTCTACCCTGTTGAATTCATTGCTTTATAACTCTCTTCCTTGGTTTCTTTTTAGTTGCTTTCTTTACGTCCGTCTCCAACTTGACTGTCTTTCTTCTTCGGCCGTAATGATACCAATTACTTCCACCAGTCAATGGGTCAAATGGTCTTTCGTAAGGGTTTCCATACATTCCATAAGGTCCGTACGGAAAACTACTGGTGGAGAAGAAACATTTTCTTTAGTTCCATCGACTCTATTTAAATGCATTGTTTCACCTTTCATCTGGTCATTAAAGTCTTTTGCGTGTTTTGCAAACTCATCGTCCTTTCCTAAAGCATTTTCTGACTCAGTCGCAACCAAATTGGATGCTTTATTTATGAGCCCTATTTTATTTAATCTTAACTTCTTTGCAACCCAGCCTCCAATCTTTCCTTTATTTGCATCTAATGTCTTCGAAACCCTTCCTCCACTCATTTTATTTACTGCGTCATAAGCTCCAAGTGCTTTTGCTCCAAATGCTAATGCTTTTGTTCCCATTGCGCCTAAAGCTGCCCAAGCTACCATTTACACCATATTAAAATCATCTCTCTTCAATATTATCTCATAAAAGTTCTCGTTACTGGAGAAAGTCAATGAAACATAAACATTCTCACGCTTCGCCCTCACCGCTTTGCGGTCTATCTAACTTATTTCTTATATCATCTATACGCTTCAAAATGTCTGAACAATTGCTAACATCTTCTACAACAGTTATTTCATCATGAACGACCTTTAAGAACAAGCTCATTTAATATGCAATTAAAATCATCTCAATAATGAGTCCATCCTTTCCATCTTTAGGTAGCACAACATCTTTCATTGAAGAAGGTTCGACAAGTCTTATGTTAAACTTACTGACAAAGTTTGTTATACTATAATGCTTCGGCGGCGAATACATGTAGTTTGAAAGACATAATATAGATTCTTCAGCAAATTCACTTATACTGGATTTTATAACAATGTTCTCACGAGACCAAATACGCCAAATTGACAATCTTGTAAGCAATCCTGCTGAACCTTCAACTGTAAACGTCGATGGTAACATTCCACGAAGGTCATCTATTGACATCTTTGAGTCACTGAATTTAAATATTTTCTTAAAGCAATCGTCATTATCTAACCATGCAATAGCTTTGAAATTTTCATTCGAATATACATCTGCTTCATTAAATGTAAATCCTGACTTCTTTGCAGAGACGACTTTAAAATCTATTGAGTTTGTTTCAAAATTATATGCTATGGTAACTTCTGAAGGTAATGGATGTCCTTCCGCAGTCAGTTGTTCTCTCACTACCGTTTGAAGCTTTGTGTTAAAAACTTTCATGTCATCTCCTGTATCTAAGTTCACATACACAGCAACAGGGAAACTATCTTGCTTCTTTGTTTCATCATTATATCTCAAAACATTAAAGTTCTTCAATAATATTGTTCTTCCTGCTGGAATACTTCTAACTTGTCTTATTTCAATAGCTTTCTCACCTCCTACATACTCTACCCAGTGTCTTGGATATTCATAAGTATACTGACTTTCTTGAATTTTGGTTGGTTTCATCATAACATGTTCATAGTATATCTTTATACTCTTATCAGTTAGACTCGGTGCTATGTTCTGAATATTTCTGACTTGCATTTTTAATGGAGATAAAATGAAGCATTTAATACATGACGTAGATGAAGACATGAATGAAACTACAGACAAACTTAACTCTTCTCTTATTCTTCCTTTCAGCAAAGATTATGAGTTCTGTTCAAATGGTGTGTATTTCTATTGTGGAAAGATGGGTCAGGAAACATTCAACCTCATTCGTCATATACTCATAACAGAACGTTTAGGAAACGACTCTTACTATGACCAAATCATTATATCAGCAACTTCAGACTCTATGGATTCAACAGCGAAAACATTTATGTCAAAAGTTCAAGCCTCTGTCGTTAAAGTTCCAGACAGTGAACTCATTGAATTTCTTCAACGTTACATTCGACGTAAGAGAAAATATTATGCTATCGTTGAATTTATACAGTCAGGAATGCAAAAGACTTCTGAGGAGATGGAAAGAATTATTGACAAACACCACTTACGTCAATACTCAGGAGTTTACGATATGAAACGACTGACAAACTACATTCTCAAAACTTTCAAAATACCCCTTCAAAAATATCCTTCAAACTTTGTTAGTTTGCGACGACTTCGCCGGAAAAGGTTTAGTTCAAAGCCTGACTCACCATTAGCTAACATCATAACTAAAGTCAGACATTACCACTTAACTGTAGCAATACTTATGCAAACATGGAGGTTTTTAGCTTTAAACATAAAACGTCTCATAACTGACTTCGTTATCTTTCAAGGTTTCTCACGCTATGATATTGAACTCATTTGGAAACAGTCAGGTATAACATTACCTTTTGAAGAAATTTGGGAAGCATATAAGTCTCTCATCTCTCCTCGTTCATACCTTGAGATTCATATCATGACTAATACCATTAAAGTCAAAAATATTCCATGGGAACGACCAACATTGTTTTAAAGTTTAACCTTCAATTGACTGATGGTAAACAAATTCCATGCATCTCTGTCGCCATTTCTGTTAATATTTTTGCTGTCATTCATATCATCCACTTCCCCATCCGTTAGCTTTTGAGGATATGCGTTAGAATAGCTGTTCTTAAATGAAGGCTTTTCACCTTTGAGAGCATAAACTCTATAACTTTCTGCATACTTTATGTTTGAACCTCCTGAGCCATCATTGACATAAATTTTTATAGGCTTCCACCCTTTGTTCATGTTCCTGCTTCTTCCCTTAGCTCTTTTGTTCAGTAGTTCTACATCTTTATACACAGCTGTCTCAGTGAATTCAACAATATTTTCATTCGTTAGCTTTACATTCAAACCCTTGTCGAGTATATTGTTCATTTCATACATATAAAAGGTTTTTATTCTATATGAAATGAGAAGCAAATCCATCTTAGCTGGTGCCGTTAATGTTCCAATTGAACCAACATCAAATGTTGACTCACGAACGACAAACAATATTGTCATAAAGAACTATAGTTCAGAGTGTTTGAAAGAACCAGAACCAGAGCTGAAATCCGTGAATTTAAACACAGCTTCAAACGCTAACGCTACATCAGATGTTAAGTTAGAGTATCCACCACTGGACCAAATTCTTTCAAGAGAAGCCAACGACAACCCTTACACAAATGTTCAAACAAATCCTTCAGATAACGTAGACCATTACCTTCTTCAGTTATACCAAACAATTTTACTCAAAGACGATAAGAAGCTTTTGACAAATCTTATAAGTAAGAACCAAATAATTCTAACAAAGGAGGACCTTGAAAATGTTATCTCACGAATAACAGGGAAACAATGTGTCATTGACTATCTCGACCCTGAAATCGAATGCTGTGGTCAAACGCCACCATTCATGAAAATAGGTAACATCCGCATCATTGAAACACCAGGAACTACAGGAGTTGAGTTTAAGTATAAATATTCGAACGAGTATCAAAACTTTCAACAGAATACTTTGCTTGAAATATGTTTTAGTAAATTAAAGCAATTTGTAATATCTATCCAAAACTTCTTCAACAGTATCGAACTCATCTTCATAATGCAAACCTAATCTTATTGACTTGGTGCAGTTTTCACTAACACAATATTTTTCTGTTCTCTTGACTGACATAACTAACTCATTTGTTTCATCAAACAGCAACAACCAAAGTTCATGACCTAATACATAACATTCATACTTTATATTTTTAGCTCTGAGTTCTCTTGTAAGCTGTTGCATTTTATTTTCTAAAAAGTCAACTTCAACAGTCATTCGCACTGGTGCCTTCAGTTCTACAGGCTCGCCTTGAAAGTCAACAAGTCTGAATTGCATGTCTTTCAAATTATGAGGACTAATGCGAACCCATTTACCTAAATGAGTTGCTATGACAGGAACGTTTGGAATGAACATTGAATTTACTTCATAACAGAAAGATTTATACTCTACTGAACCTTTACTATTAACTCCTGAAATGCCTGTGACATTAGCTATTTTTAGACTCAATGTATAAACAATTGCCATAACATACGTATGGAACAGATTTCATCTCAATCGTTTTGTCAACACTTTTCAAAGGAAATGTCATATGTATGCTCCTAAAGAAGTTGAACTCTATGACTCATTCGTGTTATCTTGAACTCTTTCTTGCTACTGAACTTCAATGTTCCCTCAGAAGAGAGTTCGACATCTATGTTGTCAATAGTTTCTTCATTTATGAGAGTATCTATGACTCCAGCAATTTTATCTATTCTATACTCTGCTCTGTTAGGAAATGTTATAAACTTCTTTTGTCATCTATTTCAATCTCTATGAAATCTGTTTCATCTGTTATGACAAAAGTTGCGATAGTATTGAAGTCAACAACTCTGAAAGCAAGCGCTTCATTCTGAAGACCTAAGTTTGTTTGTAGCTTTACTGTCCCGTATTCGTTTGGGTCTGTACTTTGCAAATAGAACAACATTTTATTCTCATTAAAATATGACTATTGCTGCATATGCGTATGAAACAAATGAAGCAAGAAGAGCACATGAACTAGTAAACGAAACTCAACTTTAACCATTGAAGGCAATGATTTAGTCATTGACGATGGAAAAACTAAAAAAGTCATTGATTTCGATACTTTTAACACTTATGACCCATTCATTACAATAAGTAAAGTTCCTATCATAAATGATGGAACGGTGCAATATATAAATTCTACTGTAGATGCCTCATTAGTGAAAGTATTAAATGTTTCTCATTGAATTGTTAAAGAGCTTTCGATTTGACGACAACATTAAATGCCTAAAGAATTTAGTCATGAATGAGAAACAAATTCTTGGCGTTGCTGGTAGCAGTAATGATGTACACCTTATGACATTAGAATATTATATACGAACATAAAGATGAACTGAAAGGAGAGAAGGGTGACACCGGACCACAAGGACCACAAGGAATACAAGGAATACAAGGAATACAAGGACCTCAAGGCGAGAACGGTTTGGATGGTGAAGATGGAAAGGATGGAAAAAACTGCTAAATCATGGATATGGGACCTTATAAATACTGGTTTAACAGCTGCTTCATATGGAGTTCTTCAATACCAAATCGGAAAGATATGGGCAGTACTTGGTGAAGAAGTTTTAGATGACGTTAAAAATGCTTTGAACTTCATTTCAAATGGTTCGGATACTATTAAAACTTTATCTGGTTGGATGCAAGAAACAAGGAGTCAAATAGATACTGTAAGACGTATAGCAAACAATGCACGTACGGGATTGGATACTTTACGAGAAGCACAAAATACACTAAAGGAAGCAAATGATATTCTTGGCTCAGTATCAGACATGCATGAAGATTGGCTTAAAGGTATTGACAAATCTTTAAAAAATCACAGTCAGTCTATTGCTGACTACAAGAAAAGTATAGATTTTTTACATAGTGCTATGGACGTACATGATGGAAGCATAAGGAACTTACTTAATGCTAACAATAACTTACCAGGAACTATTAAAGCATTTATAAAGTCCTTTGTAAAACCTGGTGCTCTAACATTTAGGTCTTTGAGAGCAAAGAGCATTGAAGTCAAGAGATGCAGAAACTCCAACAGAACCTACAGAAGGAACTGAAACAACAGAAACTCCAAAAGAACCACCAAAACCAACAGCTAATGAAATATTGTTCGAATATTTTCCAAGGTACTCTGTTCTCATTGCATACATTCAAGAAATACTTAAGAAAGCAGACTTGACTTTAGGAGATGATGAAAGTTCTGTATATCTTTCGTTCCAGTTTCAAATAGCAGAACTTTTGAGACAGATATGCTTAATGTATGACAACATCTCTGATTTCACAAGATATGATGACGACCATGACCCCGAACACGGTGAAGAAGAAGTTTTACAAACATCCATTAAGACAGGAAAGGTTTTAACACAAAGTCTCATTATTGACACCAAAGATGGCGAAGTGGACGTTCTTCAAGAGCTGAAGAAAAATACTTCTTCGGGAGGTGGTGGTAGGCATGAACTTGAAATAAATGAGATAGAAGAGAAATTAGCCGAAAAAGCAGATAAAGAACATAAACACAATATCTCCGATATAAATGAACTTCAAGCTACATTAAATAGTAAAGCGGACAAAAATGAACTTGACGCAATGAACAAAGTTTTGAAATCTCATAAACACAATATCTCCGATATAAATGAACTTCAAGCTACATTAAATAGTAAAGCGGACAAGAACCACGTTCATTATATAAGTTCAGACGAACAGATTATAACGGACTATCATGGATATTTAACACGAAGTGATGAAGCGAAGACAAAAAATGTTAATGAAAGAAGATATAAATACATTCGTGCTAAAGGTTATGACATAAGCTGTACTGTACACTATGATGTAGCTAAAGCACCAGAAGCATTTGGTTATACCGGTGAAATTTATGCCTCTACTTTCAATGTTAACGGTGTATTAGTTGAACCAAGATTTATGTTAAGAGTTAAGGCAAAAATAACTTTTGAAGATGCTATTAAAAGTAAAGCTGACAAAAATGAACTTGAAGCAATGAACAAAGTTTTGAGATCTCATAAACACAATATCTCCGATATAAATGAACTTCAAACTTCTTTAGACAACAAAGCAGACAAAAACCATACACATGAATCCTTCACTACTGTTAGAGCTGATGACATAATACTGAACTTTGACCTTGGTTCAAGTGCACCTTTAGAGAATCCAAGTACAAGCGTAAAAGATACTCTTAACAATTTAGATAAGAGTTGCAGGAACATTGAAGGTCATGCCAGAAACTTTGAAGCACATGAACTACCAGCAATGTTAGATAAGAAAGCAGACAAAACTTATGTGGATGCAGAACTAACAAAGAAATTTTCGAAACCAGATACAATGACATTTACAACAGAAATTATAAATGGTGAACCAGCAACTCCATTTGAATTTGTTAGAGGTCTTCAACCAGATACTTTTGAATTTTTCTTGGATAATTCTATTGAACTAACATTACATTATAAAAGTGGAACAAATGCAACATTTCATCCGGGAGATACATTCCAAATGGTATTTAATGACATAAGTTCTTTAGAATATGTTTATAGAGTTATGAGCATATATGATTTAATATATCCTATAGGAGCTGTTTATACGTCTATGAATCCAATAAATCCAAACACTTTATTTGGTGGTAGATGGTATGAAATAGTTGACAGTTTTCCATTCTACACTAATACGCAGTCAATGAAGATGGGAGGTTCAAAGAAAATAGGTATTGAAAACCTTCCTTCACATATGCATAGGTTCAGTGGAAGAACATCTGTGGAAGGAAACCATTCACATTCAATAACAAAAAGAGGTTATATAAATCTTGCAGCGGGTTCGAATAGACAGGGAATGAACAGATATGATATCTCAGATGACCCCAAAGATGTTAGCACAGGTATTTTCTGTGGAACTGCAGGAAATCATACACATGTTGTAGCTGGTATTACAGACCCAGCAGTAATGGAAAAGATTATATGCTCCTTATATAACAATGCACGCTTGGATACGAGTTGGTTAAAATCTTTAACTTTACATAAATGAGCTTGAAAGAAGTATTCGAACAACATCCATGGAGGTCATTTAAGAAGTTCAATGAAGCTGCAAAGAGTTGGGGATTTACTAACAGAGCTGAAGTTAAAAGGTTCTTTGACAAAAATGTTGTACATCAAACAAAATAAACCCTTACGACTACTTTTTACCAATTTACTCCAACATCCCGACGCATACCAATTTGACACTCTCATTCAAAGCAGAAAAGGAGGACATAAACCATTCCTCATCTTCATTAATGTTAACACTCGTAAAGCATATGCATATCCAATGAAAAATAAAGGAACTCGTGAAGTGTTAAGAGTTTTACAAAAGTTTGTAGCAGAACATAGCCCAAGTACTTTAACATCAGACCAAGACAGTGCATACCTCAGCAATGAAATCACAGATTTTCTCATTAAGCATAACATAACTCACTACACTACTGAAGACCATAACCATAACATACTCGGCATCATAAACCGCTTCATAAGAACGCTCAGAGATTTAAATCAAGAGCGAGACTTTACCGAAGAAACAATGAAACATTTTCTCGAAGTATATAATTCCTCAAACACATTCTACAACAGGACATACACCAAATTCAATGACACAACAACAAGAAGAAAAGTATATACAAAAGAAACGAAGCCAAACACAAAATACCAGAAATTCAACACAATTTACCCTCATTCCTGGTACAAAAGTTCGTGTAGTTCTTGACGACAAACCGTTGACAAAGAAACGTTTAAGGTTAAGTAGAAACTATTATATCGTAGACTCTACGCAAGGTAATGGATATCTTATAAAAGCTGCTGACGACTCTATTGCGTTTTATCCTCGACATAAATTAGTCGAAAGTAGTAATGGCAAACTTGCTGAAACCATTGACGAAGCAAAGCGAGGAGTGGTTATTGAAATACTTGGCTACAACATAAACGATGACACTTATAAAGTAAGATATGAAGGAGGCGTTGAAGATGTTATACCATCTAAAAACTTGAGAGAGTCAAAGCCAACACATCTGGGACCATTAGAGCGGGAGTATTGGAAAGACAAAAACATGCCAGAAAGAATAAGAAAATTCTTCTAAACTTTTTCATTAGATGTAAATCAGACATGAATGAGAACAGTCATGTATTATTAATGGTACCATTTATTTTTGTCATAAATTTACACCAAAAAATAATGTTTAGGGTAGAAGGTTAGATCTAACCTGTTTTCTCACCTCTTTTCTACCCTCTTGAATTTTCCCGAAATAAAAAATAAAGTTAGTTTTATTTTATTTATTTTTTTTATTTTGTATAAAAGATATGATTTCAACAATCGGCACAACAACAATTCAAACAACAGCACCAAACTCGTTAGTCATGAATCCAACATCTATGTTAGTAGAAATGAAAAGCTTCATTCCTTCTTCATATACTTTCGAAACAAAAATCCAGAAGATAAAGCAAGAACTGTTAACAAGTAATTTAGACTGTAGTGCGAAAGATGAAACAAATGAAGAATATCTTTATGAAATGCAGGACATTATTGACCATTTGCCTAAACTACCTGAAATCCAACAACAAAAACTCACTATTCCTGAATTTGACGAAATTGAAGTGAAACCAACTGACTCAGTAGAAATAAAGAAGTTCATACGTAAAGTAAATTATGAATTCCTTGGTTTTCATTGCAACCATAAAGTTATGGACAAAGATTGCGACATGGTATATAAGAATGTTTCTGACATATATAAATCTGAAGAATTTAAGACCTACGACAACTTTGTTTCATTAGTTGCAGAATGTGTATGGCAGATAAGAGATGAAGATAGAAGAGATAAAGTATGGAATAAACAGATAAGACCCGCTATGTTTGAGATGAAGAGAGCAATTGACGCCTTGGTTGTTTTAGCTGGTTTTATTTCAATGTATAACGCAAAAATGAACCCGCAATGTTCAAAATGTAAGGCAGCAATGAGGAAATATAACTACTCAGTCAAAGAGATAGAAAGAATGAGAAACGACTATGCAGACTTAAAGAAAGAAGCAGAGAAGCCGGTAGAAAATAAAATGGACATGTTAGAATTTCTGAACAAAAACTATCCAACTGCTGACGATTTCCTATTATCTGACGTCAAGAAGAAGTATAAAGAAACTTTCGGTATCGTTAAAACATTCGATGTACTAAAAGAAGAAATAGAAGCTACGAAACTGTTTAGAGTCTCACGAATTCATAACGTTTACCATGTAAAACGCTTATAAAATAACTGGGGTAGAAAAGAGGTTAGAAAACAGGTTAGATCTAACCTTCTACCCTAAACATTATTTTTGAGGAAAAAAATGAAGGTTCTATACGGTTTCTAACCGTTAACAAGCTTGCCTTTTACATTCTGCCTGAGGAAGTCTTTAACAAGCTCGTTAATTTCAATTAGGTAAATTGCCTCGTCGGTAGGTTCGACTTCGACCATTGCTACTGACAGTAGCAGTACTTTTACTGACAGTAGCAGTACTTTTACTGACATTAGCAGTACTTTTACTGACAGTAGCAGTACTTTTACTGACAGTAGCAGTACTTTATCGTCGAAAACCCTCTCAAATTTTCCTTTTTACTGACATTAGCAGTACTTTTACTGACAGTAGCAGTACTTTTACTGACAGTAGCAGAGATTTTTATCGTCCAACTTTACAAATGTAAACTTATATCGTTCTATTTTCTTCACTAGGGTCTAACACCAAAGTAACCTTACAAATGTAAACTTATATCGTTCTATTTTCTTCACTAGGGTCTAACACCAAAGTAACCTATGTACATGAAATTTCACTGCATAAAAGGAAAAAAACCTGCGCGAATCAGGATTTGAACCGAGGTCTTCGACGCCTTTAACGAGGTAGCCCATACCACTGAGCTATGAGCCGCTTGCATATTTTTAAGTAAAATATAGTATATTTGTCATACCGTGAAGGATGACCAAACTTAAAAAAAAATAAAGTTAGTTTTATTTTTATTTATTTTTTTATTTTGTATGTAAAGACATATATGTCAAACATTGAGTTTGAAACAGTTAGAAAGATAGACAATGACACCAAATTGGTTAGAATAGGTGATTTAAACGTAAGATACTCAAAGAAATACAACAAATATTCTTTGTCAGACATTCTGACACCATCTGAAAAGAAAACAAACCACTGGGTTAGAAATGCTTCAACTCAGAAAATTTTGACAAGAAATCCTGAGCTTATGATATCAGTAAGATTCTATGGAACTACAGCATATCTTATAGACAAAAGTCTTTATACAATAGTTTTGTTATGGATTGACCCAGTTGTTGGATATAACTTCATAACTTATGGTTCATTCGATACGGAACGTTGCAGTGAAGGCTTACTTTACATCGTTCAGAAACCGAAGGACTTCAACACAAAAGATATAAGATAGGAAGGACATATAATATAACTCAAAGATATGACTCTACAGTCAATAGAGTCAAGGTTGTGTTCGTTAATGATATGAGAGCCGCAGAAACAGAACTACTCGAAAAGTTTGAGAAAATGTATGGTGCTCCCATAAAAGGTAAAGAAACGTTTGAAGTAGATGAGATAGATAAAGCTATAAAATTATTTGACGAAGTTGCTGAAAAATACATGTAAAAATAACGCTAATTTTTAATAAAATTTGACGAAGTGCAAATCTTCACTTCGTGTCATAATGTAAAAATAACGCTAATTTTTAATAAAATTTGACGAAGTGCAAATCTTCACTTCGTGTCATAATGTAAAAATAACGCTAATTTTTATAAAATTTGACGAAGTGCAAATCTTCACTTCGTGTCATAATGTAAAAATAACGCTAATTTTTAATAAAATTTGACGAAGTGCAAATCTTCACTTCGTGTCATAATGTAAAAATAACGCTAATTTTTTATAAAATTTGACGAAGTGCAAATCTTCACTTCGTGTCATAATGTAAAAATAACGCTAATTTTTAATAAAATTTGACGAAGTGCAAATCTTCACTTCGTGTCATAATGTAAAAATAACGCTAATTTTTAATAAAATTTGACGAAGTGCAAATCTTCACTTCGTGTCATAATGTAAAAATAACGCTAATTTTTAATAAAATTTGACGAAGTGCAAATCTTCACTTCGTGTCATAATGTAAAAAATAACGCTAATTTTTAATAAAATTTGACGAAGTGCAAATCTTCACTTCGTGTCATAATGTAAAAAAAGGCTAATTTTATTTTTATTTATTTTTTTATTTTGTATGTAAAGACAGTAATGTCAACATCAGAGAACACAACAACCGCTATCGTTCATGAAGCCATAAATGAAGAATACGAATACATACAGTTTAACAAACAACTCCGTCTCATTCGTTCAGTCAAAGATGATATGTACCAAATGCAAAGTATTTTGACAACATGTTATGCTCCAGATACTAAGCTTCCTAAAGACTGGTTTAGGAACCAAAGCACTATTGAACTATTAAATGAAGCACAGCGAGACATACTTTTTTCTGAAAACAGTGAAGAACAGCGAGTAGGTAAAAAACCCCAGTCGCCAAAAACTCTATGAAAATCGTGAAAAATTGCCAAACGGTTTGAGAGGATATTATGTACATAGACTTCTTGTAAATAATGTGGCACAATGGGCTTCAGCTCGTTATGCTTGGTATTTGTAAACTTCTTGACGAAATTCACAGACAAGAACGTGAAGAGCTGGAAAAGAAACTTCAAGCAAAAGATGAAGTCATTGAATCCAAAGACAAAAGCATTCAGAAAAGAATACCACGTTCGGTACCAAAAGGAAAGGAAAAGAGTTATAAGTATATGATTTATACTGAAGAGTTGGAGAAAGAAGAAGATAAAGATATGGTTATGTTACATTTAGTCAGAAGAAACAACAAAAGCTTTTACGACCTTGCTAAGATATATAAATCTGACAGAAACTGGTTCTATCGTGAAAACTTACCGATTTCAATGACACCGAATGAGCAAATAAAGGAAGTTGTCAAAAATACTCTTCCTCAAACACACTATGATATGAAAGGTTGTACAATACTTACATTCAAAGAAGACTTACTGCTACTGAAGGAAAAGATAACAGAATATTTCGACAACTTCAAAGAGGAAGAATAAAAAATCTAAGCTAATTTTCTTTTTTTATAAAATTTTATCTCATATGAAAGAACATGAATTTAGAATATTCGGAACTCATGACAGAAGAAAGAGAACGAACAACATGTAAAAGATTATGCAAAATTTCTGAAGACATACAAAGCATTTAAACAATATCTAAATGCTTCTAAAGATTATGCAAAATTTCTGAAGGTATATAAAGCTTATGAAAAAGCGTATGAAAAGTTTATACATTGGGGAATTGTTGTAAAATATCGATATGAAGACTAACCAAAAATATATTTTTGCTTAAATAGCTTCAGGGTCTATTTCTTCAACCATTTCACTTCCTTCGTCAATGTCAATAGAAGCTTCTTCAACCTTTGGTAAGAATTTCTGTATAACATCTTTGTTCGTTATTGTCTTCAGAGATGAAGGATAATATTTCACATTTGTTTCACCCTTCTTATATTCTTTCTGTTCGGAAAGATTCATAGCAATACTGAAGAAGTCAATGTTAGAGTTCTTTATAACAGTATAATGAGTATCTTTGACATTCACGAAGAAACTCTTTTGTTTCAAAACTACTGCTAACTCTTGTGAAGTATAACGTTTGCGGTCAATGACGATAGCTAATGGTCTGACATACTGACCAAACTTAGATTCTTTCACAAACTTCTTGTTAAAGAAACATTAACATTTGAAGCATTATTGAACTCATTCTTGATGGCAGTAGCGAGAGCATTGTATGAAAAGAACTTGCAATCTTGCATGTGTTTCATTAAAATAAAAATATTAAATTTTTTGAAAAATAACTTAAAAAATCTAATCTAATTTTTTCAAAAAATATTTTTTTATTTCCTACTAAAGATGTATCGGAAGTTGTCTAAGTTAGAACACTCGGAAATAAAACAACTTCTTACAGAAGCTAATATAGATGTTGCAAAGCATTACGCAACAAACAAAAAGGCACTCGCTGACATCCTCAATGACTACAATGGTGAAATAACTTATGATAGAATTCATGAGTTCATAAAGCCGCAACGCGGCGAGGACGAAGTCCATGCAAGAGCATTTCCTTTAAATGACGTTGCTATTGACTTATATCATAGACGTTCAGTACCTCATGAAGTAAGAAGAGAAATGTTTGACATAACAAATGCAAACGTTGGTCATACTCGTAAAGCTCTTTCGCATGATGTTCGTCAAGAGATGTTTGACATAACAAATGCAAACGTTGGTGAAACACGAAAGAGAGACGACACACTGAAACAACAGAGGAGAGAGAGATGTTTAAAAGTGCTATAGAACAAGTTCGCAAAGCTAATAATGTCATTCGTTCCATTGACGACAAACCAAAAGAAGGTGAGAGATGGTTAAAGAAAGATGAAGAGAATAGGAAGAGAAATGTGAAGTCAGGCAATAGACTCATTGACTTTAACATCGAAGCTTTAGATGAACCAAACAGAGACTACTTACACAAACATTTCGGTAAGGTTTTCATGAGACTCTTAGAGAAGATTAAAATAAACTCCCAACAAAGATGGATGGTATGTTATAAACTTGGTGGAAAGTATGAATGTTCTACGTTAAACCTCAATAATATTGGAACATTACTACATCAGCTCTTGAAGGAGAACTTTATATCAGAGATAGAAGCAAATGCTGCAGGTATTGTTGAAATGCACTATGACTTCTTCTTGACAAACATAAAGAATCTTACCGAAATAAAGATGTATGATTTAACAGAATATGAAGGCTTAACGATGTCAGATGTAAAGAAAGGCAAACCAAAAAAGAGACCATATAGAGATGAAAGCACACTGACAGAAAGACAGAAAAGATTATTGAACAGACTTAAACAAACAGGAGATAAACAAGATATAGATGACTTCTGGAATGAAATCCTTGGTGAAAAGAAGTTTTATAAGAAGAGAAGCGGTCAGTTCTGGAAGTATCTTTGCACATTACCTATAAATCTTGAACGCTACCAAATCTTCAATGAACTGAACAAAAGAACTGCAACACTTATGACAGAGGACAATTGTTTCGTTTATGCTTGCATTCAGGCTGGAGTAAATGAAGAAACTATTGACCACATGAGAGAAGTCATTCGTGTTAGAGACTTTCCTCAAAGTAAAGTACAAGAAATTTCTGACGCAACAGGTATAGCATTTAATGTTACCATTGGTTACTTCAATGACTCAAGACATAATGAAATAAAGAGATACATACCAAAAGAATGTGAAACTGTTCGAACTATTGACTTACTTCTTGTTGAAGACCACTACATGCTAAACGAAAGACTTCCAATGACAACATATTTCATTCGCAACTATATAGAAATCTTGAAGGAGTGTGGTGGAATGAACAATGAGAAACAGATGAAGATTTATACAAAGAGAGAAGATAAATATGTAGTTCGCATGGATAGAAACACCGCTATGGGATGTTATGAAAACATTGTGGGAGTGCAAATATTTCGAACCTATTTCTTATGGAGAACTTTTCACATATACGACTGACTTATATAAACAGAACCTTGCACCATTTAAAGATTTGACATATGCTCCAAAGTATTGTGTACAACTGAAGAAGAAAGCAGAGTCAAAAGAAGTAAATAAAAATAAGTGCAAGTTCATTCCTGAGCACGTTTTTGCTGACTTTGAGTGCAGTACCGATGGCTTTCATAAGCTTTTAACATCTGTTATGACAGTGAAGATGGTTCAGTGAGTGAAAGCATTTGGGGTCAGAACTGTGCAACAGAATTTTTGGAACGACTTCCTGACAAGAGTTTAATATATTTCCATAACCTCAGTTATGATATAAACTTCATCTTAAGACACATGACAGAAGTGAAAGGAACTCCCATCATTAAAGGTTCACGAACAATGCAAATAACTGGCTTATATAAAGGAAGGGCAATTATTATAAAAGACTCTTACAGTGTTATAAATAAGAAGCTTAAACTATTTCCTGCTATGTTTAACTTACAAACAGGACCGAAAGAAGTATTTCCATACAACTACTACAGCAGTACTTTGTTAGCAAATGACAACAGAACTGGTGTCATTTCTGAAGCATGTAAGTTTGTAAAAGATATTGATACATTCATGAAAAACATAGATTCCATCAAAGGTTGCAGAATAGATGAGAACCACTTCGACTTAGAAAAGTATAGCACATTTTATTGCAAACAAGATGTAAGAATTTTAAGAGAAGGTTTTGTTAAGTTCCGCAATGACATATTGAAAGAATTTGATTTAAACGTTTATGACTACGTTAGTATTTGTTCAATTGCTAACAAATTATTTGAGAACAGAGTGTACTTCCCGAATGGAAATTTATATGACCTCTCAAATAAACCAAGAGAGTTTATTTCACGCTGTATTCAAGGTGGAAGATGTATGTTGTCAGATAACATTAAACAAAAGAGCGAAAAGAAACTCATTGCTGACTTCGACGCTGTTTCATTATATCCATCCGCTATAGCAAGACTTTATACTTTAGAAGGTATTCCAAAAGTATTGAAGGAAGAAATGTTAAGCACAGAGTATCTCATGAGACATTTATTCAATGACGACCAAAAGGAACCCATTGGTGAAAAATTTATGTCCGGCTTCTTTGTTCTCATTAAGATAACAGAGATTGGAATACATAGACACTTTCCTTTAATAGTTTGTGACCCTGAACTAAATCCAGAACTTAACGTTCCCAGAAGTTCAAACACTTGCTGTCTCATGTATGTTGACCATATAACATTACAAGACCTCATAAAATATCAAGGTGTCAAATGTGAGGTGTTGCAAGGATACTATTACGATGGAAACAGAGATATTAGAATAAGAGATGAAGTAAAGAAGTTGTTTGAGTTAAGGTTAAAGTATAAGAAAGAAGGAAATCCTTTGCAAGAAAATATAAAGCTCATTCTGAACAGTATTTATGGCAAAACTATTCTATCTCCTATTGAGTCAAAAATAACCATAGTAAATGACAAAGATGCTATAAGATATGCCATCAGAAACTACAACCATATAGTGAAGTTCGAAGGTTTGGATGGTTCAGATAAAACTATTTTCAAGCTAACGAAAAGCATTTGCAGACACTTTAACTTCTGTCCACTTGGTGTTAACATTCTGTCTATGTCGAAGAGAATAATGTGTGAAGTATTCTGTACTGCTGAAGATATGGGACTTCAAATATTTTACCAGGACTGTGATAGCATGCATATTTTCAATGAAGACATACCAAAGCTTGCAGCAGAGTTTAAGAAGAGATACGGTCGCGAACTTATAGGAAAGAACCTTGGTCAATTTCATTCTGACTTCGCAGAAATAACACCTGGAAAACAAAGTTTAGCATACAAGTCAATATTTTGTGGAAAGAAGACTTACATAGACTTACTCACGAATGATTTAAATGAAGTTGCATTCCATGCACGTTGCAAAGGTGTCAAACAAGACGTCCTTGCTTTAACAGCAAATGAAATGTTTCCTGAATCTATACAATGCTATTACAATGAAGATAAGAACATTCACATACCTGTTGGAACATATGACAAAGACTCTGAGTTCAGTTTAATGAAACTTTACAAAGCACTTCATGATGGTCAAGAGATTGGATTTGACTTATGTAAGTCTTCTAGTCCTTGCTTTGCTGAAAAGTTTAACTTCTCAATAACGACTAAAACAAGCTTTATTCGTAAGTTGAAGTTCTGAGGTCATTTATTTTTGTCAGCAATGAGGTCATTCGTGATAAAAATAATGAGGTCATATATTTTTGTCATTTATGTATAACCATTGTCTCTCTTAAACTTTGCAATAGACAGCTTTGTTCTTCTTCCTTCTACATCTGTAATGTTTATATAATCTTTGTTATACTGTCTTAAGACATTCATTCGTCTGTATTGAGTTCCATGAAATAGTAAAAGGCATCTTCACTTGGGACATAGTAGTAGTTCTCTAACGCGTGATATGAGTATTGTATAATTTCAACAGCGTCTTCAGGAAGAGAGTCAACAATGTCAAACCAATAGCCATTTGAACCAGAAATATTTCTCATGTTTTCTCTTCTTGTCGTCCATCTTAAGTTCGAGATATGAAAGTCTCCTCTGTCTCTGTTTATATGGTCTACTTCACGAAGTCCTTCAGGGTTCGGAATGAAAGTTTCTGCAACTATTCTATGTTTCATCAGCTTGTGTTTGTTTAAATTTACACAAATATAACCATCTCCTTGGTCAAACTCACTAACAACTCTTTTATTGCTTATACGTCTAATTGGATAAGGGTACTCTGAAAAGATTTCATAGTCATTGTCATGTTCGAGTGTTTGCCAATGTCCTTCACCTTCCATGCCTTTCACTCAAATAAAAATTTTCAGAAAAAATAAAACTAGCGTAGATTTTACAATACTGCGATGGTAGAGTTTAAGAGTTGTGCTTCAATGTAGAGACTGTCCTTATGGTCTGGAGGTAAGAACACTGGACAGTTATGGTCATGAGTGGAGAACATGTCTATCCAAAACTCACGATTGAAGCCAGTTAATTTATAGTATTTAGGGTTAGGAAGTGGTGAAGTTCTTGTATGACCAATGAACTCATTTTCAACTCCCTTACTTAAGTTTGAATATAATATTGCTTGCTTTCTATCCCAAATGCCAGGTGTTACAATCTTTGAAAATTCATTTTTCCTCGGAAGCATTGCATCATAATTGAAAACATTCTTGAAGTCTTCATTGGGTTCAGAGATTTGAAATCTTATACGTAATGGATTTTCTTTCTTTTTAGCTACTTCATTGAATGGTGAATATATAACAAACTGACAGTCATGAGTTCCATCTTCATTTTCATTAAATTCATAATGAAAGTCTATAAGTTGTGGCTGACTACCTTCTTCTTTCAGTTGTGCAAGAAACTCACGTAAAGGCTGTAAAGTTTGTACTTCAATGTTAAACTTTTTCTCGAACATTTCATTAAATGAAATCATACATTGCAACAATGTTGTATCATCTTTAAAGTATTTGTATATGTGAATGTTTTGGGCACTTAAAGACTGTTCGTCATTTTCTATCTCGACTTGAAGTATAAAGTCAACCTTTCTGAAAGCATGTGTTATATACATAGATGTTATGCCAATGTACTTCTCTTCATTTATGTTCACAATCCAGTCTGTTGGAAACTTAAACGTTACTCTGTTCCCCTTTATTTTGACGTCAGGGTTTTCACTACTGAACGCAACAGATAAAGGTATTTGTCTATACATTTAATTCGGATAAAAATAAACCATTTACTCTTTCTTTGCTTCAGCTTCTTCTCTAGCTTTTTTCGCCAGTAGTCTTGGGTTCTTTTGTCTTCCAGCAGCTAATGCAGCAAGTTGTTTTTCACTAAGTTTTCTCTTTGGTCTCTCTGGCTTTTGTTCTTGTTTTTGTTCCTTCAGTTCGGATAAAATTTGCTCGCGATTTCTTTCTTCAATGCTTCAACATCTATGACCCCTTGGGTCTTGTCCGTAGGCTTGTCTGAGTCATTTGACTGCAGATAAAAACAAAATTAAAACTTTAACGATGTAAAATGAGCTTGTCAAAATCAGAGCGAGAGTCTATTATATTAAATGACGCAAGAGGAATACAACATCCTTTCTATTACGTAAGTCAGAGTAAAGATGGTAAAATATACGTAAGAAAAAGAAAGGTTCCATTAGCGAATGCAGAGAGCGACAACATTAAGGTGTATGGCAAGGGTGAAGTCCACGAAGCCATATAAAACCTTCTGTCAAACTGAAAAGTCAATAGAACAGAAGAAAAGAAGCCAGATGTACTTTCAATAACGAACCAAGAGCTTATTGCAAAGTTCGTGAATTTCATTGAAAACAAAAACCGAGTCAAAGAATCCTGACCGCCAGTGAAAGAAGTTGAGACAAAAGAGAATGTACAGTTCATTGAAAATGTCAAGAAACAACTTCCACCACGAATGCCAAGAAGAAGAGTGAGAATAATGAAGTAAATAGATATTTTTATCCGAAGTAAATACATGCAGAACGAACAGTTAAACGAATTTACTCCAGCAGAGCATATTCATCAGATTCGCTCATATTTCGATATCATAGACAATGCAGTTCAAATTGGTGACACTAATAGAAAATATTCTGACGCAAAGATTCCATCACAACCTGGAACTGCTAAAGATAACACATGGGTAACATTCAATCTCTCACCTCCTGGTGAAAATATATTGGACCTTTACAATACATTCATTACGTATAAAATGGAAGGTCAATTTATTGTAGATAAAGAAATTGGTTCAGGTTCCAATAAAACAAACCCACCAGGATTTTGGATTGGTTTCGATGACGCTTTCTATGCAGTTGCTGGATATCAAATCCTTGCAAATGGTCGTATCGTATATTCTCAAGACAACGCAAGAGAAGAAGCATATATAACTTCAAACTCACAAACTACCGAACAAATAAAGAAAGTAGATGTTTTCTCAAAGACTCGACATGAAGATGTATGGAGTCATTCGGGAACATGCAGAACAGGACAAATTGTTAGTGGTCCAATTACAGCAGGAAAATCATTTGATTTTAAGCTTCGTTTAAGAATTCCTGTTAGAAGATTCCTTCCATTAGAAGCTATTCGATTTATTCCAGCTTTTGCAGGAAACATTCAGCTTAAAGTAAAGTTCAGTAGCGACGCCTTACAATGCACATCTATATCTGTAAATGATATCATTGCTTTCAATCCAACTCTTAAAGTTGCATTTGCTTCAGATTCAAATCCACCGACAAATAAATTTGTTCCATGGAATGAACCATTCACTATGATAAAAAGGCAGTAGAAGCTAGTGGAACAGTTACTATTACAACTGTAACCCAGCAACTATTTCGAACAAAGATGGATTTTAATGAATGTTTCATTCATCCAAAGTCATTCTCTTTAGACCCTAACATTTATACAGAACTTGTAGAACATTATACAAACGAGGCTTTATGTTTTCCTGTTAAAGTTATGGATTGGATTCCTATGGATGGTTCATTCTCAAAGAATACAGATAGTTCAAGTGCAACATTTACAGCAGCTTATACGCCTATTAATGTTAAAAGTATTTGGCACTATTTAGAAAGAAAGACAACTATTATGTTAATTTTGAGAACCCTAAGTTTAAATATCTTCAGCTTTCCATGGGAGCTTATGGAAATATGCCTGCAGAACCCGAAAAATCATATGGACCTGTATTTTATGAAATGGTTGCGAACGCCTGCAATACAAACAATGATATGATAGGATTTAATGAAGATGTTATGAGGTCATTGGTGGATGATGGTAGTGTGGAACATAAATGGGATAGCTATGACAACACACATTTCTTATTGTGGTTTTCCAACAGAAGTGGACTTTTGCTTCCAGCAGGTCAAAATCTACTGCTCCAATAACATACAAATTGTCTGTTAAAGGACCTATTGAACTAGCAACTGAAATTGTACCAAAGCCACTTATTGGATTTATGAGGGATTGTTGCTTTGCCATTCAGGTGCGTGCTAATGGAATCCCAATAATAAGATTAGATGACTATAACTTAGCTACGGACGACAGTAGGATAAAGGATGAACGTTTATTTTTAAAGGCTTATAAATGAGTTCTTCATCAAGCTCTCGCGAACCTTCACCATCTATGAAACAAACTTTACCAAACGATTATGGAGCACCTATTGAATATTTCTTACGAGCTGCACAATGGCAAAGAGCAGTAGCACCAAGGTTAGGTGTTCCACCAGCTCCTGTCAAAAATAGCATTTGGTTCAAGTCCTTATATAAGATATGGTCTCCCACTAGGTTTGCTAGCTACAGCAGGAGCAGTTATGATGTTGAAAAGAAATAAAGCAAATGTTGTAAATAATACTGAAGTAGCTGAAGTTAAACAAACTCCAAACCTTCGCCAAAACCAACGCCTTCACAGCAAAACCTTTCAATGACTCCTGAACCTATGGAGAGTACAACTCCTGTTCAAAAGTCAACTCCTTAAACGACTCCAACATTTAACCAAACCTACTCCTCAAATAAATCGTAAAATCCTGCGTTTCCTTACTGAAAAAATAACGTTATTTTTATTTAATATTATAATTTTTATTTGATTGAAATGACAAATAAGTCACTGAAGCAATGAAACAAACGTTTTTGGTGAATACATTAAATCAGGAACTATTCCAGAAGGTTTTTAATTCATACTATGAAGGATGTGAGTTCAGTTTAGAAAGATAAGCAACCATTAGATAGAGAGGTATATTAAGGAAGATTAAACTTCATGAGGACAACATTGCTGAACTTAAGAAGAAGTTAAAGAGTTGGAGAAAGGAAGAGAGTATAAAGCAATGAATTCAAAGGGTAGAATGAGGTTAGAAATCGGGTTAGATCTAATCATCTACCCTAAATTTATTTTTGTGCTATTTTCATACGTGTGAGGTGTGATATCATTAATTTTAAGTTTATTTTTTTATAAATGACAGAACAAAAATATAACATTTCTACTCAGCAGGAATGAACCCTTACTGACTATGTATTCGTTTAATGCTTGATAAAACAATGGTACATATTATCGTATGGGTATACACAACGTCTGTTTCCATCGTCGTCGTATATGTAGAGCTCAAATCCAGTCCAACCTTCTTTTGTACAATATGTAGCTTTATTTAAGTATGCATTTATGTAGATAAGGCAATTTTCTTCATCGCTCCAGAAATAATTTTTGTTCTTTGTTGAAATAGTTTTCGTTCCTCTGCGACCATAAGGAATGTATGCAATGAACTTTGCGTCATAAGGATTGTAATATATTCAGGGTTTTTCATCGTCAATGGGTCTGTCTTTGTTAAAATGCATGTTTCTCAGTTTTACTTGAGTTTTGAATAGTTCACGGAAACGTTCTGGGAAAGAGTCATAGTAAATGTAGTCGGACATGTCTTTGTAATGAAATAAAAAATTTAAAAAAATAAAAATAAGGTTATTTTTTATTTAGTGAGGACGGTAGTGAATTCGTTAGTGAAGTCGTTAGTGAAGTCATTAGTGAAGTCGTTTATGTGTCAGACGGTTTTGTAAATATTTAAGGTTAAGTTGGTGTTATAGTTGTGTTGTAAAATATACGTTACCGGTTTCGTAAAGTGTCAAAACCACTAAGTGGTGTACGGAGGCGCGCAGTGCCACAGTACGCAACTTAGGGATACTAACTTGCTATTAACTGAAACTTGTTTTGACGGCCCAACAATAGCATTTGTAGTAGGAAGAATTCCCAATAACGAGCGCATTTTCGATAATTGTTTTTCAATATGATCAAGAAGGTCCAGCTTATGTTCTAGATTACTAGACATTTGATTTGTAGAAGGATGGTTTTGATTTTCTGGTTCTAAATCTGTAGAGTCTGCAATATTTGAATTTTCGGAGCGAATTGGAGCATCTGAACCTTGATTTGTATCGGCTTGCTCAAAATTAGTTTGAATTGGAGTGGATGAATTAAAATCTGGATGATTTAATGTTTCATTAAATAATGCCATAATTTTTTCTCTTTTTTCATTAATAAACTTAGTGATCATTGTATCTTTATCTGTTAGATCGATCGATTGAGTATATCTGCATCATGAACTGGAATATTTTCGAACAATGAACTCGATTCTATGGAACCATATGGAGAAATCTCGTTCTGAGCCAAAGAAAGATCACTTACGTTGTATTGTTTGATAGAAAAAATTGTTTTCTCAAGTTCTTTTTGAAAGCAGTCAAGAATATAATTTTTGTAGCTATCAGTGATAACGGTTTTTATATGGCGCTCGATCTTCTGGTTATTTTTGATGGCGTTATATTTATCTAATTGGATTTGAGATATCTTCTTAATAGCTTCATAAATGTTTGGATGTTTTAACGAAGAAAATTCTGAATGCATACTCTCGAGGCAATCATTAGTGAATATTGCAGTTGCATTATTATATTGAGATATTAAATTGTAGTGCGGCAACCATACTTTGTTGAAATAATCAATATAATCTTTGATCGAATCAACTTTATTTTGATTAATTATATGCATTGTAAGTACAAATTCTTCATGAGACATGAATGGAGTAATAGAATATAGCTTAAATAAAGAATTTTGTAAAGTATTGAAATTTTTTGTATAAAGTGCTACAAGTTTCCTGTGTAAAGCTTGTTTGAAATGAAATAGGCATCCAATTATACGGACTTTAGGGAAAATTTGTTGAAGTGCCTCTATCATTCCCTTTTCAAAATCACAATGAATTTGAATTAGCTTTGAAAATTGAATACCCTTGACAGTAAAAATATATTCAAATGCCTTCTTATAAGATTCAAATGTGCGGTTTTTCATGAATATAAATAAAAGTGGTAGATATTGATTTGTTGAAGGTTCACAAATCATAATTGTTAGCATCTGTCCTTTTTGAAAATGTTTTGGTGTAATTTTAAAAATTCCATCGCAAAATAAATCTGTGGCTTCTTTTGCAAATTGAATTGCCTTCTCAAAACCAAAAAACATCGTCTCACAATTTGATTGAAAATCATGGCCAATGAAAAACTGCTCGCCATTTATTAAACAAAAATTAGCAATTTCATGTCTGTAATTTTTTCTCCAACAGAAAATTTTCTGGACTTATTATAAACTTCCCTGACCAATGAATCTTTAATTAATGGGTTGTCATCAGTACCAACAGCAAGTTCTGTCATAAATTTTTTAATCTGCTGAAAAGTGCCGTTGTCTTCAGAAAATTTTGCCATTGCCTTATTGTATATTTCTGTCAGAGTCATTGATTTATGAAGATCATTTTTTTCATTTTGTAACTTTTTAAATTGTCTGCATTCGGGTATATGTTCCTTTTGTAAATCTTCGGAAACTGAACTGTTCTCAATTTTAACTAAATAACGTGCTTGACAAGAATGATCGATGCAATGGTAGTAACGTTCAATATTATTTGAATTAATAATATTTGTATGATCATGCGAATAAAGCATATCTTTGCGAACAATTGTATCAGGATATTTTCCAGTAACTGCGGGAATATTTTTAACTGCAATATAACTAAAATATCTTCTGACAGCTTTAGATTCATTTTCGGCGTATTTAATATTAAAATATTGAAGAACTTGTTTGATTATATTCGTTTTTTCATCTCTCGATGTTGATTTTTGGTATTTATCAGATTGTTCCCTGATAAATATTTTATTTTCGTCTGTAAAGTTTGCTCTTTTTTGATTAAATATAGATGATTTTCCCATTAAAAATGAAATGATGCAAAATTTACGAAAACCGTTCGAAAATTGAATCAAAAATGAAAAGTAATACTTAAATGAGGAATTCTTTGAGATATTGGTCTTAGATTGAATGTAGCGTCATTCTTATATAGAATATATATTCATATCATCGGAAATATGATAAAAAGCATATAATAAATGTCAAAAAAGTGAACAAATAAGCAAAGATATTTTTTAAAAAACAATGAAAAGTAATACTTAAATGAGGAATTCTTTGAGATATTGGTCTTAGATTGAATGTAGCGTCACAAATTTCACAAATATAATTTACTATACAATTTTATTCATTTTTTTAAAATGGCTGACGACAGTCTGTATCAACTAACTCAACTAGTCAAGCATAATGATTATTCTTCGGATTCATTAAATCAACTTTATCAATGCATAAGTACAATGACAGAAAGATCAATTGGATGCTTGAATTGGGATAAATTTTTCAAAAAAATCACAGTGACTGATGAAGTTCTTTTACATTTTTTAGCATCCGTTTTAAACATTGAAAAGATATCAGAATGTTTCAAGGATTCTATTTTTTATCACAATATTAATCTTGAAAAATTCAGTAATTTAACTGAAACAGAACAACAAACAATTTTAAATTCCTACAAAGCGGATAAATTTACATATTACATAATGTGCTCACAAATTGTAAAATCAAACTGGAACAATTTATCCCAAACTTTAGTTAATATTGCAAATCAATATTTGCCATTTTTAGATGAAGAAAAGCAAATATATATATTTACTGAAATAACTGGCAATTATCAAAATTTTGAAATTTCAGTTGCAAACTTGTTACTTTTTTATGAAAACAATGAAGAAAAATTAAGCAACTGTTTTAATTTAACATTGTTCCAGCAAATTTATTCCAAAAATGGAATCGAGCAAATGATATTTTTGCTGCAAATACAATTTGTTGCAATAACACTTCTATCAATTTTTACAATCTCCTTGAAATTGAAGAAATGAATCCATTTGATTTTTTTTATTTCTCAATTCAATATAAAGAGATATTAAATTGCGATGATTTTCCAAAAGTTACAGAAGTAATCACAGGTTTAATCTCAGCTTCAAATATTAATGCTATTATGCGAATTTGCCAAAAAATTTTGGATAAAATTACATTTTATAAATGTAATTATTGCCATATTACCTCAATATGGAATTTTATCACAAATGCAGCAATAATTCTTCCTGATGAAGATTTATTAATCAAATTATTAAAATTCATAGAAAAAACAGAAAAAGCAACAGATGAATTATTCGAACCGGAGAATGATTTGGGTTTCTATGAATATTTAAATTCGATTTTCTCAGATATTACATCTGCGAGAAATAAGCAATTTCTCTTGGAATTTCTAAATACCCATGAAGATGACTTCACTTATGATCAAACATTGTGAGGTCATTTTTGATCAACAAATTAATTGAAATTCCGATCAAAAAAAATTCACAAATTGGATCAAAAAAATCGAATCTCAAGTTAAAAATAAAAAATTTCTACATTTTTATCAAATTTAGATTTTTTTTTCAAATCATGCGAATTGATTGAATAATTGCATATTTTATCCCATGCATCTAGAAGTATGTGTAATATTTTTGCTTTCATCAAGAAATTGTCGAATTTGATCTTAATTTTTTTTGAAAAATATACTTTTAGAAAAAGAAATAGTGATTGAATAGCTGCCCATGCTGTAAAAGGGTTATTTTTACAAGTAAAAAAATTGTTATTTTTCGAGCAAGTCGAGGCTTTTTTACCATCTTATTTTTGAAAAATTTACGAAAAATTATATCTGAAAAAACACTTCATTTTGATATCTTACAATGATAAAATACCAATGTTGCTGGGATATAATAGCTACACCTGGACATCTACTACATTAATGCGTATGACAGGTAAAGTTGATTTCAAAGGTATAGCCTGGAAAGATTACAATAAATCAACGATAATTCAAAAAAATTTCTTATAAGTTAACATAATAAAAATTTAATTTTTATATTGCTTGTATTATACTTAAGTATATAATATATTTAAATCTTAGAATGGTGCTAATGTGAATGAAATTGATTCTAGTGGAAATACGCCTCTTCATGTTGCTGCATCAAACAACTTTCCTGAACTCGCAGAATTGTTTATAAAAGAAGGATGTAATATTGAAATACAAAATATTTCTAAAATGACAGCTTTAAATGTTGCTGCAATATTTAACTATGCTGAAGTCGCACGTGTTCTCTTAAAATATCATAATAATGGTCAGGCTATTAATATTGTCGTCTGGTAGTTTTAGACGGCAATGCCAATCTCAGGATTGGATTGCTTATTAACCAAATTATTTATATAGTTCATCTTTATTTTTTGTTCACAGTAAATTCTCATTCACCTTTGTCTCTATAATCTGATATTATTGTTTCAACCTTAATAATTGCAATATATTCCCATTCTTCAATTTATGAGATACATAATAAAACACAATAGTAATAGTATACAAACATCTGGTGTAGTTACATCAATATGTCTAAAAGCAAATTTTTCAGGAATAGCAAATTATTGAAACATAAACATATTGACACCAATAAGAAAGATTGCAAAAGATATGGAAATTTACAAATTGCCGAAGAAGAGTGCACCTTTAAAGATTTTTATTAGAGATCTAAACTTAAAATCATATTCTTCATCTCTGTCTCTCAAAATATGAGGTAATTGAAAGGTTTACACGGAAAAAATTTTCAAGTTTAAATGAAAAAGAAATTGATAAAAAAATTTTGGAAATAACTAGAAAAATTAGATAAAAAAGGTATATTTTAACATATTGATAGAGGTTTTGATGATATGGAGACTTAGACGATGTCAGCTGGTGTCTTATATCTGATAAATGGACTTTTATCGATTTTCTGCATTTTGAGGACCAAATTTCCAGATGTTTCTGAACGGAGAGCTTCAACATTGTCTATTGAAACTTCATTTGGCAAAATCAGCTGCAAAACCTTTCCTTTTGCTTCAATTCTGACCCAAGTTGGATTTACGTCAATCTGGATCTGCGAAGTATCTAAGTATCTATTGATTGCAACGTCTAAAATCAATAAATCCTTCTCATCTTTCCATTTGAAATTCCATTTTCCTTGATTACACTGAATAATCCTTCCAGAAGCATCAGGACCTGCTGGAGGTGCCTTAACCTTTAAGTTTGTTCCGTATTCATCGTGAGGATCCTTTGGAGGTGGTGGAGAATTCTTCTTCTTAGTTTCTTCGATGGATTTCCATGTCTCTAGACGTTCTTCTGGTGTGTAATTCTTTGGTTCGTACATGGCAATCTGATCAATCATCTTTTGCTTGAGAACTGCCAAGTTTCTCTTTGCCAAATTTCGTTCTGATGGTTTAACTTCAGCACCATCAAATACTTCTAGCTGAGGAAGTGTACCAATGACGAAATCTCTGTATCCTTCGAACTTATCGCATGGGTTACCGATCAAATAAAGTTCTTTAAGATTATAATTTCCTTGTAACGATTTAACTGAAGTAATATCAACGATAAAGTTGCATGTTAGATCGAGTTTGTTGAGTTTTTCGCATCCTTCAAGTCCTTCAACAATCTCAATGTTATTTAATGCGAGATTCAAATATTCAAGTTGTGTTAATTTGCTTAAGTATTCGATTTTTGGAATGTAGTTGTTCTGTAAGTAAATAATTTTGAGCTTTGGACAATTTACTTCAAGTACATTTGTTAATCCGAAAATTTCATCTTGATGCATTGCGACTTCTTCCAAAGTATAAAGGACGCCATCATTGTGTTCGGCTCGCTTTCTAACTTTCTCAACAGTAAGTTTCTCCTGCTTTGGTAATTGGACTGGATTCTCAGTCATTTTTAGAATTAAATAACGTTCTATAAGTGGTCGCGCAGCTATTGATACTTTTAGGAAGAAAATGAAATTAGAATTTATTTTGATTCTAATTTTACCGCAATATCCTAGCAGAAATTCAGTTCCAATCCCAGAATTATAAATTTCAAATTTCGAATTAGAAAAGTCTAATAGGAGTACGTATCTTCCATTAATAATACTCATAGAATATTCGTAGAATTTTGGTTAGTTTTATAAGAATACTTTAGAATTTATAGGAATTTCTGAATTTCACAGACTTGATATATGGCAACACTTCAGATGATCACCTTCAAAGTGTTAACTAGAATGGCAGTTACAATGTTCCGAAAACTATAAACTTTTTATTTCGATATATTTAAATGGTAATAGAATCCATTAATTTGGCTAAAATGAGCTTGCAAAAACGATATTGAAAAGGAAAATAAATGAAATAAAAGAGATAAATAACAACTTGACACTGTGTCAGGATTTTTATTTTTTGAGAGGTGTTTTTTAAAAATTGAATTGAAAAATGGTCACAAAATTATTGGAAATTTTAAAAAATCCGAATCTTTTATATAGTTTATTTGTCTGTTGGGATGCAAGCCATTGTAGCTTCACCGCACTGGTTGTTCTTGTCCTTGATCATGCGGATGTAGCCCTTTTCACCCCAAGATGTGCCCCAGGAGTTACGAACGATCCAGTAGTTCTTGGAACCTTCTGTGCCGTAGCCAACGCAGCCAACACCGTGGTCGAGGTTGTAAGAGGAGCAAGCGGATTCATCATAGATGCCAGAGGAGTAAAGCTGGAATGACCAAGCAGAAGCATCGATAGCGATAGCAGCTGGGCCGAGGGTGGAAACCTTTGTAGCAAGATCCTTCTCATCGCCTTCAACAACGTTAACGTAGCCTGTAACCTTTGATGTGCCCTTAGCAGCAGAGAACTTGCAGGAGCCATCCTGAGCTGTGTATGGGTAGTCAGCTTCTGTCATGAACTTGCCGCCCTGGTGCTTGACAACATAGTCGTAAGCAGCATCCATGAGACCACCATTGCAGCCATAGCATGTTGTAACGCAGTCAACAAGGTTCTGTTCAGAGAGGGATTGGAGGGTGCCTGTTGTGATAGCATACTGGGATTCCTGAGCCTGGATTGTAGAGAAAGCCCAGCAGGAGCCGCACTGGCCCTGATCCTTGATGCCGTTGACGACATTATGCTTACGCCAGTCGCAATCATCATTAGCGATAGCGTTGGACTTGACAGCCTTGTGCTCGGCCTTGTTCATGCGGAAACCAAGGAGGGACTTGTATTCAGCTGGTGTAAGGTGGGCGAGCTTGTTAAGAGCGACTGTGAAGCCGAGGTTAGCACGGTTGTGCTCCTGGACAAGGCGCTTGTTGGAGAGCCAGATGCCAAGGCGTGTCTGGTACTCTTCGCCTGTGAACATGTTGCCTGTCTCGCGCATCCAGCTGAGGAAGGCTTTCTGCTCATGTTGTTGAACGAACATTGCAAGAAAAGAACTAAAATTCTTGACATTTCAAAATTCTCCTGCTGCAGTTCACAATTGAATACTTGAGTTCACAAATATTTTTATCATGTAATGTATAAAATGTTATAAAAGTTAGAATAAACCCAACGATATTAGAATTAATCTTATTTTTCACAAAATTGAGAGAGATAAGGTTTTGAGATCTATTCGGTTCTGACCATTTTTTGCTATCCATGATAAACAGATGTACTATTTTTGTATATTCTTTTGTGCCGATTTTTGTTAAGACCAAACATAAATTGTCAAAAAAAATTGAATTGGCAGTTGAGAGATGAGATCACCATCGATCCGACGAAACCAAATTGATATTGGGGATTAAATAACGCAAAAATACTAAGCTGGATTCCAAATAAAGAAGAAAAGATACTCTTGCAAATAAAAGCTTTGTAATAACTAAGTTTTCATAATATCTAAAATTCAAACTAAAATTTATTGCAAATAAGAGATTAAGGATGTTTGAAATAGCATATTCATCAAATAAGACTTGAATATAAATATAATTAATTTAATTTTCTTTTGATGAAGGATCTTATCTATAGCAATATTTATTAGAGCATTGCATATTGAAGATCCTCAAAGTACAAACTCTCCAATTTTAATATTTATTGGATTTTGTGTTTGTTCAGATTATAAGTTGTCTTTGCTTATATCACTTTTGTGAGTATAAAAATCTTTATTCAAGCCTGAGGTAACTTGCATTTTAGTAAGAGGAAATCTGAATTTCATTCCCAATAAAATTATGTCAACTCTGAAAACTAACATAACAAATAAGCAACTGACCTGGTTTTAAGATTGTCTGGTTTGAAAATGATTTATCTCATCAATGGCAGAATCATGTCAAATATACTCTAATCCTAATATTGGTGTCATTAATATTGCTAAAAATGATAGAAAGCTCTCCTGTTTCATATTTCAAGGTGTCAACAATGGAATTTATAAAACAAAATTTCAAAGAGGAAAATATCGAGTTGAGCTTTGGGGAGCAAGCGCAGGAAATACAGTTGGCTCCGAATACAATTATCCTGGAGGTAAAGGTGGATATACTAGAGGTGATATTGAGCTGAGAGAAGAAACCTTCTTTACCTTTTATGTCGGAACGAAAGGAGGTAATACTGTTGCAGGATCATCGGCAGCAGGAACTGCAGGATTCAATGGCGGCTCTTCTGGTGCAAGGGATATAATACAAGGAGATAACCCATCTGCCGGATCAGGAGGATCCACTGATATGAGATTTAGAAAAAGTGCCACATACAATCCCACCGTTTATGATCGAATCATGGTAGCAGGCGGCGGTGGAAGCAGCGGTTCTTATATATATGCCGGCCTCGGTGGCCATGGTGGCGGAATTAAAGGTACACAAGGACAAGTTTCATCTGGCTCACCCCTTCCCTTAACTTCTAGGGCAACTCAGACTTCTGGTAACCAAATTTTCCAAGGAGGAAAAGGTCAGGAGTCTGCTTGTGCTGCAGGAAGTGGGGGAGGAGGGTACTATGGTGGGTTTGGCGGAGTTATTTCATCAAACTTGCAAATGAGCTCGGGTGGGAGCGGGGGTAGTTCTTTTATTAGTGGTCATCCTAGCTGCTTTGCAATGGATGCTCATGGAAGAGCACTCCAAACTAGTATCCATCCTTCTGGATTATTCTTTGAAAATACTGTTACAATTCAAGGAAATTCTGAAATTCCGTCCCCCAATACAATCAATGGTGTTGAGGATTTTGGGCATGTGGGAAATGGTTTTGCCCGAATTACTTTTCTGAGCTCTATTTATTCGAAATCTTGTAGCTTTTCTGTTTTTAGTTTAAGGCAATTTCTCTTCATCTTTGAATTTATATTGATATCTGAGTAAATGATCCTAATTCAAGTTGTATTTTGATATCTATGAAATCATTCTTTGAGATCTTTTAAGACTTATGGCTTTTTATTCTTCTGGCCTTGCATTGATGAGATATTTACGATGACATCGTAAACTATTATAGAGTTTGTGAATTTCTGTTTATATACAAAAAGTATTGATAATTTGAATATCAAATGAGCTAACTTGATGAAAGGTATATCAATTTCTCTCACTCCTTGAATTCGTTTTCATCAATTAATAAAGCTACATAATTCATGATATTTTTGTTCAATTTGTGATTAATTGAATATTCAAAAATGGATCTTTGAAGAGAATTAACTGATATTCATGCTTATTTATTTGTTTACAACGATGAGATACCTCTTCATTTCTTATTGCCACTATAGGCCTCTTTGAATATTTCGAATTTACATGTTTTTCTTTCGAAACTGTGTCTTTTATTCAAATATTATGTCAAAGTATAAAAACTAAAACAGAACTGATGTTTCTAATTGATTTGTTGATACAACATCTCAAATATGAAAGAATCGTGTTTAGAATACTCTGATCCTAGCAATGATACCATTTATGTAGCCAAATTTGATAAAAAGCGTTTATGTTTCACATTTCAAGGTGTTAACAATGGAATTTATAAAACATTATTCCTAAGTGGAAAATATCGAGTTGAGCTATGGGGAGCAAGTGCTGGAGATACAATTGGCCCTGGATACAATTATCCCGGTGGCAAAGGTGGATATACTAGAGGTGAGATTGAGTTGAGACAAGAAACCTTCTTTACTTTTTATGTTGGATCGAAAGGAGGTAACACTGCTGTAGGATCATCGGCTGTTGGAATTGCAGGGTTTAATGGAGGGTCTATTGAAGCATATGATACCAGCCATGGAGATAGTCCTTCTGCTGGATCAGGAGGATCCACTGATATAAGATTTAGAAAAAATTCTTCACACAACCCCACCATTTATGATCGAATCATGGTAGCAGGTGGTGGTGGGAGCAGTGGTAGTTATGTTCGTGCTGGTCTTGGTGGCCACGGGGGTGGAATCAATGGGACATTTGGAAATATATCATCTGATTCACCTCTTCCTTTGGTCAAAGGTGCAACACAAACAACCGGAAATCAAATTCTCCAAGGAGGAAAAGGACAAGATGGAGCTTCTGCAAGTGGGAGCGGAGGTGGAGGATATTATGGTGGACTAGGTGGTGCTATTTTTTATCCTGATGAATATACGTCAGGAGGGAGTGGAGGAAGTTCTTATATAAGTGGTCATCCAGGTTGTGTTGCAATGGATGATCAAGGAAGAGCATTGGGAACTAGCATACACCCTTCTGGTTTGTTCTTCAAAAATACGTTCACAATTCAAGGGAACTCTGAAATGCCTGCCTCGAACGTGATTGATGGTTTTGAAGAACTGGGACATGTCGGAAACGGTTTCGTTCGTATTACTATATTGAGTGATTTGAATAAGTGCTCTTGCAATACAATAGTATATAACATACGTCTATTTCTATCCCTTCTTGAATTCATTTTCATCAGTGAATAAAACTGCATTATTCATGATATTCTTGATCATTTCGAAAAAATCTCAATATCTTTAACAAAACATATGGTTATTGAGAACACACTGATTGTTATAATGAAATACTTTCCTCTTTTAATGTAGATAGACAACTAAAATATTTAATATCTTGAAGAAGTCCATCATTTTTGAAATAAAAGATGCATAAAGTCTAAGAATTGGCACATTATTACTTTGAAATATTAGGATATTAGATTAAAAAAAGATTTTCTTTCGGGATTGAGTGTTTTAGTCGAGTTTATAAACTGTTTTTGCGTCTTTTATACTATTGAGTATATAAGTCAAATTATGAACTGATGTGACACGTATTTTATAAGAATGAAATTTTGAATTTTATTCTCAGTGCATTTAATTCAATTCTTGAAACTAGTATAAGAAATGAATAGCATAATCCTTTTATTGATTGCCTGATTTATTAATGAATACATAAAATATGCAGGAATCATGTCAAATATATTATAGTCCCAGCAATGATGTCATTAATGTAACTAAAAATGATAAAAGGTTTTCTTGTTTCGCATTTCAAGGTATTAATAATGGAATTTATAAAACTAAATTTCATAGAGGAAAATATCGAGTTGAATTATGGGGAGCAAGTGCAGGGAATACAGTTGGTAGAGAGTATAGCTATCCCGGTGGAAAAGGCGGATATACTAGAGGTGATATTGAGTTGAGACAAGAAACATTTTTTACTTTTTATGTCGGAACGAAAGGAGGTAACACTGTAGCTGGGTCATCTACCGTTGGAACTGCGGGATTCAATGGAGGATCTAAAGGCGGATATGATAATTCAAATTATGACAATCCTACGGCTGGATCAGGAGGTTCTACAGATATGAGAATTCAAAAAAGTGACGTCACTGATGCGACAGTTTATGATCGAATAATGGTTGCGGGAGCTGGTGGAAGCAGTGGCGCTTGGACGTTTGGAGGTCTTGGTGGTCATGGAGGAGGTGTTAAAGGAACTCCTGGACTTATTTTCCCAGGACACGCTCTCCAGTATGTAAATGGTGGTAATCAAACGCATGGCTATAAAATACTCCAAGGAGAAAAGGGATCAGATGCGGCTGCGGCTGGTGGAAGCGGTGGTGGAGGATATTACGGAGGTTTCGGAGGGGTAATGGGAAATACTTACTCAACTTCGGGTGGTGGTGGAGGAAGCTCGTTTATTAGTGGACATATTGGATGTTTCGCAATGGATAGTAATGGGAAATCATTGAAAACCAGCATTCATCCTTCTGGCTACTTTTTCACTAACACAGTCACAATCGAAGGAAATAACTACATCCCTTCGACTTCCGATATTGATGAATTTGAAGAATTTGGACATGTTGGTGACGGATTTGTCCGTATTACTGTATTATCTCAAATATATGTTTGTTCAAAACCAATCACTAATTTTAATTGTCTCCAAATGTTATTCATTCTTGAATTTATTTTCATTAGTGAAAAAAATATCTTTAAAATGTAATGTTTAGATTCTGAAATCAGTAGTAGATCAAAATTGGAATCAGTTTGGATTAAAAAGGAAAAAATCGCGCCGTCCAGGACTTGAACCTGGACTCTACTGCTCCGTAGGCAGTCGCCTTATCCAATTGGGCCAACGGCGCTTCACGTCTACAGTTTATTTTTTAAAACCAACATGATCTTAGCTTATTCATGAAATAGAAGAGTGATTTCTTTTTTTGTTACATCAAAAATAAGTTAAATTAAATTAATTACTGAAAATAATAGTGTAAAAACCAAATAACTTTACTCACCAATTGTTCTGCTGTTCTCAACATCTTTGCAGAAGTCTTTCCATCTGATTTCGTCTGTGATTCCAACTCTGTACTTTCTGAACAAAGCGTTGAGTTGGCCGGCGCGGAGTACAATTCCTACGTCCTCAAGTCTCTTCTGGAATTCCTTAGATGGAATAGTTTCTCCTTCGATTCCAACGAAAGCAACAGCAATTCTTCTTCTCTTGCAAGCCAATCTGTCTCTGATCTGCAAGCATGTTGCCATTGCATCTCTGTTTACTTCTGCGCTGATTGGTTCTCCAGATAATCCAGCCTTTGCAGCTTCGGAGTCGATATCTTCTGCTTCTACAGCTCTTTCAAATAACCTGTAGTTGAAGATTTCCTTCTTTCTTGAGTCTCTGAATGCAGAGCACAAGTCTTCCATCTCAGCTCTCATCGCTGTGAACTGGACGTTGTTGAAAGCAGCAGCGACTTTGAAGACCTGGATGAATCCTGTGTGCTGTGGATCGTATGGCTCGAATATGTCTGTGACAGAGAGTCTTCTCATCCTTGAGAAGTTCTTGAATCTGCGGAGGAAGTTGTGGACAATTGGAGCGAAATCTGGAAGTGGTTTCTCTTGTTGGTATGATTTCTCTGGCTCTGGTTCTTCCTCTGGTGTTGCGTGGTTGATTGCGGAAATGAACTCTCTGTAGTTGACTTCTGGAGAGCCTGTGACTCTGAAGAAAGACATCAATCCGCGGATTTCGGATTGGTTCAACTGCATGTCAAGTAAGACATCGAGGAAAACTTGGTTTGGAACACATCCTCTACGGCGCTTGTCATTGCGCTCGAACTGTGACTGAAGGGAGTAAACGTTGGCGCTCTTCTGGATGTTGAGAAGAAGAAGATTGAGTGCTTTTGGCGGTTTTGCGGCCATTGATGGATCTCTTGCGGAAACTGCGCCTTCTTCGATTGGTTTGCGAGCGGAAAGGCGGAGTTCGGCATCTTCTGGATCAACGGACTTGCAGAGATCGCGCCAGGAGACAGTTGCGAACTTCTTGCCTGGATATTGTTGGCAAATGAGGTTCAAATCTTCGCGATTTGCCTCGAAACCGATCATTCCGAGTGCAGACTGTAATTGTTCGACTGTCATTTCGCCTGTATTTGCGCGGTCGAAGCGAGATGCGGATTGTGTAAGTGTTGTTGGGTTTGTTTCAAGGAACTGCTTGAGATTTCCAATAACATCCTTGATTGTTGTGGATGAGCGCATTGTCTGCTGTGGTTTGATGTCAGAAACGAATCTGTGGTAGTCAATTTCGCCATTTTGAAGTCTGTAGTTCTCTGCGATAGCGAAAATCTCATCGTTAGAGAGAGAAAGTTGCATTGAGGCAACAATTTGTCCGAAAACGCGGATTGGGCAGGAATCTGGGTTTCCATGTCTTGCAAGTGGATCGAAGTAGTCGCTAACATGAATTCTACGGCTAATGATGATAGCACGGATATCATCAAGAAGCTTGTCAACTGAAATTCTTGGTTTGGATTCAACTTTCTCCTGTTCGGCGGAATCATCAGCAACTCTTGGCTTGTAGGCTTCGATTGTTGCAATGAACTGCTTGTAATTGCAGTATCCTGTGTCTTCTTGGAAGAATGGATAAGCAATGTCACGAAGATCGACTGGAGAAAGGGAAACACCTGTTGATGAAACTGCGGAAATGAAAGTATCCATTGGGATCTTGCCACTGTTCGATGAATCTAAGCGGTTGAATGTTCCATACAAATCGACAGAACGAGACTTGATGTATCTCCATACTGCAACGAAGCAATCTGGGAGTTCATCGATAGGAGCATCTGGGTTAACTGGTTTGTTTGAAACAGTCTGGACATCATTTTGAAGTCTGAAATAATCGATGTAGCCTGTAACTGTATCGGCATAAACCTTAACAAGAGTTTTAGTAAGCGGGGAGCAGCCAAATGCTCTGTAGAAGTCATTAGGATTAACTTTGCCTCTGTTTGCTTGATCGAAAGGCTTCAAAAGTTCACGGATCGTTTGTCTGCGGACGGCAAGCTCACCACCGAAGCGGCGGAGTTCTTCTGTGCAGTTTGGTGTTCTTGAAGAAGGCTGATTGTTATAGCTCTTTGAGAGTTCAATTGATTGCTGAAGAGACTTCCAATCAACACCTTCTCCCTTCTTGAAAGCATCTGCAAGGGTTTGGACTTGCTGTGGTGTGAAGTTCAAACCAATTGATGAAATCCATCTATGAAGAGAGACTGGGGAGATGATACCGTTGTGCTTACGGTCATAGTTTGTGAGTTCTAATTCAATATCGACTGCATTTCTATCACAAATTTGTCTAATGCGTGCAATAAGTTGCTGAACAGCTTCCATTTCTTACGTTTACAATTTATTTTTTTATTACAAATGTGATATGAAATATTTATCATTCTAGATTATGATGCATCAAAGTAATATATGTGGTTGTTAATTTCGACCGTTCAGGGTTCATGGAAATCGTCATTACAAATCTATTTGACTTCGAAATTTGTCATGTTTTAATAATTCCTGGATAAACTAGCTCATTTATGAAATATACAATGTAAGTTTGAGAGAAGTCAAGCTCGATGTCTCTCATTAATGATTCTTTTGAAATGAATATTACTCTCTGACCTATAATAGCTTATTTCCAACCTTGTACAGGCTTAGATTGCTTAAAACTAAGCAATGTGCATCATTATATATGAAAATTTATTATAAAAATTCAATTCAATATTGAATAAATGTTGAAAAAAGATACCATGGATCCAAGGAGTTAATAATAAAATGTAAATATAGTAGAAAGTATTTATATTAAACAATTTTAATAATAATCAAACAAAATGAAATATTATCTCATTGAAATACTGTTGAGATTATTATTCTTGATGCATGATCGCTTTCCTGGTCATTGTTGAATCTTTCTTTGACGTTTACAGCAGGATCAATGTGTTTGCAAATCGGACAACAGTTTTTATCTGTTCCTGAGCAACTTTGGTGGACAATATGGCCACACTTAAATATTGCGCATGGATATGTAATCTTTCTTTGGCAAATTGAACAAATTAATGGATATTGAACTTCTTCTGATGTCTTTATTGAGTTTATTTGATCTTGGATGGCTTTCTGATCATGAACAACTCTCTTGTTTTCATTGTATAAGTTTGCAAGCGCCTTCTTTATATTATTATCTATGAATTTGAAGGTAACTAATGGATTCTTCAACAAAGTACTGAAAACAAAGTCAATATTTCTGACTTTGAGAGTATTTATGACAGCTTTTTGTATGAAATGAACGAAATTATCAAAACCTTGTAATTTAGCCCATTTTTGTTCACCTGTGTATATAGCAAATAGATTACTCCAATCTTTAGGATGTATTGATGCTTCTACTTCAAGACAATAATCAATTAATTTCTTGTCATCCAAATTATTATTCAAAGCATAAGTAATTGCATCATGGAATAATTGTTTTCTTGTCAAGATCCATACAACACCTAACACGTATTTGTTTTCCGCGCAAATTGAAAGGATTTGGTTTTCATTAAATTGAATATCTTTGTTTTTGATAATTGCAATGAACGCGGTCTCGTTTGAGATGTTGTCTGAGTTGAACATCGTTTTTGTTTTGGATGGCAGAATTAACTCTAAATACAAAGTAACCAAAAGCGGAGTCGGTTTCTCAGCAATGGCGTCCTTTAGGAAGGATGTCAAGTAAGCTGGATATCCCCAAAGTAGTTTAACGAACTCTGTTCCGTCGTTTTGGGCTTCTTTTCGATAATAAATCGAAGCTGCTTGAGAAATCAAGCGTCCTGATGCGCTATCAAGACTAAGTAATGTTGGTCCGAATTTCAGAAGTAAATGCTTTCCATTTGGATCCTGACTTGAGTTATGAATTTTTGTTGCGGCTTCGAGATAATTTTTCTGCTCAAAGATTAAGGCTTGGATGTCATAATCAGAAATTCTATTACTGATTCTAATACGTGAAGCTTCATTTTGATATCCGCATTGATTTAACATATCAATGATTGTATCAATATTAAGCGTAGGATAAAGAACCTTGTATTTAGACCACTTCGGATCTTCTGCTTCACTTATTTGTCCACTGTTAACTTTCTGTGCATTGTTTACAATTGTTACAAAGTTATGAACACTGTCGTTTAATTTGTATTTCGAAAGGATGGAAATCAGTAATTGAGTAATGTGAACTGTCGCTTGGCCACTCCAAAAAACTTTCATTAAATATTTTGGCAAATGCTTTTCCAATCCATAATTAAAGAACTTAACAATAACTAATTCTGGATCATATTGTGAAATTATTTGAGAATATTTCTCTAATGCGTCGTCATAGCGTCCTTCGATAAAATCATTCTCTGCATTGCGTTTAACTTCATCATAATCGATGATAATAAGTTGCTTAGGCATCATTTCTTCGAGTCTTACTTGACCTGATCCAGACGAATTTATTCTTCTAATTCCTTTCAATTTACCTTCTGTCATTTTTAATAAATGTTTGATTTTGCTTTAAATATATAATAACCAAAAGTATTCAAATAAGAGTTGCTATGAAATTAGTCGAAGAACTCTAACAAATGCTTCCAATATCTTTTGAATCTTATATTCATGATCTGTGAGCGATAGTTTTATTATCTTCTTGGATTTTGATTGTAACCTGAAGCATATGCAACAAATGAAGGAAAAATAAAAAAAATTATTTTAAAAGGTATATAACAATACATGATTTTATTTACAAAACTTCATCAAATAACGCTATATTTTATCTGATCAGAATCTTTTGGTTTGACTAATCAGAAGAAATATGTACAATGAGAAGAAAACAAGAATACATTGGTGCATTTCTACAATTAGTTCGCTATAAATTGAAATGGAACCAAAATATGAATAAATATGGATAAAATAATAGTTGTGACACTTTTTACGGGCTTATAAATAAGCCCGAAAAAGTATCAAGCAACTATTAAAATATATATATTCACTTTTTAATCGTCGTCCCTCCTCTCAAAAAGTGACTAATATATTTTGAATATATTTTGTGTTTTTTCATTGAAATAAGCAATCAATATGAGTAGTTCTGAGATATATCACTCTAATTCTATATAAATTTGTCTATGAATCCAATTCTTTGGCAAATTTCTCGTTGATATCTTTAAATAAGTCGTCAAGTTCCTTCCAATTGCATCCACGAGCACATTTAATATGATTTTCACTTGCTCTATGTGCAACAGCGTCAGTAAATCTTGTCTTGCATATTTCGCAGTAGTTAATTGCGATTGCTTCGTTTTCCACAGCATTTGGCTGAGCTTCTTGTTTCTTCTTCTGTTTCGCGATGTATTCTTCAGTGTTCGTAGGCGGGTTTTCGAAAGGAGAGATGTTCAAACCAGGAAATGACATCCAATGTATTTTTGGAGGTTCTTTGTTCCCAAATTCGGTGTAAAGAGGTCTAAACGAATTTCCCATTGCTGCGGCAACGCAACAGTTCTGTAGGGGCTTTTGAGGGGGTGCCTCCTTAGCAGATTTCTGATTAAGAGCGTTTCTTATGAAGTCATCTGTCATTTGTGGCCTTCCTGGAACTTTTTTGAGTGTTACATTGGAATATATTCCGTGATGGCGGATTCCTTGTAATGTACTTGGCGTCTTCATCTCTTGTATTGATAGTGGTGGAGGAATTAAACCCTGTTGTTGCTGTTTTTGAGAATTATGATGATGATGCTCCGAAGAATGTGGTTTTGGAGATGCTAGTTTAGCTGATGTTGGTGTTCTAACTTGTACTGATTGTAAATCTAAGTCTGATGTCGATGTTAAATGGCCTTCAAAATATCTTTCTTCCTCTTCTTCAAATTGAACAGGTTCTTCTATTTGAGGTGGTAAATCGAAGACTTCTGTTGTAGAATGTGTGTGATTTAAATGAATCTGTGGCTCTTGTTCGATTGATTTTTGAATATTTTCAATATAAATCTCAGGTTGAGATTGAATTATTTTCTCTCTTTCGATTTTCATCTGAGATATTTCAAAAGATGGATGGATTTCCATTTGAAAATTAGTTGGAGTTCTAATATTTTGCATTTTAAATAAATCTATATCATTAAGATCGAATGAATCTGAATCTGATGACGTCTCTATATTAATTGGCGAGTTTTGCTCGAAAATATTGTTAGTAATTGGAAATGATGGAATATGTGATGGTCGAGAATATACAGTATTAGTTGCATGATAATATGGCTCATATGGTTGTCTAAAAACTATAGGCTTTTCTTGCAAGCTATCTGTATTTGCGTTTTGATTAATTAAATTGTCATAATTTTGAGAAAAATCATTAATATCCTGATTTTTACGACCAAATTCATTAATAAACGCTGAGAGAGGATCTCCAGAATGGCCTGGATCCCCGTCGCCTCTCCGCATGCAATAAAAAGTGACAAATTTTTAATTTGCAACTGTAAAGATTCTTTGTATCTGCAAGAAACGCAAATAACGAAGTATAAGATAAACAGCTTAGTAATATTTTATTTAACAACAACAAATTATCAAAGAAGAGACAGAATATCAATAATTATTCTGTATTTCGAGATATCCTCTATAATGTATTATTTAGGCTTCTTTCCTTCAAGGCGCATTCTACGTTCCTTTGCTCTCTTTTCTCCATTTTCTTGAGATTCTTTCAATCTCTTTTCAAATTGCTTTACAGTATTTGCAATATCAATACCTTTACGAGATTGTGCGCTTCTTCTTGTCTTCATCTTTTCTAAATCTTCCTCTTCATGACGAATGTAAGCAGGAATTTCAGCTCTTTCTGCGGATTCTTTCTTAAATGCATCATCAATATTATCTTGGTTATTCTTTGATAACTCTTCAAGACGCTTCATGTGCTTTTCGAGAGTGCTAGCTTGTTCTTTGTGATTTGCGATTGTATTGTCATGATTTCGCTTAATTCTGAGTTCAGTTATACGAGAATTGAATGACGTTTTAGCCTCTGCTTTAGGTTCTATTTCATTTTTCATTGGTGGAATATTAACTATTGCATTTGTATCTTGTGATTGATCAAATTCATTAAGGAACAACTGAAATGACTTGGAAAAGAAAATGTTGTTCAAATCGTCTGTATTTTTTATGTAATTCTTATTCCTGTTATCCTGTTTAAGTGTTTTGCTCATTTTTGTTTTTTAAACGTACAGTAATTGCATTCAATTTGCGAAACAGTGTAAGAAGTCATATCAACATTTTCTTGCACATCAAGAATTATGCAATGTGTAGCTTGTGTATATGAATTATATTGAAAACACTGTTACTTTTTAGCAATTTGATAATTCATTTCAATTAGACGTTAATGATGATACTGTATTAACTCTTCAGGTAATTTGCTTCACTATGGGTAAAGATATTTTTACATAATTGTCATATTCTGTCGATTTTAGATCATATCTTTATTTATAGTGAAGCTTTCAGCTCTATCTAGCAGAAATCTCTTATAAATGGCTAAATTATTCCGAAACATGTGATTGTTTCTACATTTATGTCTGAGTTATAAGATGATTAACCTTCATAATAGATTATTATTGATAAATACTAACATTTAAAAGGGGTTTTGAAATTTAATGCGGTTTTATGCTAGTAATGCATATTAAGGTTTGTTACATGCATCCAATGAGTACAAGATAACTTACATCTAAGTATTCTAATTGCAATAATTACAATTCAACATAAAATATATTGTTAATTTCAAGTTTTATTGATAATTTTATTGGGGTTCACCTAATTTCCAACTTTTTTGAGTGAAATTATTTAATCGAAATTGATTAGTGGTTTTTATATGTTCATTTTATAGCATTTCATAAGGCATTACTACTGATCATTAAATATTTTGAGGTACTCATTCGTAAGAGGTAGGGCAACGATAGGTCCAAAAGGCTTCTCTGATAGATTTCCTTGCCTTTTGGATATGCTATAATATATAGCCTAGCATGATAGGATATGATGTCAAAAGTTAGAACATAACTTAGGATCTTGAGAAAAATGAAAAACAAAAATTACATAAAAAAAGAAAAATTTTATCTAATTTGTTTTTTTGGACCGAATAAGTAATTTTATTGAATTTCAATACGACACATAGATTTTATTATTAGTAATAAATATAATGGTTTACTATTAACAAGGAACCTAAACTAATGAAAATTTGATTTCAAATATTGTATATGATTATCATAGATTACCAAAATATATTGCTATTTATGAGGATATAATATTGATTATTAGTAAATCGTATAAATTTAATAAATATACCATGAATATTGAATGAATTTCTTGATTCATAGGGGTAAAACGCGCTTTTATATGATTTAGACAGAGAATTTATGAGATGTAAATATCACAATAAAGGTTTATATTGAATATTTTCTAAAAATAAATCGAAATTATAAAAAACAATACATTTATTCATTGAAACTACTTGGACAAATATGAAACAAGCATTCAGGCAATACTTTTGAGACTTCAACGCATCTGATAATTTTTATATAACTTCACCTCTTATGCTTAGAGTGGAGGTATTGAGATCGTATAAGTATAGATGAGCTCACATTCAGATATGATGTGTGAACTTCTGTTTTCACTGCAATTTTGAATCAGAATAAACTCAAAACAAGAATAAAATGATATACTCACTCTCTAAATGTGTTCGAGATTTAAAGTTGTATGAATAAAACGATTCATCTTTCGAAGCCTCCCATTTAATGAGAGACTTCGAAAGATGAATGTATTTATGTAGATGAAATACTATATATGACCATGTGTGATACTAAAGATATCAAAATGTTCATTTTTAAGTGCAATAGAAGGGTTATCTCTCGTAAAATCTCAATTTAAGGAAGATTTAGAAAGAACTCCTTTCCTAAGTAGATAGTGTGTGGTTTCTGTCTTTTGGTTGATCAGGAACTATGAAATTAAGTCGGACAGAAAGAAGTTCTTTCCAAAACAGACTCCAAATGAGTTGTTCGAAAAGAACTTCCTTCTGTATATGGATAATTGTAGTTACCGCACTGAAGTATGTGATTGTGATGATGGAGTTCTCGATAAATCTAAAATCGGATTAAGATTAATTGAAAACTCAAGTAATTCTTTGAAATCTTGTGTTGTCTGGCACTATAATAACCAAAGAATGAGAATATTATGTTGAATGATGAGTACGTGTGCTCGGCATTCGCCGAGCGAATTGAGTTTAACGTACTATGAAAAGTGACAAATTTGGGCTTTTTTTCCTAGGGTTATGATCTCTTCCTTTCTGCTCAATACGACAGAAATGAAAGAATGAATTTGTACTCCCTAATTGATTACTACAATCTGTAGCTATCTTTAACATAGAATTAGCTGCATTGTGATTTATACTCCAGAATTATTCAATTTAAGATCAACCTCGTAAATTTTAATCATATTGCACCAATACTCCTACGTTGAGATAAGAACATGATTATACATACCAAAGCCCCATATTAAAAATCAAAATTTTAGCACCTCCATTATGCAACCACATTATTCGTCGCAAATAAGTATATTTACGCATATTATGATGCATATTCACACAACTCGTATACATGAAAAGTTATTAAAATCAGACAAAATTATTGCAATAAGGAAAAAAAAACAACTTTATTATATATGTTAGTAATGAATTACAAATATTTCTACAAAGAATGCTCAATACTTCATATAATCTTCGAATATTTCTTATTACAAGTTAATACATTTTGACTCGAACATGATAAACAAAAGCTGACACGCTGATTACTACATTTATGAAAATATAGTACGTTTCCATTCATCTGTTTACTTGTTTTTGTTGGAATAAAATCATTTTTTTTTCTTTCATGAAATAAGAATTTTGCTGCGAAAGCAATATCTCTAACAATAATTAATACATTACGTCAACTCTGGAATGAGTATTTATCAAATATGATATCAAAATCAAAAATTAGTTGTTTTTTATGAGTAAAAACGATGTAAATTGATTATTTGACTAATTATCAAATACTTTGATTTTCCAAATTTTTTTTCGAAATTGATTTTTTCATGTGAAAATTCAAATTGTTTAATTTCATTTTTGAAATTTTAAATTTTTTTTGGAATTTTGAGTTGATCAATTCAGCAGAATTGATAATGCTATTGCTTTAGGGCATACCACAAGGTGATGAATAAAAGGTGAACATTAACAAATTATTTTAAATCACAAATATCATCCTCATCAACTTTAATTCTAAAAAGAACTGTACTGAATTATGAAAATGCATGATTTACATTATTAAAATCTTTGAATGAAAATAGTACAAGATAAGTTTTTATTCATTTTTAATTAGATTTAAACGAAAAACTACTCCATATTAAAATTTAAGTCGAGAAATCGTATTTTGTTCTTATTTGTTAGCATTTTGTAGACATTCTAATCTTGAATTAATTTGTTACATGATATTATTAACAAATTTAACTGAAAAAATATGTTAATATGGAATAAACCATGATTATATAAGCTATCAATGCTATATATACATATGTAAAAGATTCATATTAACTCAATTAACAAAAATGATAGATTTTCATAAAGGTTCAATCTAGGTTCGTCCGAAAATTTTGATTTTTATATAGAAGACATAGTTTCATATACATAATTAAATTTTCAAATAAATTTGATCATACCATTTATTAAGCAGGATAGTATATTAATTACTATCAGTATAAAAATATAAAAATGATTATATTTAATTATTGCATAATTTAGTCAAAGAGTTATAAACCTCAAGTGATTGTTATCACCTTCAATGCACGTATACTTTATTGATTCATAGATATTTAATCTATGTTTGACATGTTGTTGTCGTCAATCGTTTTGTTCCCATTCTTCCTAAGTTAGAATTAGAGAATACACCATCCACATCATCTAATTTGGTCCTCAGCGATAGATTGGTTCATTTTGGAGGAGTCCCATCGGACAGTTTTCGAGCACCAAATATCAAATTTTAATGTATACAAATCTTTAGTGATTTATCTCTTTTATGATGAGTAAAAGGTTTCTGCTCATCAACATTTGATTTCCGACATATATGATTTCTAATTGCAATTATTTACTTTCTTTTTATAATCTAACTCTGTGACTCATACCATAAATTAATTATTGGAAAGTGTCAATATGTTTGGCACAACGCATGGCGGAAGATACCAAACCATGCAGGGAATATGATACGTTTAAGATCTCCGAACTTTTTTTCCAAAAATTTTCTATCGTTGCCCTACCTCTCATTCGTATAGGGAAATAAAATATAATTTTTATTGAGAAAAAAAGTAAATTCTTATGTTATTAAATAGAACCATTTCCTCTCTTGCACTTGCAAAAATCTTCAATGGGTCACCATTTAGGACTACTCAGACTGGTGAAACACTTAAAGTTAGCAAATCAATCTTTTCAAAAACATTAGATCCATTATTTTTTGTCAAAAGAGGTTCACATTTAAGTTTATCTAATACAGAATTTAGGAATATTGGTTCTTCTATTGTGAAAATGGATGCATCTATTACTTATGAGAAATCACTTATAAATCAATCAATTAAAGAGAGTGTTGATGATGTCAATCACTCGAGTATAATAATTCAGAATTGTAAATTTATCAATGTGAAATTTTCGAGTAATTCACAATATTTAGCAATGATAACCTCCAGTCCAACATTAATATATAACAATACATTTGCATACATATCACTGAAAAAGGGCTTATTCTATATTATCGATTCCTCAATCAATATCACTCAAAATGTGATTACTAATTGTAATGGTGACTCAGCATCATTGTTCAATATCACGAGCTGTTCTGGAACAGTTACTGATAATAATATTACTCAAAGCAAAAAATCTACACTCATTTTAGTTGATGATGTAACAAATATTTCGTTCAACAAGTTACAGGTTGATTATAGCTATGATGAATCTATCTCAGCCCCTGTAATAGATATTCAGAACTCACTAGAGGTCACAATTGACTCTCTCGGAATTTCTACAAATTCTGCAGATTCAAATGCAATTATAAACATGAGCAATGTCACTAGGGCTACAATATTTGCTGCTGCTTTTATTAATATTAGTAAACCTGTTGAAGTATCTTCATTAACAGCATTAATATTGAAAAGATGGTGTACTAACGCTATAACTGATACTATAGGTAGTTCAGAGGACAGTATTATTGCAAATGTATCAGGTAAAGTAAATTTATCCACATGCTCATATGAAAATATTATTATACACCTTGCAACTGCAACTCCTCCTCTCTCGACTTCAGAAAAGATTGCAATGTATATAACAATTGCATTCTTTTGTTTATTCTTTATTTCAACATTTATTATCCTGATTTCTTTGATCTTTTGCAAAGTTGGTATGAGTCAGGAGATCCAATTCTCAGAAGAAATGGGAGAAGAGGAAGATTCGTTTGTTTCATTTGCCAATTAAACTTCATCAATAAAAATATCTAATATTTACTTCAGCATGATAAAAAATCTCTTTTCTAAGTTTATTTAGACGTTTTAATAAAGCAACTGATCTATGAAAAAGATGTAGAAATCTTGAAATGAGTCTGTTTTGGGAAGAAAGAAAATCTTTGAAATTTAGGGGAATAAAAGTGGTTTCCCCCAAAATTACAATGGATCAAAGTTCCATATTTCAACAAGCACTAGAAGAATGCAATATTGATGTTTTAACAGGCGTTTATGTCCCTACTCCAGCTCTAACTCTACGTATTCCAAAAAGTAAAATTATATCTGTAGAACCTACAGAAAGATTTCCTCTTGATGAACCTGATATCAAAGAACCTGTATTCGATGATTTGAAAGAAGCTTTTCTATCAGCATCTTTAGAAAAAATCGTTATGAGCCGAATGAAAGCAAAGAATTCTAAAAACTCGGGTCCATTATTGTATTCAGAAAAAATATCACCATTACCTAATGCTGAAGAGTTTGTTTTATACAAAAGGCAAAAAGCTACTCAATTGGCCAAAGAATGTAAAGATGACGATTTACCTGAGCCGATTCAGCTTTGTACTTTTCCTACGTGCCTAAATACGGCAATTCCAACATATAAATTCTGTATTAATCATCTTCCTTTGGATCCGAATTTTAATGACCAACCATTCTTTGTCAAATGTCCACAATGTGAGCGTATAGCGCAAGTCGGGGACGAAAAATGTGTGTTTCATAAAAAATAAATGTTTGTTTGTATCGAATTTTAATTATATTTTCTTCAAGCATTGAATTACAGCGTTCGTGAGTTACCGTTGTGAAATGCATTTAGTTTTGAACAAAATTAGCATCATGCCCAAGGAATGATAGCAAATAACGACAATTCGGAGCAATAAGTTTTAAAACCTCATTTTGAGGTAGAATTTGTTATTAACTTTTTATTGCTGTTCAGAATACATCACAATTCCATATTCCAAAACAATCAAGGCCGATTGATCTCTATCGTTCTTCATTTTTTCCAAATATGGGTGATTTTGATCTTGATGAGATCTTAGCCACAATTTGCCGTGGTGAGGCACTTGATGAAGAAGTACTTGTTAAATTGCTTATGAAACTTATGGAAGTTCTTTCCTGTGAAAGCAACTTAATCGAAATTTCTTCTCCGATTACAATATGTGGCGATGTACACGGCCAGCTTTATGATGTATTCGAATTGTTTAAAGCTGGTGGTGACCCCGCTACTACCAAATATCTCTTTATGGGAGATTATGTAGACCGTGGATACTATTCCGTTCTTACATTTTCATACTTAGCTGCTCTTAAGCTCCGCTATCCAGGAAATGTCTACCTTCTTCGTGGTAACCACGAGTGCCGCCAAGTTAACCAAATGTACGGTTTCTACGCCGAATGTGTTCAAACATATGGCCACATCGGAGTTTGGAACTTATGCAACGAAGTATTTGACCTTCTTCCATACTGCGCCCTTATCGATGGTGAAATCTTCTCAACACATGGTGGTCTTTCTCCACAGATCCCTCTCATCGACAAAATCAACTCTATATACCGTGTTGAAGATGTACCAGCTACAGGACCATTTGCAGACCTTACATGGAGTGATCCAGACGACTGCTGCTGGAGTCCAAATCCAAGAGGCGCTGGACACTTATTTGGCGAAAGACCAACACGCGAATTTTGTCACCTCAATGGCCTTCGCTTCGTAACACGTTCCCACCAGCTTGTTATGCAGGGTTACGAATGGTATTTCAATAAACTCCTTGTCAACGTTTGGTCTGCTCCGAACTACATGTATCGTAGTGGCAACCAAGCCAGTGTTATGAAATACGCTGGAAATGGCGAAAACGAATTAGTAATTTTCGGTCCATGCCCTACTTCAGAGGCAAAGGTCCCAGCGGAACTTCCAACATCTTCATATTTCTTGTGATTTGTTTTCTTCAGTGTATTATGGCAATTTACTTGAATTCTTCCAAAAAAATAGCACTATAATAATTTCAACAAAACAATAAGTAAGCAATGGATGAATTGTATTAACTAACTCGAAACTAACACTAAGCTTACACAACCGGTCTTTAAATCTTTAAAAACCGAGACAATTGCCACATATATTATAGTAATATTGATTCATAAAGGATAAAAATATGTTCGTTTTAATGAATTACTTTCTTTACCATTTAAGTTTTTCTGAACATGTGAAAAAAAGATATGAAGAAAATAATTTCACTTATTGAAGATTGTTCTTAAGTAACTGGATTGTCCATATGCAAATAAACCATTTGTCATGTGTTTTCAGGATAAAATTCAAAAATTGCAATTAAAATATTACAATATTTAGAAGAATAAGAATAACAATAGAGTGTTTATTTGTAAGTTACAAATGGAAAATTATTTAAACATAAGAAATCTTTGAAAATGATGGGCTGGGAGAATCATCAGAATCTGATGAAACAATCTGACGTCTTATCTTTTTATAATTCTTCCCGAGCCTATTAGTGACCTTAATTAAATCATTAATGTGGTTTCCAGCTTTGTTCCTTAATTCAGACATCTGATGAGATTTGTTGGTTTTAGAGAAGGATTTTGTCTTTGATTGGTAAGCCATTTCATCAACAATCCTCTCTGCTTCATCGGTCTCATACTTTCTGATGGATTTTCTTGATTTGGATGGTTTGACTTCAACAATTTCTTCTTCCTCCATTTCATCTTCTGATTCGGATGAATCTGAAAACATATTTTTATTTAGAATCTTTTGTTTGCTGAAGCTTTGTTTCGAATAATTCTTCGACTTTGAATAATTCTTGGATTTAGAAAATCTTTGGGGAATTTCGTCTTCTTCCTCTTCTTCCTCATAGCTATCATCACTAGAGCTGTCCTCAATGAGCCTGCGAGAGTACTTTGTCTGTGTTGTTGTCTTTTGCTTGCTTGCAGACTTCTGAACTTTAGATTTAGAACGCTTGACAGGAATTTCTTCTTCGTCATCATCTGAAGATGAATCTGTAGAGCTGCTGTCGTAGTGTCTACGCTTAAGCTTTGTTAAGGCTGCCTTTAAACTACTCTTTCTGTAGTTGCTTTCGTTAATCAATTCTTCTTCTTGCTTTAATTGCTGAGCTAAGATTTCACCTAGTTCATCAAGCTTCTGAGTAAACTTATCTTCGTTTGATTTGCTTGCCTTTGTGATTCTTTCGTTCAAAAGTTTTGAATTTGTATGAACTGTATTGACTAACTCAGCATATTTTGAGTTTAATACATGAAGATTCTTTTTAGCATGGTTGTATTTCTTCTTTAATGCTATATACTCCTCATTTTGGGAAGGATTTTGTACTCTGTCACAAAGTTGTGAAACTAAATCTACAAGAATGGTTCTTTTTTCTGCATCACTACGAGAAGGTGATGAAGGGAATGGAATGTATTTTGTAATCATGGAAATTAATCTTGTCCACATTTGATTCCATTGCTGTAATTCAATTGAATTAGAATCCTGATTGTATTGACCTGAGACTCCATCATTGTTGCCACTAACTGATGAACTTTCGCTCTGTTGCTCAGCTAATTTTAGTAACTTTTCATATTTTAACTTGATTTCATTGTATTCTTGCCTTGTCTGGTTTAAAGAATCAACAAGGCTCTTTGAACTGGTATGGTGTTTGGAGATCTCACTTGAAGATGAAAGAGAAAGTTGGCTCATTTATCTAAATTTAATTATTATTAAACGGTCACTTCTACAAATTTTCTACATGATAAAGGATTACAATAATGACGACGCAAATATATACATTATGAATTGTAAATTATTGAGTGGCATTGTTTTGAAGAATCTCTTTTTGAAATTTGATCAAAAAATTTCCCAATTTAACTAGAATTATACTAAAAATAGTCATTTGTAAAGAGCACCTTAAATATTGAATATTTTTGGGCTAGAATTGTTGAAATCAGGATGTCGAATTCTCCAAAAAAAAATTCAAAATTTAGAAAATGAAATAAAAAAATACATTTTTTATCATAGAAAATACTAAATCATAATTTTTTTGATAAATCCATAGTTCTATTTTTATGTAATATTTGATTTTTTAAAGGAAAATTTATATGAATTCATTACATTTGTGGAATATTTCAAATCTATGCCAGATAATTCTTGAAAATTCGCGAATATTGTGCATAATATAGACATATTATAAATGACTAATCATATTTGCAAGAATAAGCTTCAATTTATCTCATGACCTGTAATTTTTTAAAATCAAAAAAAGAGACCATTCATTTCAATTCCAATGATGCTCTAGGTTCAATAAAAAAGATTCTGTAAAAAACGTAAAATTGTATGGCAAAATTCAAAAGAGAGAACAAAAAGGAACATATTTAGTATGGAAGTTAAAAAGCATATTTACAAAATTTGTGAATATCAACAAATTCACTCACAATGTAAAAATTCAATATTTCGTCAAATTCATCATAAATGGGATGTATTATTTTGGATATGGTCATGCAATGTATGACTCATTTATTTAGTGGGTTCTGTAAAAAACACTTATTGAGGCATTCAATGATTTCTGAATTTATTTTAAGTTTTAAGTTGAAAATGTAAAGAATATTGCTGTCTAATGATTTTTTTTGATTGTTACAAGTCATTAAATAAAAATGTGGCATTAGGATAAGATAAAGTGAGTACAAAGTTAACTCAATGATCAATAAGTTGAAATTATGGATGATCAACTAATAGATTTCAATACATTAGCATTTAATCATCTTGTCACGTGAGTATTTGATCATTTGATTATATAATTATCAACAAATTATGATGTTGACATAAATTAGGAATGCAAAACTAATGTGGCGGTTATATTGAACTTTATTGGTATTAATAAAATATTTAACAATAAAGTTTTTAAATTGAATGGTCAGAAATTTGTATAGTGTTTCAATTTAAAAAAACGAAAAAGTAAAAAAGTTATATTTTGTAATCTAAAATATTTGCAGCAGCAATATTTGTTCGATAAATAGAAAATATACATTGAATTTATTTTCTGAATTTGAAAGCTAATTTGTCATTGTTATTCAATTGTATCATGTTATTATATCTTTTTATATTCATCCCAATATCTTAATATTGATTTTTTTTAGTTCTCAAAAGTTCGATATCGAAACTTTTTTTATTTTCATAATTAATAGTAATTATTAATGTATTAATATTGTAAGATACAGATGCACGTGAGAAATGAATTGAATTCAATTATAAAATGATTCTAGAAAAGCATTTATTAAAATGAAATTAATACCAAAATTTGAATAGTTTTTAATTTGAATAGTTAATTTTTGAAAATACCCTTTCTAATTGTTCGTATTGAATTTTTCAATACACACATTTCAAAAGCAAATGATAGTTTAAACATTCCTTATAATGATACCTCCATTAATTTTTGATAAAATGTCTCTTAACAAAACAATTTTTTACAATCTTTGAAAACTTCTAATTGTTTATGTCATCACCTAACTAACAAAACCTAATTTTAACTTAAAAAAATCCGCATTCAAATTTATGAATAGCATATTTTACACGAACCTGTATTTTTCCCTCAGTTATTATCTTCTCCAACATGTGCTTTTAATAATGCGGTTACCTCAAATTTGGTCCCAAAACCGAATAATTTCAATAAGAAACCATAAGAATAAGATGCACTTCCATAATCAATAATATTTTCTACTTTACATTTAATTTCTATAATTCGTTATCAAATATTCACAATTCGCAGCATTCAAATTTTTTCAATAAATATATAAATGCAATCAACTCAGCAGAGCTCGCAGAGTTTCGAACTTTCCTACTCTATGAGCAGTAAGCTCGAAGAGTTGATTGATGTTCCCATTTACAAAAAGATGATTGATTCATTTATCAGTCTTTTAACGTATTTAGATAATTATGCACCAAAAATCCCTGTTCTCTACCAGATCATTACAATTATCCGTGCTACACAGCTTATTGGTACTGCCCTCATGGCTTCCAACATTGACTTTTGGGATATGTCTACAATAACAGGTAAAGTTATGGGTATCATTTCAATTCCATTCCATATTGTTCCTACCCAATACAGAATTGATAACGAATGGATTATTTTGTATGTTTATGATGCTATAGCTTACTTCTTTGCCATATTTTGCTTTTCAGTATCTTACATCTACAAAACGACAACACGTATTGACAAGACTTCCACATATATTGTAAGCTTTTGGATGTCAATTGGTCCGTATTATACAGCTCCCATTGGTGTTCAGTATATTGGTCAACTCATTTCAGCGTGGATCAACGGAAGGCAGAAGATCGATGTAAAGTCAGGTATTGCTCTTGTTCTTGGTATTTGCGCCGTGTTACTTTGGTCCCTTATCATGATAAACATCTACTCAACAACCCTTAACTTCAGACCAACATCTTTCCTCGCAATCGAAGGCAAGCCACAAAACCTCCTTTTTGTTGATATTCTTTTGGTTACTCTTTTCACATCATTAACAAGTTATATCTCCTCGACTCCAACAATTATACTTATGGCATTAGCAGCAATTGTTTATGCATTCAATTGCACTACATGCTTCAACTGTGGTACTTATGTTAGTGAAATCAACCAAATCCTCTGCTTAGGTGGTTCTTTCTTTGGCGTTATCATCCTTGGTGTTTCACTTTACTCCGTCATCGTCAATTTCCGCTGGAGCGAATACATTTTCATCGTATACATCGGTTGTGGTATCATTTGCTTCGTTGCTGCCTTCTACATCATCAAGTTCAAGGCTCGTAAGAACCTTGCCGCTCTCGATACATTCCAGGATTCAAACGACATCGCAGCTTTCCATTCTCCAGGAAGATTCAAAGGCTGCCTTACAACAGGCTTCACATACTGCCATCCAGTATGCCTTAACTACTCAGTTTTCAAGGCTGCAGTTGACGAATGGCCAGAAAACTTGTCAATTTGGGGTTCATACGCTAAATTTGCGGCCATCTACTCCGAAAACAACCAAACCCTACTTCTCATTGGCCAAAACGTCGTTAAGATCAAAGCCAGAAGCAACATGAAAGATACAATTTTATCCAACATTGCTTCCATCATTAAGATGCGTGAAACGAACCTTTCTCCCAACCTCAAGAGTGGCATTTCAAATGTTACAAAGGTTACTCAAAAGGCAAAGAACAGATTAAGAAATATCTGGGATCTCGTACTTCAAGGCAAAGTTGCTGAAATGGGTAACGCCATTTCTGAAGCCATGGACAGAGTTGAAGAGACAGAGACAGAACTCAAGCACTTAGTTCTTGTATATCCAAACAACAGATTCGTTGCTAGACAATACGCCAGATTCCAGCACGAAATCAAAGCAGATACAGAACAGTACACGATATGGAACGACAATGTCCAGATTCTTCAACGTGGTGGCTAAATTAACCCAGATACAGTTCACGATCTTGGTCTTTCCGCATTTCCAAATATTCCAGACCACATTGAGACCAACGCCATACAAAGTGTTATCTCAATCGAAGCAGAAATGACAGCAGATGAACCAGGATCTGATGATGAAGGAAATGTCGACACAACAGATGTAATTGCCCTTACAATCAATCGCCATGTCATTCCTGCCATCAGATTCATCTACATTTCTACAGCTGCTCTTTACTTTGCTCTCATCGTTGTTCCAATTGTTGCAATGATGATCGGTTTCCCAATTTACACTGAAGGATTATTGACACCTGTCGATATGTTACACGGTATTGCTTACATGCGTAACCTTATTAACATGATGCCAGTTTTTGCCGCCAAATACGCTCTTGAAAACATTCCTGATCCAGACAACAGTGGTCAATCCATCATATCCACAACAACCATTGCAGATGACTTCCCCATGGATGCATTTGGTGATTTCAGGAAGTCAAATGAAATCATCGGTTATTTAATTTCACAAGTTCCTCTTGCTCTTGAGAAATTATCCACTGTTCTTTACTTCATGCCCGATGATGAGTACGTAACAAATGCCAGAGAAGCCATCTACACAAACGACCTTGTCTACAAATTCTTCCTCAACGAGACAACATATACAGCACAAGATGCAACAGCTACAGACATGTGCACACAGATATCCACACAAGTCCAGAAAGTCAAAGATGCAACTAACTTCACACAGGACTATGTCAAACAGTCCGAATTCCTCACAGCTATTAACAACAACGTTGCACCAACGAAGAGATTCAACAACGCTCTTTCTGATCTAACAGATTTCATCACACATTATAGCAAGAGAAACCAAATCATCTGTTACTCAATCATGGGTACATATATTGGCTTAGTTGTTATCTGCTATTTCGTTGTATTAATGGTACAGCAACACATGTACAGAAAGAACAAACGCGATATCTACAATTTGTTGACAATTCTTCCAAAGACAATCATTTCAACAATTTCTGCTAACTATGATTCTCTTAAGAAGAATTCTGTTTCTCAGACATCAGGTGCAGAAAACCATGAAGAAACAAATCCACAGGAAGAAAACATCATCAAAGTATTGAGCTCTATCACTGATGGAACAGGAACAGCTTCATTCCAACTCTTTGGTGCTGCTTGTTTTGTTATTATTGCTTTATGTGGTTGTTTGGCTTCTTATTTCCTTATGGATTCATATCAGATTGCTTCTACATCACTAGTTACATCATCACCACACGTCAACTATTTGATGGGTGCCTGCTCATTTATTTACGCTATTTTGGCTTCACTCTTCAAGATCTTGATGGATGGATATCCAGGAATGCACGGCATGATGCAGAACAAGACAGAAGAGTTCGAAATCATCACGGACATGCAGAAAGAAGAAGTAGAATACTTGAACCAACTCAGATTCGGTCGTCCTTCTGAAGGAAAGAAGCCTTTCATAGGAATGACAGACGCTTTGGCAAGAGCATCAACAATGCTCATGTGTCCTTCATACACAAAGCCACCGCAAACACTCACTGAGTCAGCTGTCTGCTTCTCTGCTGAATGGCAAATCTATCTCTGCCTCGCTTTCGTTAAGAAATTGAATCAACAGATTTTGTTGAATACAAGTCTTAACGCTAGAAATGATAAACTCAATGATATTTTCCAGGTCGGTCCTGTCCAGTTGTATCAGGCATTCTTCTTCCCAACAGGTGACGACATCGTTGAAACAACAAAGACAGAGATCAACCAACAGAATGAGACATTGATCATTAAGGGTATCATTTTCATTTTGATTGCTTTAGTATTCTCAATTGCATTGATTGTAATGACACATCATGAAGACAAACTCCTCAAGTTCTGTCTCAGATTGTTCCTCAAATGTCCACCTAAAGTAGTTCTTTCTAACCAAAGAATTATGGATGTTTTGAGTGGTGATTACAACACAATTGAAGAAGGAAAAGGAAAGGTTTCCAACTATTCATTCGAAGTTGTCAACAAACTGAATAATCCTGTTGTCATTCTCAAGGAACAAGACAACACAATCACAAACATCAACGAAGCATTCGCGAAAATGTTTGGAAAGTCAATTGATGACGTTCAAGGAAAGAAGTTCCATGATTTCATCGAAGAATTCCACTTACAGATGGCAAATGCTGATGATATCTTCAACAAAGAAACAGCAGAAGCAACAATGGCTGGTCCAGAAGGAGAGAAGATGTATTTGGGATTCTCAAACCTCACATCAAACGGAAACAAAATCATCACAATCAGAGATAAGACACAGAACGTCTTACACGAACAGATGAGAAGAAGAGAAGAAGAAGTCAGATACAATGCTCGCTTCTATCCTTCCTGCATCATTAGTTCCTCGTGTACAAGCTGGTGAAAAGAACATTTCATTCTCTGTTCAATCAGCATCAGTTTTGTTCTTGGATATTGTCGAATTCACACCATGGTGTGGTTCTCATGAAGCTCAGTATGTCATGAAGATGTTGAACATGCTCTTCAAGGAGTTCGACGCTTTGACAAACGAAAGAAAGACAATGACAAAGATCAAATGCATCGGTGATTGCTATGTCTGCGCTGGTGGTATCTTCGATGAAGTAAATCAGCCACAGACACACGCAAGAGAAGTTGTCGATTTCGGTTGCCACGCAATCAAGAAGATTTTGGATGTTAATGAGGCTCAGAATGAATCATTAAGAATCAGAGTTGGTGTAAATACTGGCGGTCCAATTGTCGCTGGTGTTTTGGGTACTGAGAAGCCAACATTCGAAATCCTTGGCCCAACAATCAATATCGCAGAACAGATGGAATCCAAGGGTGTTCCAATGCAGGTACAGATTTCTAGACCTGTTTACGAACTTATCTACGGTTCTCAATTCGTCATCAAAGAAAGAGGCGAAGTTGAACTTAAGCGTGGTAAGATGTTCTGTTACTTAGTTGAACCATAATTATAATAATAATCCATGTAAATTTTGTTACCATTATGTGTAAATTTTTGAAATAAATTTATTTATTTATCAAAAAAAATCGATAATTTTTTGTAAAGTTTTTGATTTTTTTGAGAGATCTCATTGAAATAATTTATCTGGTCATACTAAAATAACAAATGATTTTATTCGAAAGTTTCCTTAGTGAATGTAAATTCATGATCCTTGTACATATCTTAATATAGTTTCAAAGTTTATTTGGGAAGACGTTTGAAATTGCATCATTGTTACATTTTTACGCTCCCGATTTCCTGACAGGGACTTATAATTTGGTATTAACTTCTAAATTTAAAAATATCACACCTTGAACAATCCAACAATGTGTCAAATGTTGAACATCGGTTTTACGATTGTTATGTATAGTGAATCATTAAACCGATGGGTTGTTAGCATATTGAAAATTCAATTGTTTTTGATCAGTGTTAAGAACTCATATAACTTGTATTTGGGAAATGATAATTATTCAAATTTTGAAATTGAGGCAAAGGTTATCCAAAGGCCTGTTATTGCGTGTATTTACGAATATAGATAAATTGACGAATGAAAATCAAAAATTCAATGTTTATTTGTGATATTAATATGAGAAACATGTGATATGATTAAGTTTTAAAGAATGTACTCAGGAAGAGATCCAGCATGTTGTTGTTGAAGAAGATTAATTTTCGAATAAATTCATTCATGGTATTTTTGTTTGTTATAATAAAATGAAACATTTAATTTATGTAAAGTGTTTATATATTTATCATAGAATGCATATGAAGTCATTATATGTTGGTGAAAAAATAATTTTTGTACGAGAAAAAATAGTTTATTTCACTTATATTGGCACTTTGTTCAAGCTTAATGTAAATTCCTCCCTAACTCAGTTGGTTAGAGTGTCAGACTGTTAATCTGGAAGTCGTGTGTTCGATCCACACGGAGGAGCTTTTTTTCTTTTTCCATATCAATAAGAACTTGAGTAATTTCTGAAATTTCGAAATTTTTTGCGGCAAAAGTTAGTGGACTTCATTAGTTTTGGAGGCTGCTTCTTGCTGAGAATTAGTGAATGCTCATTTTTGTTTTGCTTTGATGGATTTTGATTAAAACTTTGAAAAAACGAAAGTATTTCGTTTGTTCATGTTTGGTATATGCCATTATTAGAATCTCCTTTGAGTGACTTAAGCTATCTTTATTTCTCTTTTAGTTTATTTGACTTGGAAATTTTGGATTGCATAAGTAATTGAATTACTCGTTGACCAAATTCCAAGGGTCAATTTAATGTAAGATGTTGTTCGTACGCTTCGGGAGATAAGCTTTTTTGTTGGCATCTTTTTTTGTTTTCGTTAGATTTCTTAATTCTAATAAAAGTTCTGTGTGATTTTTGTTTCATCCATCTTTAGCAGCAACATTTTGTGATCCCAGCTCATCACCCACACTAGAAGAAAAACTGAAAACTAGCCTCCAATAAATAAATAATTAAGTTTCCGTTAACTTCAGAAAAATTGAAAAAATTCTATAATTTACACGGAATTGTTTTAAAATAATTATCGTAACGTACTCAAAATATTTTTTTATTGGAGGCTGATTTCATGTCTTTCCTCTAGTAAGGATGATGAGCTGGGATCACAAAATGTTGCTGCTAAAGATGGATGAAACAAAAATCACACAGAACTTTTATTAGAATTAAGAAATCTAACGAAAACAAAAAAAGATGCCAACAAAAAAGCTTATCTCCCGAAGCGTACGAACAACATCTTACATTAAATTGACCCTTGGAATTTGGTCAACGAGTAATTCAATTACTTATGCAATCCAAAATTTCCAAGTCAAATAAACTAAAAGAGAAATAAAGATAGCTTAAGTCACTCAAAGGAGATTCTAATAATGGCATATACCAAACATGAACAAACGAAATACTTTCGTTTTTTCAAAGTTTTAATCAAAATCCATCAAAGCAAAACAAAAATGAGCATTCACTAATTCTCAGCAAGAAGCAGCCTCCAAAACTAATGAAGTCCACTAACTTTTGCCGCAAAAAATTTCGAAATTTCAGAAATTACTCAAGTTCTTATTGATATGGAAAAAGAAAAAAAGCTCCTCCCGTGTGGATCGAACACACGACTTCCAGATTAACAGTCTGACACTCTAACCAACTGAGTTAGGGAGGAATTTACATTAAGCTTGAACAAAGTGCCAATATAAGTGAAATAAACTATTTTTTCTCGTACAAAAATTATTTTTTCACCAACATATAATGACTTCATATGCATTCTATGATAAATATATAAACACTTTACATAAATTAAATGTTTCATTTTATTATAACAAACAAAAATACCATGAATGAATTTATTCGAAAATTAATCTTCTTCAACAACAACATGCTGGATCTCTTCTTGAGTACTTTCTTCCTCATATGAATATTGAACAATTACCTTCGGTTTCTTCTTTGGTTGTGGTTTTGCAGGTTCATCATCAGAATATTCGATGACAATTTCTTCTTCCTCTTGAATTTCCTCTTCTTCTTCAGGTTCATACTCCACGATAACCTTTGGCTTCTTCTTTGGTTGCGGTTTCTTCTTTGGCGGAGGTTTAGATTGTTTCTTCTTTGGCGCCGACTTCTTTGGTGGAGGAGGAGCAAGTTTCCTCTTAAGTGGAAGTGGACTGTTGTCTTCCTTTTCTTCATAAATTTCAATTCTTTCTTCTTCTTCCTCTTCCTCTTCGTAAATTGTGGTCATTTCATATCTGAGTGTTGGTGGAAGTTTCTTTCCTGTTTGGATTCTTCTTCTCCTTGGCTCATCTTGATCTTCATCATCTGAGTAGTATTCGTAAACATACTCAACTTGTTCGAAAGGAGCATACTTTGGCTTCGTTACCAATTTCTTCCTCTCTTGAACCTTGATTGTTTCAGACATATCTGGAGGATGAGAAGGATTAAGTCTCCTCTTTCTCTTTCCTAAGCTGCCATCTCTTTGTACGAAAAATTCGTAGTAATATTCCGTTGGTTTGGCTTTTCTCTTTCTCTGTTTCTTAATTTCAATCTGGCAACCAGGATGTTCTCTATCTTGAATATAGAAGTAAATAGTCTTTGAATCGCCTTTCTTTTTAGGCAACTTTTCTCTCTTGTAGCCTCTCTTGCTCTTATCTGGAATTGCTTTGATCCAATAATTACCATTATTACTAATTGTACTGATTTTTGTGCTGCTATCTGCATAAGTATAAGTAACGGTTGAGTAATTCTTTGTGTCTGAATATGGCTCATATTCAGATTTGAGTTCGTAGTTATCAATTGGAGGTGGAGGAGGAAGCATCGGTTCTGATGGAAGAAGTGTAGAAATCGTTTGAGTTGAGTTATCTTTCGTTGATTCTGTAGTTGGAGGCTTTTCATAACGGAATGTGGCCGAAGTTTCTGTTGGAAATGCGCCGTAGACATCTGGTTCTTCTCTATAGAAGTATGGCTCTTCGCGCTCATCGTCAAATGGAGCCACGTGCATTCTAAATTTACGAGGCATGAAAAGTTGAGGCTGCTCCTTGAATTTCTGTATCCATACAAATTTCTCTTCTTCCTCTTCTGTTTGCGGGTATCTGAAGCCAGCTTCGATGGTTGATGAAGAAGATGGGGGCGGAGGAGGATTTGCAAGCTGAGAACCATCAACATACAATACAGTAGAAGCAATCTGAAGATTAGGACGTTGTGCCGATTCTGTGAATTGTAGATCTCGAGAAACTATTGATCTATTTGAAGATTCAATTGTATCTGTAGTTCTTGATTCTATTGTAGAATGAGTGTATGTTGTATAATTGCTACCGAGGAAGCGACTGTTAGCAGGAATGTTAACTCTGAAATTTTCTGGAAATTCAACTTGTCCTTTTTTGCCTGACTTCTTTTTTGGTTGGACTGCATTCACAGATCCAATATGCTTGTAAGGGAGTGCATGATTAACTTTGAGATCTAACGGCTTGACATCATTTTCATCCAAAGGTTTTCCTGTTGGATTTGTGATGTCATGAACATAATGATCGATATCACGTGGTGGAGGGTTCTCATAATATCTATAATGAGGGTCGAGATCATCAAAATTAGGATTTGGTAATTTGCGCGACTTTGATTGGTGTTTTGATGGGCCAAGTATGATCTTTTTGCCATTTGCATTCCTATGAACGCGAACACGAATACGTGACTCTGTTGATTCAACTGGTGTTTTTTCTGAATCTTTTGAAAGTGTTACCGAAGTGCCGTATGTTGAATAGCTAAAACTTTTTGAAGTTTGATCAACAGGAAATTGTTGATTTACGACATAAGTGCTTTCTGTTTTTGCTGATTTTTCAGTATAAGATTTATTATTTGAATTTTTATCGCCTTCTGATCTGTGACGATGGTGGTGATGATGGGAACGTTTGCTCGATGATTGAATTGATTCATTTTTGTTTGGCGGGAAAGAATGTTGATCTGCTAAGTCAATACCTCGATCTTTGATAGGAATTCTATCTGATTCTGACTTAACACTTGGTATTTGAATGTTTACAGGAATTTGATCAGCTGATCCTAAAGCGTATTCAGTTTCAGATTGATATCCGTTTCTCTTAGGCGTATGAACTTTTATCGGCTCAATCTTAAGGATGTTTGAGCCAGGGAAGTTTGCTGTATTTCTCATATCATAATTATTCGCCATCCCTTGGCTTTTATCCATGTTTAAAAATTTCTAACGGAAGCAGTTTTTTTTTTATTCTGGGAATATACTCTATGATTGCGGAACTTTGAACGTCAAAAGTTCAATATACTCTCTTGTTGCTCGCAATGTGTGATTCCCAGGGAACATTATCTGTGCATTTCAATCATTGAGACCCGAATGAGTTTTGGAATTTGGATACTCCGGATATTTTAACAAACTTGGAGTTACATCTTTCAGCGTCATAGATTGTTGAATTTAAAGAACTTTTGAAAAATCAATCTCAATTTATCTATAACACATGAGATTATCTAACAGCTACAATCTGTTGAACAAATTCATCATAATAATTATATGTTTTAGCTCAAAATTCAAAAAATTATTTCTGTTTATAGAAGCTTTATATGATATCTCTATGTGTATCTTAATAATTTTTGTAATTTTGTTTTGGGAGGGTGTAATATATCAATAACGAGTTTAATAATATTCGAATTTTAATCTACTTTATGAAAAAAATGCTGTTTACTGATCAACAACCTTTGTTGTCTGGAGGCCATTAAAAGAAGCAACATTCTTGTAAGAAGCGATTGTGACCATCTTCTCAGCATCTTCCTCATCAGCCTTACGCTCGAAAACAACGCGAACGCGAGCTGGTGGGCAGTTCTTGCCGTGGATCCAGATGCGAGAGTTAAGTTCTGGGTCGATCTTAACAACATCTGTGTGCATCATCTTCTTAGCAGCTGCAGCGATGACCTTGATGGCTCTCTCAGCACGGAATCGGCGTGTTGTGTTGTGAACAGCCTTCTGAAGATGGATTGTTGTTTCAAGCTTAGCTGGAGCAAGTTCCTTCGGCATCAACAAAGGTCGGCCAGTTCAAACCAACCCAAAAGTGACAGTTCAAAATTTGAGGATTCAAAAAAGTAAAATAAAATACATAGATTAACTGTTTGCATTCTGAAAACCAAAACTAAACATAGTTATATCAAAAATCAACAACAAAATTCTTTGGAAAATTGTTTTTCCGAAAATCAGCACAAAATTTAAGGAGCAATGTTGGTGAGAACGCGATGTTTGAACATATCTTCCTTCACACTCCTCATATTTAGAATTTAGAAAGAAATTCAAATTATTACATATAAAGTGTTTGCATTTTGGGTTGAAATGAACATTCTAAGATCCATAGGGTAGATGGGTTCCAAGACATTGTTTGCAAAAATCAATAAGATTAAATCTATGATATTCAAGCAAACATATGTGCATTTGATAGTAATAAACAATGTCATAGATACCTTTCAAAAAGGAGATCAGATTGTTATGTTTCTTTATTCCTATATTCAATGGTATATGATCTAAAGAGATGATTTATGTTTATATATTCTGCAATTTCTAAACGATAATAAATTTTACCAATAGATTTTCCATGTTTTTGGATCATCCATCGGCGATTTTCGAACATTCGACCGATGGATTGACATTAAATATCTTGCTTTGCCCAAGACATAAATATTTTCTTACTGTTTCGCTTTCTTCTTTAAATTTATGGTCAGCAGAAGATTCACTGCGAACATTTATCACAAGCTATACACTTACCCAAAATTATATTGATCAGTATGGCCTATTCAATCAGGCAGCTTGGATAAATGGTGATGTTTTCGCGGCACTAACTATGCCAGGAAACGTATTATTCTTTCAGATACACAACGAAAATACAGAAATACGATTGATATCAGTTGCAGCATCAGATTCAAAAAGTATTTTTACATCTATCTCATCATTCGCAAATTATCTCGTTGCATCCACAAATAATGGAGAAATTGTTATAATTGCACCGAACTCGAAGTCTCATATACAGCATAAAGTAATTGATGACCATATCAAAAGCATATCTATAATAGGTAATCATGGCACTTTATTAGCGGGAAATCGATTAGCTTATCGCTTTACTATAAACAAAACCGTTTTAGTAGAGAAGAATTACGACCTAGGATTGCAAAAGATCGATATAAAAAGCGCAATTACAATTTCTCAAAGTCCGAATCGACTTTTCACAGCTATATTAAATCCCGCTGGATTCATATACGTAACGAATTTCACAGATTATACGAATTCATTTAAAATACCAAGCCAATTATCTGTTATATTTTTATGGTCACAAGATGGTAACACGTTAATAGCAATTTTCAGAGATGGAACAGTTTATATCATTTCTATGTTATTAAGAGTACCTCGTAGAATGAAAATTCCTGAACTAGAAGGTTGTAATGCTGCTGCATTAGGAAGAGGACATATTTTTGCATCAACTGCAGCTGGATTAGTCAACATTCCTATTTTGACATCACCTAGAAGCGGCTATCCTCTTATTTTCGGTCCAAATACTTTATATGCGTTTAGATGTGTCGATAGAAAGGCATTTTCTGTAAATTTTGTGTTACCAACACCAATAGAGAACACAATAAAGCAGATTGATTATGCTGCTGCAGATAATATTGAGAGATTTGTCGCATTTAGTGGAAGAGGACAGATTTTCTTATTAGACCAAGTATTAGGTAAATGGATATCACCTCAAACACCTAAAATTAACTGCAGAGGACTATGTTGGAGTGGTAGATTACTCTGTTGTCTCTCATTTAATTCAGAAACACTTCAATACTCATTGAATGTGTTTGAAATACATATGTATGAGTTCTTATCACTCATATTCACCTTTTCTTTGCCTTCTAGACCTATATCAATAACAGCAGATGAAAAATTAATAACAATAATTTTGACAAACAAAGTTTTGATGTTTAAAGACTTGAAATGCATTGGATCCATGTCATTTCCATCACAACCTATCAATGTTCAGCCAAATCATCAAAATTCTGCTATTTTTGTCCAACTTTTGGACAGAAAATTGCAAATGATCGATTTAAATACAATGCAAACACCAGTTGTCCATGATGATTGTGGTGATTTCATTGTAGATAGTGGGTTTGGCATCATATTTGTCCAAACAGGACTAAGAATTAAATTAAGTTCAATAAAAAACATCAAATTCGGACCATTTATTGAAACATCAGATATAACAGTAGGAGTATTCCCGCGCTGTACTTCAATATTGATGCTACAAAGCACAGCAAAGCCTCCTTTCACTCCAAATCTGAATCAGTTCTTTGATCTTTCAATTGTAAGGGAACTGAAAGATCCAGCAAATGCTGCAGCAATAGTTAAGCAGAGATTGCACCCTGGATATCTCTTTACTGCAGCTTTGAGACAGATTTCGGTTTTCAGTTTACGCGACAGGCTTGGAAACCTTCTTGTACCTTTCCTAGAGTATTTCCCTGAAGAAAGAAACACAGCTCTTGCATCAGCTTTAAGGGCCGTTGAATCTCCAGAGAGAAAAGGCGTTTTCCAAGTTCTTGGCCATGTTTCTTCAATTTTTGTTGAAATGGCCAATGCAGAAATGATGCAGACTGATGAGTATATAACATTTGTCGACAAAGAAGGCGATGGCAAACGTGATATAGAGAACGCAGCCCTTCTTTTACCTGTTGTCATGGAAGAAGATGGACCATTAATTGGCTTTCCTGCAGCAATTTATTCACTGACCAAATTACACACGAGAATTGATTTTGTTGAAAGTCTCGTGAGATTTTTGGATCCATTGCTGTCAGGAGGGAAACCAATAGGCAACGGAATGGTAGATTGTGTAGGCATGCAATTAACTGTTGCTCAGTACAAGAACTTGTACAATCGAACAATTAATGCATTTGAATTTTGTTTGGTTGACTTGATGAAGAAAATTTTGCCAAACATTGCTTTGCAATTTATCAATGCAACAAAAATAGATGCAATAGAGATTTTTAAGAAGAACATCGCCGAAGATGATGCATTTAACATAGCAACCATTCTTGATACTGTTGGACCTTTGATTACAAGTGGAGAATTCGAAAGATCTGATGCAACAAAATTTTCATCATTGACATTGAATGGAGGCTGGATGTGTTGGACTTGCGCTCTCCTGCTGTTGACTAGTAGAAGTTCAGATGCTATTCTGATATTGAATAGAACTCCTAAGTTGAAGAAACAAATTTTGAACTCGCAATGGAAACATCTAATTGAGATGTGATATTTTTTATTTATTTTTTGTATGTATAAATATTTAAGTTTGCTATAATATTTTGTTTTTAGAGTATTGTGTTAATCACAATCATTAACAATCTTCATATTATAGTTCATGATTTATAGTGCTTATGCGGACTGATTCTATTCATTGCACTTTCATTCAATATATTCTGTATATAGGACAATCTGATGCAATAATTTCCTTTTCCTACCTTTCAATGAAATTGAAAGAATTTTGTAGGAATATATATACATGTTTAGTAGGGATGATTGAAAGTTCATTTGCATACACATTTCAAGGATAGATTTCGAGAAAAATTGAAATCGTGTTTTTTTTGAGTGGTAATAATATTTTTAACTATATATAGTATCCAAATAATATATTATTGTGTATTCAGAATATCTAACATAACACAATGTTTGGTACTATACTTTTTATTGAATGAAACCTCAGTGGTATTCATTAAAAAATTTGAGACAGTGAGATTTAATACCAAACAAAAAGTTAGATTGATTCAAACAATAGGTTTAGATTAGCTGAAGTCGTATTTTTTTCGAAAAAAAACATACAAACGGCTTGGTCGGAGAATCCCCTTAAAATTTTTTCATGTCCGAACAAAGTACACAGCTAAACAAATTCCTTGAATTGCGAAGTATCTATAAATACCACATTGATTTATATATTGCATTGTATCAACTTAAAACTGAAAAAGAAGAAGAATTAAAAACAATTTACCAAATGATCAAAACAGAATTGATTGATTCAATGAAATATCTTCCCACAAATGTAATAAAAGATATTTTAAATATTATTCCATATAATAATCGCTATGCAAAGTCATATTTATCTCTTGCCAAACTCATATTTGATGAATATCATGTCAAAGAGGTCAATAATGTCATAAGTATTTCACACAACCTATTTTTCGAAGAATATGGAATTTTATTAGACAGTTTTTTTGATTTCAAAAAATTTAACTCAAAAAATCTCGAAATTCATACAGAAAATACAATTTACAGAGCAATTATGAATAATGACTTAGAACGATTCATCATTTTCACAGAAACAGAAGAGTTTTATGAAAAACAAAAACTTAAAAGCGAATTATATCCATATTCTATTAAAGGATATTCATTACTTGAATTATGCTGTTACCACGGTTCTGTTGATTGCTTCAAGTTATTAAGAACGAAATTTAACTCAGAAATCACTCAAAAATGTCTAGAATTATCATTTTTAGGAAGAAATGCAGAGATCATGAGTGAATGTTTGAAATATCAAAAACCAGATAAAGAATGCATGGAATATGCAATCATTTCACACAATATTGATTTTGTTACATTCTTGATGAATGAGTACAATATAGAGATCAGTTTAGATTATTGTGCAAAGTATAATAATCTTGAAGCATTTTTAGTTTATTTCGATCAAACTAATGATATTAATCAATGCTTTGTTTATTCAGTGATGTTTAATATTCCATCCCTTTTCGATCATTTCCTTTCACTTGATGCAAATATTAATGAGAAAAATAAAAATGGAGAAACCGTTCTTCATATCGCAGCTAAGACAAATAGTAAAGAAACGGCCGAACATCTTATATCGCATGGTGCAAATATTAATGAAAAAGATAAAAATGGAAAAACCGCTCTTCATTATGCAGCTAAGACAAATAGTAAAGAAACGGCCGAACATCTTATATCGCATGGTGCAAATATTAATGAAAAAGATAAAAATGGAAAAACCGCTCTTCATTATGCAGCAATGGCAAATAATAAAGAAACGGCCGAACATCTTATATCGCATGGTGCAAATATTAATGAAAAAGATAAATATGGGAAAGCCACTCTTTATTATGCAGTAATGGCAAATAATAAAAAAACGGCGGAACTTCTTATATCGCATGGTGCAAATATTAATGAAAAAGATAAATATGGGAAAGCCACTCTTCATTATGCAGTAATGGCAAATAATAAAAAAACGGCGGAACTTCTTATATCGCATGGTGCAAATATTAATGAAAAAGATAAATATGGAGAAACCGCACTTCATATGGCAGCAAAGGATAATTGTAAAAAAACGGCGGAACTTCTTATATCGCATGGTGCAAATATTAATGAAAAAGATAAATATGGAGAAACCGCACTTCATATGGCAGCAAAGGATAATTGTAAAAAAACGGCCGAACTTCTTATTTCACATGGTGCAAATATTAATGAAAAAAATGAAGATGGAGATACCGCTCTTCAAATCGCAGTTAGGAGAAATAGTAAAGAAACAGCCAAACTTCTGATTTCACACGGTGCAAAAAATGATGTTACTACATAATATTCATCACTTTCATCTTCCAAGATGAGTTTTATTACAAGTAAAAAATAATTTAGCTTTTCATGCTAGATTTAATCGTAAGAATGATTTTTACTACTTTTCCATACGTTTTGACAAATATATAACCATTTTACACCTAACTATATGGCAAATAAGCTTGTTATAAGCGGTGTGCGATACGGAAACAGAGAATCCCTTCCGGTTTCAATTGTGACCCACTGACGATAAATCAAACAACTTGAAGTCTTATATATTTCTAAGCATGCTCGATCAAAGCATCTCAGAATTGAACTATGTTTTGCGCTAAGGCCAAGGAAATTATGTCCAAATTTTGGAAATTTAAAATAAATTTATTGAAAGAAACTTGTGTCATATATTGAAGTTGATACTTAAGTAAATAAATTATTTTGACTCTAATAAATCAGTATAAGTCATATTGCTAAAAATATATATAGATTGAGCTTTGATCTACTCAATTCAAAAACAACATTATTATTTCACATATATAATTATAAGGATAAAATTTTGTATAGCATAAAATAAGTTTTAATCATAGTGATAAGAAGACAATGAATCTTGAGATTATTTTTGACATTAGAATGTTGATCTTAAGCAGACAAAATCATCGAAAAACTAATATTGTCTGAATATGAGTGTAATATAGGTCGCTTGTATTAATTAGTAAGTAAAATTCAATATAATTTTGTTGAAATAAGAGGTTTTAAAGATGAACAAAGCGATTAGCAGGTTATACTCTTCAATGAAATGCATAATTTTTGTGCCGCATAGCTATCCTTTCGAATTTGTTATAAAATGCCGCGACACGATTGTAAAACAATGAATTAATCGAGATAAAATTTATGGTAATTTTTGAACCAGATAGGTAATAGTTAATGAATTAAAAGCTTTTATACTAAAGGTACATTCACTATTTTTGACAAAATTTTAAATTTTCATGGGGTTGTAAATCTTATAATAACTAGATGAATAAGGAATAAATCCCAGTATGATGTGCATCATTATATTAAACACTATATGTAAGCCTTGTAATTCTATTACCACTTATGAAGATCTATAGTATTTGAGCAGATAAATTTGATAATTTCCAAAACTCTTATATTTCAAAATTAAAGTATGCGAATGCATTTAAATGAGAGCAAAAAGAGAATGATGCTGTTAAAACTAGGTGTTAATTTCCAATTATTTCGCATCACAAGAACTACCCAGTAAATTCGGCTATCTTTCTTTGCAATTATTTTCTATTTTACATATATTATAATGGTTAGGGTTTGAAGAAAAGTTACTAGAGAATTATTGATTTTTGAAATAATGCAGAATTTTACTTGAAGAAATCATTAATTTAGAAGCTCCAAATTGCTAACCATGACGAAGAATCATTAAATTTGCTACAATTAAATACATTTATTGCCGAATTAAGATTATTGAAATTAAAAGTTTGAAATATTGCCTTTTTGAATAAAAATTTAAATTTGATTATATAATCATGATAATATCTTATAGAAATTAAAAGAAAATATTTTAAACCATTCAAATATTTTGAATGTCTTATCAATTTAAAATATTAAAAGATTGCTTGATTTTATCATCATTAGTTGTTATCAAAGTTTTCTTCTTTTGATGAACAACAGTAAATGATTTGTTAATACATTGTCTTCCTTTTTCGCAGCAAAATCAAAAGTTATGATGATAATCTTGTACTCAATTTTGAAACTCTCTGATTTACAAGTAAGCATTCCTTTGGAAAAGCAGTCCTATTCTGTTTTCAAGATATTTTAAAGCCCCTATTTCATACAATGTGCAGATCTATTCGAAATTGCAAGAACTCTCAAGAAAAAATGCAGCAGCAAAGAAGATTCCAAAGTTTCTAGCATCAAAAATTTACAACCTTAATACAACAGTTAAAGAGAAGCTCGATAAGAAAATATTTAACCATAAAGCTGGAAACTATTCGATATCTACTATTGGATCTAATAAAAAGTTAATTGTAACATATTTTACATGCTATTTGCTGACTCTGTTCCATTATATTACCATATATATCTTTTTGAAATCTAAAAAAATTTTACGATTTTAACCATGTGTTGTTGAAATCATATATCAATCTTAGCTAAAGTATAGTTTATGAGTCTGTCACCAACTAATGTATGAATTTTCAAAAATGTCAAATATGTTCATTTTTTCTGTATATTCAGCCATAATTTCATATATTTATACTATTCAACTATTATTTAATATTTTTATCGATTTAAATATATGATAAGATGCTTAGTTCTCCCGGAAAACGATTTTTAATCACAATTTTAACTTTCCAAAAAAATTCGAAAATAAAAATTCCTCTCAATTTTCTAAATTTTCTAACTAGCCAAATCTCTAGCCAAATTTTTTTTGGCCCGTATAAATATTGTTAGGCACTATATAGGGATGCTATTTATCCTATTTTCATCCCATTTTACTGTTATCGCCTAGTGAATGTACCTTTTTTATACTGAAGAGTAGGCAGTCGAAGAAAAAAAAATTTTTTTTTGTCAATTTTCATCTAAACTTTTAAATGGAGAACTTAATTCCTGTTCTGAATAAGCTTCAAGATACATTCACTAAAATCGGAGAGAAATCTATTGATCTTCCACAAATCGTTGTCGTTGGTTGTCAGTCTTCAGGTAAATCTTCAGTTCTTGAATCTCTTGTCCAGAAGGACTTCCTTCCAAGAGGCTCTGGCATAGTCACAAGAAGACCGCTTAACTTGCAACTTATTCACTATGAATCTAAGACATCTCCAAGAGAGTATGGTGTCTTTCTTCATAAACCCGACGTAAAATACACACTTTTCGATGAAATATCAAAAGAAATTGTCGCCGAAACAGAAAGACTCTGTGGTGAGAACGGTATCAGCGATGATGCCATCGGCCTCAAGATTTATTCTCCGACAGTTCCAGATTTAACTCTTGTCGATCTTCCAGGTCTTACAAAAGTTGCCACTGAAGGTCAGCCACACGATCTTCCTCAAAAAATCAGAGCAATGGTAATGAAATACATCCAGCCAGAAAACTCCATTATTCTTGCTATTACACCTGCTAACATGGATCTTGCCAACTCAGATTCACTTGTTATTGCTCGTGAAGTCGATCCATCAGGCCAAAGAACAATTGGTGTCTTGACAAAGATTGATATCATGGATCAAGGCACAGATTGCATGGATATTCTCCAGAACAAGGTTTATCCATTGAAGCTCGGTTACATCGGTGTCATTAACCGTTCACAAAAGGATATTAATGATCATAAGCCAATGGAAAAGGTTATTGAGAGCGAAAGACGTTTCTTCGTTACATCACCCATCTACCGTGATATCGCCGAGTACTGCGGATACCCATACCTTTCCCTTACTTTGAATCGCATTTTGATTGAACATATCAAGAACAGACTTCCAAACGTTCACAGCCAGATCAGCGAACTTCTCCGCCGTAAGAACAACGAATTGGCTAACTACGGTGAGTCAATCGGTGCAACAACGAAGGAGAAACAGATTACTATCTACCATATCATCGAATCATACCTCGAAAGCTTCTCCAGAATACTTCTTGGTAAGGCCGACTTGCCAATGCAGAGCATAGAAGGAGGTGCAACTTTAATGACATATCTTACCATCGATTTCCCAAAGATTATCAAGTCTAGAGACCTTTCTTTACCATTCTCCAACGAGGAGATCGACAAGATTATCGAAATTAATACTGGTGTCCAGCCACCTTTGTTCTTCCCTGAATCTTCCTTCTTTATTTTACTCCGCGATACAATCGAGAAGCTCCGCTCTCCATGCCTCGACGCCTGCGAAATTATCCAGCACCGTATCGATGATATCCACTCTAAGATCGATATCCCAGAACTCAATCGTTTCCCAAAGGTCAAAGCAGCTCTTGCCGATGAACTTTCGAACATATCTAAGCAGCAGCTCGAAGCATGCCAGCAATACATCAATACTTACATCGACATCCAGAAATCTTGGGTTAATACAAGTAACCCTAAGCTTTCTAGGGCCAAGCTCGACTCCATCACAGAGGAATACAACCAAAAGGCTGAACTCCTCAGGAAACTCGCTGATAACTACCTCGGAACAATCAAAACTGAAGTTTCCGACGAAATTCCAAAGATCATCCACAAGATGATGATCAACAACGCTGTCGAGACATACAGAGTTACCCTCTTCAGATCCCTCGTCACTCATCCTGATGTTTCTGAAGATCCCGATATCGCACAGAGAAGAGCTAAGTGCGTCGCACTCATCAATGCCCTTAAGGAGGCTTACTCCACAATCAACGAAATCAGAATGATTCATGTTTAAGAGTCATAAATTTAATTCCTATTTTTTCCAATTTAATCTTAACTTTTTATTTCTTTGACAATGTTACACCCTCTGACTAATAAAAAAATATTAAACATTTATTTATCAAATTGAACTTCCAAATTTTTAAAATTTTTTTAGGCAATAATTTTTTTCTTCGATAACTAATTTACAATGATAGACTTTTCGATCGTTTAATTTAATTCATGACAATTTAATTTAATTCAGATTGGAGAAAATTTCTTCGATCATTATTGGAACTAGGAAGTTTCGATACGCCAGTTTGAAAATTATAGTGTATGAAGGTCAAATGCTAAAACAATTGATTTGAGAGATATTTTATCTTTACGATCAAATTTACAACATAATAGAGTACTCTACTTTGGATAAATGGATCTCTATCAATAATGGATTATGTTTCTATTGGATATTGAGAATGTTTTTGAGGAATAAAAAAATCGCCAAATATGTAAACAAAATAAACAACATTTTTATATATGAAACAAATAGTATTAGGTTTAAAAATGATAGGCATGATCAAGGAAGCTGCACATATATGCCATTGCTTGAAATAGTGAAAGAGGATGAGAAATGCTTACAGCAAACTCATCAACATGTATCTGCTTCATTCTAAGACAAACTTTTTCATCATGCTCGACTACAAATTCAAGAGCACCTTGTTCGAAGTTGATCGTAGATGTGTTGAAGATGATTTCTGTGGTTCCATCAGGTACTGTTCCATCTGCTAAATATGATTGTCCGTCAGGAGCAGGCATTGCGCAAGTCATAGTTTTATTTGCTTTATCTAAAACGATTTTTGAATTGGGAATGAACTGAGGCCCATTGAAATTTACAGAATAGGAACCTAAATAAGTATTTCTACCATGATATTTGAGCTTACCAACGAAAAAGAGACCAGTTTCTTCAACCTCGCGTGAACTTGTTGAAATAATAAAAGTATGTGAAGCTGAATACTTTCCTGCAGCTATTACTAGGTATTCTTCATCTTCTGTATACAAGCATATCTTATATGCTAATTTTCCATTGAATTTACGAATTGAAAGAACATAATTTATTACTTGTGTCTTAGGAAACATTTTCATTGACAATAGATTCCTTTGGGTCGATTGTTCCAATTGTTTTTGTCGCAATTCTGGATTTGTCATAAAATTTTGTTTCTGTACCGATATTATACAATAACCGGAATCCAATTTCTTAGATTTACAAAATGTAAACAAGAAATTGAATTTTATTTTTCAAGAACGACTCAACATTGTCTTTACATTTAGAGAGTTCGTTTTCGATTCAAAAATTTGGATACTCTTGACTTTCAAGAAATAATTGGAATGTTAAATATCTTGAAGAATGATAATAGTATTATAAAAAAAATTATATATATATATTAGTTAATTTCTAATGCATGAAATCTGTAAGTTTATTCAACGTAGCTTTAAAGTTGCCTTTTAATGGGCGAAGATTCCAGAGTTGAGGAGCTCTTGAATTGCAGTACTTGTCTTCTGTCTGGCATCATCGAGTCTCTTCTGGCGTTCAGCTGAAAGCGGCTTAGAAGTGTTGCGCTTTGCCTTAAGTTCTGCAATGCGCTTAAGATCGGCTTCGCGCTTAGCCTTTCTCTGTGCAGCCTGTTCTGCGAGAATCTGCTGGAGTTCTTCCTTGTTTGCAGCAAGGATCTTCTCCTTCTCTGCCTCACGCATCTTCTTGAGTTCTTCTCTTTGCTTCTCGTAGTTCTTGAGGGCTTCCTCACGCTTGGCCTTGCGATCAGCTTGTTCTACTTCAGCCTTCTTTTCTTCGGCTGGCTTAGCTTGTTCAACCTTCTTCTCCTCAGCCTTCTTTGGTTGTTCAGCTGGCTTGATTGTTTCAGCCTTCTTTTCTTCGGCTGGCTTAGCTGGCTGTGCTTGCTTAGCTGGTTCAGCCTTCTTCTCTTCAACCTTCTTTGGTTGTTCAGCTGGCTTAGCTTGCTCTGCCTTCTTCGGCTCAGCAGCTGGCTTAGCTTGTTCAACCTTCTTTTCTTCTACCTTCTTCTGTTCAGCTGGTTTAGCTTGTTCAACCTTCTTCTCTTCAGCCTTCTTAGGTTGTTCGGCTGGTTTAGTTGGTTGAGCTTGCTTCTGCTCAGCAGGCTTGGCTTGTTCAACCTTCTTCTGCTCAGCAGGCTTGGCTTGTTCAGCCTTCTTCTGTTCAGCTGGCTTGGCTTGTTCAGCCTTCTTCTGTTCAGCTGGCTTAGCTTGTTCAGCCTTCTTCTGCTCAGCTGGCTTGGCTTGTTCAGCCTTCTTCTGTTCAGCTGGCTTGGCTTGTTCAACCTTCTTCTGCTCAGCTGGCTTAGCTTGTTCAACCTTCTTCTGTTCAGCTGGCTTAGCTTGTTCAACCTTCTTCTGCTCAGCTGGCTTGGCTTGTTCAGCCTTCTTCTGCTCAGCTGGCTTAGCGGCAACTTCTGACTTGTTCTGTTGGGCCTTGGTTGGAACGACAACAACATCATCGTCATCTTCCTCGGCTTTCTGTTGAGTCTTCTTTTGTTGAGCTGGCTTAGCTGCTTCAGCCTTCTTTGGTTCAGACTTGGCTGAAACAACAACAATATCATCATCGTCTTCAGCAGCAGCATCGTCGTTCATTCCTTGTAAGTCTGCAGCATCGATATCACGTGTCTTGGCTTCTTGCATAGCCATAGCACGCTCGAGAGCTGCGTACATCTTTTCTTCTTGTTCTCTCTTTCTTTCTTCCTCAATGCGGCGCTGTTCTGCCTTCTTGTTAACCTTTCCTGTTGAAACATTAGCTTGTTCTGCCTTCTTTTCTGCGGCCTTCTTCTTCTCTTCTTCAGCGCGCTTTCTTTCCTCTTCCTTCCTCTTCTCCTCGCGCTGCTTCTTCTTTGCTTCAGCAGCTTCCTTGGCGAGTCTCTTCTCTTCGCGCTTCTTGAAGTTTTCGGCGTTTTCGCGCTGCTTTCTCTCTTCTTCGGCAGCTTTACGGACTTCTTCCTCAGCCTTTCTCTGTGCAGCTTCCTTGGCTTCCTTCTCTCTGAGCTCGTTCTCCTTCTGTTGATCCATCAATGACTTGATGAACTCTTTCTCGGCTTCCTTCTCTTGCTGGGCCTTCAACTCTTCTTCGTGCTTTCTCTGCTCTTCCTTTGTGTTCTTTGGTGTCTTGTTGTTAGAGTTTTCGATTTCCTTCTTGACAGCCTCTTCGAGTCTCTTCAACTGCTGGATCTTCTTCTGTTCCTTCTTGGCTCTCTTTTCAGCGGCCTTCTGCTCAGCAATTCTCTTCTTCTCGGCTCTTTCTGCTTCCATCTGAGCACGCTTTTCGTTGGAGATGATCTCCTCCTCAAGCTTGACAACATGCTGGGATTCCTGCTTGGCGCGCTCGAAAACAGCGGCTTCACTTGTGATGAAGTCCTTGACAAGTTCGATAAGGAATTGTTCTTCTTCGGAAACTTCTGGAGCAGCTTGCTGTTCTGTCTGCTTCTGGGCTTCGGATTGAGCAGCCTGTTGAAGTGACTCTGAGAGCTTCTTCTCGAGTTCTGCCTGCTTCTTTTCTTCCTCAGCCTTCTTCTGGGCAGCGAGACGCTTGGCTTGTTCCTTGGCTTCCTTTTGCTTCTGCTTCTCTTCTTCCTTGGCCTGGCGCTTTGCCTGTCTCTCCTGGAACTTTCTGTCAAGTTCTGCCTGGTGAGCCTTCCTTTCTTCTTCTGTGAATTCCTTCTTCTTTGGCTGTGGTGGTTGCTGCTTTGGCTGTGGTGCTGGCTGTTGCTTCTTTGATGGGAACTTTGGCTCAACTAATGGTTGAGCGAACTCTTCCTCAAGACACTTCTCTTCTTCAGCCTTCCTTTCTTCGGCAATTCTCTTCTGTTCTTCCTTGGCGTCGACAGGTTTGGCTTCTTCCTTGGCAGCAGCTGGCTTCTGTTCTTCGGCCTTCTTTTGTTGCTGTTGTTGCTGGCGCTTTTTGTTGTCCTTTTGTTGTTTCTCCTTCTTGGCCTGGCGCTTTGCCTGTCTCTCCTGGACCTTTCTGTCCTTCTCTGCTTGTTTCTCGTCAACAGCTGGTTTCTGTTCTTCAGCCTTTGGCTGTTCGACTGGCTTTTGCTCTTCAACCTTTGGTTGTTCAGCTGGTTTCTGTTCTTCGACTAGTTTGGCTGGTTGTTGTGCCTTGAGTTCTGCCATCATCTTCTCTTCTTCAGCAAGTTTCTTGGCTTCTTCCTCCTGGCGCTTCTTTTCTTGTTCGGCCTTCAACTTGTCTTCTTCAGCCTTCTTCTTTGCCTCTTCAGCAGCCTTCTTCTTGTCTTCCTCGGCCTTGATTGCCATGCGCTTAGCTTCTTCTTCCTGGCGCTTCTTCTCAGCACGAGCCTTCTTCTCTTCTAATTGAGCCTTTCTCTTCTCGCGCTCTGCCTGCTTTCTTGCCTGTTTCTCGGCTTCGCGTGCGAGTCTTTCCTGGCGGCGTTGTTCAGCCTCTTCCTTGCGCTTCTTCTCGGCTTCCTCTTCGGCTGCTTGTTGCTCGATTTCAGCCTGTGTTGGAGCTTCTGTCTTCTGTGGAGCTTTAACTTCCTCGACATCGACAGCACTTCCCTCTAAGAGGTCTGTTGGAACAGAGCGCTCCTTGAGTGTTGCCTGGATCTCCTTCTCTTGGACTTCGTCCTCTGGGAGCTCCATGTTGAGCTTGGCTGCGAGTTCCTTGAATTGGTTCTCGATGTCGTCCTCAAGCTGTTGCTTCTTTTCTTCAGCAATGCGCTTCTTATCCTCCTTTGTGAGCTTGGCTCTAGCTTCCTCGGCTTCGTTAGCCTTGTTTGCCTTGAGTTTCTGCTCTTCTTCAGCCTTCTTCTGAGCTTGCTTTCTCTTGGCTTCGATTTCAGCCTTCCTGCGGCGCTTCTCTTCTTCGCGTTCCTTCTGGGCTAAAGCTGCGGCCTTTCTCTTGGCTTCCATTCTGGCCTCTCTTTCCTGGCGCTTGGCCTCTTCGATACGGAGTTTCTCGAGATTTTCTCTGTTGATTCTTTCCTGTTCGGCCTTTCTTTCAGCAGCCTTTCTCTCTTCTTCCTTGCGCTTCTGTTCAGCACGCATTTGCTCTTCCTGGCGCTTGAGGGCAGCGATTCTTTCCTCTTCGCGCTTGATTTCAGCAAGGCGCTTGGCTTCCTCTTCAGCCTTTGCCTTCTCTTCGGCTTCCTTGACACGCTTCTCTTCGTTGGCAACTCTGTTTTCTTCGAGTGCCTTCTTCTCGGCTTCGGCCTTTGCGAGAATCTGCTTGATCTTCTCTTCGCAAGTATCTTCTGCTTCCTTCTTAGCAGCTTCGGATGCAGCGATTGTTGCGTTGAGATCGTCTTCAGCCTTCTTCATGAGTTCGACGTGTTCAGCCTTTTGCTTGTTGAGCTTGGAGACTTCGCTTTCTTCTTCAGCCTTCTTCAAAGCAGCGAGTTTCTCTTCCTCTTCTGCCTTCAACTCGGCGGCTTCTCTCTCAGCAGCTTGCTTGGCTTCTTCGTCGGCCTTGGCCTGCTCTGCCTTTCTTGCCTCGATCTCCTTGTTGATACGGGCGATGTCGTCAAGAAGGTTCTGAGGAACTTCCTTCCGTGCTTCCTTGAGAGCGTCGATCATGTCTTGTGTGAACTTGAGTTCATCAAGCTGTTCGCGCTCTTGCTGGTTGCGCTTCTGCTGTTCCTTCTGGGCTTCAGCCTTCTTTGCTTCGTTCTCGGCCTGTCTACGCTTCTGCTCTTCCATACGGCGGAAGCGTTCTTCCTCCATACGGAACTGCATGCGCTTCTGCTCTTCCTTGGCCTTCTTGTTTGCAGCCTTGATGTCGGCGATGATCTTCTTCTCTTCAGCGATGAGTGCGCTGTTCTGAGATTGCTTCTCGTGGACATCCTTGTTTGCCTTCTCGATCTTAGCATCTCTTTCGTCCTTGGCTTCTTGAATTTCCTTCTGGACGCGTGCATCGATCTCTTCTTCGGCCTTCATTTGCTTCTGGACTTCAGCAAGATCTGTGTTTTCTGTGATCTTGTACTTGCCATCCTTGTTATCAATGCCGAGGTGCTCGATGAGCTGCTTCTCGAATTCTAAAGCTCTCTGCTTCTGGCGCTCTTCATTAATACGGCGCTGTTCTTCCTTGAGAGCCTTCTGGCGCTCTTCCTCTTCTTGCTGAGCTTTAGCCTTGCGATCGGCTTCTTCCTGCTTGGCTTGCTGCTCCTTGAGGGCCTTCTCTTCTTCTTCCTTGCGCTGCTTCTCTTCCTTGGCCTTCTTAGCTGCGAGTTTCTCTTCGCGCTTCTTCTGCTTCTCGAGGCGCTTCTGCTCTTCACGAAGCTTTCTGTTGGAAACCTGTGTAGACTGTTGAGTGGCAGCTTGGTTCTTCTTGGCTTCCTCCTCAAGTCTTCTCTGTTCTTCCTGAGCAGCAGCAATCTTAGCAAGACGTGCTTCTTCGCGACGTTTGATCTCTTCTTGGCGTTTGCGTTCTTTCTCGCGACGCTCTTCTTGGATACGAGCTTGGAATTTTTCGTTCTCGAGAATGCGGTTCTTGCGAGCTTCTTCGGCTTCTTCTTCGGCACGCTTCTTCTCTTCTTCGGCTCTGATGGCGGCTAAGCGCTTCTCTTCTTCAGCACGCTTAGCATCCTCTTCAGCCTTCTTCCTGGCCTCTTCTTCTGCCTTCTTTGCATCTTCTTCGGCCTTCTTCTTATCCTGTTCGGCCTTGATCTTTGCCTCTTCAGCAGCCTTTCTCTTTCTTGCTTCTTCGGCTTGCTTCTTTTCTTCCTGGATGCGCTTTCTCTCGGCTTCCTTTCTTGCCTTTTCTTCGGCTTCAGCTCTCTCTTGAGCTTCGCGGCTCTTTCTGAGGAGTTCCTGCTCTAAGCGGACCTTCTCTTCGATGCGAATCTGAGCTTCAGTCTTGCCAGATCTCTTGGCGAGCTCTTCCTGGCGCTTTCTAATGACTTCGGCGTCTTCGACTTCGCGGATTTGAGCCTCGCGTTCCTTCTCTTGGCGGATAAGTTCAGCTGTGATTGCCTCTTGCTCGGCCTTCTTGCGAGCTTCTTCTTCGGCTTGCTTCTCAGCTTCTTCCTTCTCGTACTCCTCGAGGAACTTAATCTGTTCTTCTGTGAGCTTTTCTGGGTTGAATTCCTTGATAGACTTGATGAAATCTGCTTCCTCACGGCGTTCTTGTTCTCTCTTCTTCTGCTCTTCGAGCTTCTTCTGGAGTTCTGGATCTACTTGTTCGACCTTTTCCTCCTTGACTTGTTCAACCTTCTTAACTTCTGGCTTCTTTTCTTTCTTCTCCTTCTTCTGCTTGGCTGCCTTCTTCTCAGCTGCCTTGCGCTCCTTTTCGAGGCGCTTCTCTTCAGCCTTCTGCTTGCGAGCGGCTTCAGCAGCTAAGCGAGCTTCTTCCTGAGCACGCTTCTGGATGAGTTCTTCATTCTCCTTTCTCAACTCTTCCTGAGCAGCAGCAATCTTGGCAAGACGTGCTTCTTCGCGACGTTTGATCTCTTCTTGGCGTTTGCGTTCTTTCTCGCGACGCTCTTCTTGGATACGAGCTTGGAATTTTTCGTTCTCGAGAATGCGGTTCTTGCGAGCTTCTTCGGCTTCTTCTTCGGCACGCTTCTTCTCTTCTTCGGCTCTGATGGCGGCTAAGCGCTTCTCTTCTTCAGCACGCTTAGCATCCTCTTCAGCCTTCTTCCTGGCCTCTTCTTCTGCCTTCTTAGCGTCCTCTTCAGCCTTTTCTTGCTGGGCCTTTAGTCTTGTGAGGTAGTCTTGCTCGATCTTAGCGTTGTCTTGTTCAGCCTTAACTGTTGCGACCTTAGCACCTTTGCGCTTGGCAAGTTCTGCCTGGCGCTTCTTTTCTTGTTCGGCCTTTTCAGCTTCTTGTCTTCTTCTGGCTTCTTCCTCTTCTGCCTGGCGCTTGAGTTCCTCTTGGCGATGGAGTTCGCGTGTGGCAGCTTCGATTTCAGCCTTCTTTCTGGCTTCTTCCTGAGCAAGTTTTTCGGCTTGTTCCTTGTCGTAAGCTTCGAGGAATGCCTTTTGTTCTGGTGTAACGTTTTTTGGCTTGATTTCTAAAGCAGCTCTGATGAATTCTGCTTCTTCCTTTCTCTCTTGTTCGGCCTTTCTTTCTTCTTCAAGCTTCTGTTGCAATTCCTTCTGGTTAGCTGTTTCTTCTTCTGGAACTGGAGCCTTAACTTCTTCTTGAACGACTGGAGCTTGCTCGACTGGCTTTTCTTCCTTCTTTGGAGACTTTGCGCCTGACTTGTTCTTCTTTGCAGCCTCCTTTTCAGCCTTTCTCTTCAGTCTTTCCTGAAACTTGGCTTGGTCCTTCAAGTATTGAGCTTCCTTCTTCTTTCTTGAGTTTTCGGCTTCAATTGCGCGCTGTTTAGCAATTCTTTCTTGTTTCTCGCGCTCGGCAGCGGCCTTTTCTTCCTCTTCCTTGCGGCGTTTCTCTTCTTCTTCTCTTTGCTTAGCAATTTTCTCTAAGCGTTTTTGCTCTTCCTTCTTCTCAGCTTCCTCTGCTTCACGGCGCTGAGATTCGAGGGACTCTTGTACAGCACTGTTGAATGGTGAGAATGATGAGAATGTCATGTCTTGTGGCTGCATGACTTGGGCCTGCATTTGAGGAAGTGCAGCTTGTGGTTGCTGTTGAAGTAATTCGTTATTTTGAGCATTATCTCTCTTACCACGACGACCATTTTGTCTCTTGTTTTCCTTCCTTGGATTTTCTTGTTGATTTTGTTGTCTTGGTCTAGCTGGAGAACGAGGACCTCTAGCTGGTTGATGACCACTGCGCTGATTGTTAGCAGGCTTTGTAGTTTGTTCGATCTTTGGAGCTTGTTGTTCTGCAGCTAATTTCCTTTCCTGGGCTTCCTTTTCAGCTTTAGCCTTACGCTCTGCTTCAAGGCGCTTCTGTTCTTGCTCCTTACGAAGCTTCTCTTCCTGCTGCTTTTGCTGTTGAAGAGATTTTGCATCTAGAACATTTGACTTTTCTTGTTGCTTAGGAGCTTGGTTACGCTTCTTGGCTTGTTCACGCTTTTGCTGCTCGAGCAACTGGTCTTTTTCGAATTCTTCAAGGAGAAGACGCTCTGCTGCCCTTCTCTTCTCTTCAGCCTCGGAGATAGGAGCTTCCTCGTGCTTCTTCTCTTCTGTAACAGGGGCTGGAACCTCTTCTTGAGGTTCGGGCTTCTTTTCTTCTTTTACCGGTTTGGCCGGTTTAGAATTTTGTTGCTGCTTCTTGTTAGCCTCTTTCATCTCCTGCTGTTTCTTACGCTCGAGTTTCTGTTCTTTGTTGATACGAAGTTGTTCTTTCTTGCGTTGCTCTTCACGTAATTTTTGTTCTTTCTGATCTTGCAAAAGCTTCTCCTTCTCTTCTTCAGCTTTCTTTTTCTCAGCCAAGCGCTTTTCTTCAATAGCGCGTCTCTTTTCTTCAGCCTGTAGCTGGCGAAGGCGTTCAATCTCTGCATTTTTATCGCCATTTGCGGAAAGAATTTCGAGCTCGAAGATTCTATCCTCTATGGACATCTCTTCGTTAGCATCGTTATTGGCTCCTGTAGCTGATTGAGTTTGATTGTTCTGGTTTTGGGCCTCAACTTGGTTGTTTTGGTCCAAATTAGCTCCTGTCTGATGCTGCTGGTTTTGTTCTTGTTTACCTTCAGCATTAGCAGGACTGGATGTAGCTTGTTCAGACATCCTGTAAATTGTGTTAAAAAACCGCGGGTGAGATAATTTTTAGAAGATGGTCGAATAAGTCTTTAGAAATAATTTTGAGATTTGAGTGGAAATATCGTATTGCATTTGTTTTGGGTTTATATAGTTTTTATATGGAGCATAAAAATAATTTTGTATTTATTGAGGATTTTTTGAAAATGCATTGAATTTTGAAAGATTTCATTATATAATTTGATTGAAAATACAATACATGCATGAGTCTTTCTTAAATTGGGATTTGAAAATTAACAATTGAAAAGTGTTTACAATTGAAATTGTTGCAAAAAGCAATAGAATAATAATATATTTTAGAAAACACGATTCGCTGGTAGCAATAAAAAACCTGTGTTCCAAGTCTAACCGTTTAAGCCGATTATTGGGTTACAGATTGTTAAATGATTTATATAAAGTTTGGTTTTAATTATAATAAAATTTTTATGCAACTTTTGAAGGAAGATTTATGGATTTTCAGAACGTTTTTATCTTATTATTAAGCTTAATATTTAAGATCATTTTAAGAGTTATTTATAGTTCAAATTTTTGAGAAGAAACCGAAAACGATTGAAGCACTCTCGAATTTTTCGGATTTGAATGGCAATTTGTCTACTGCAAAAACGATGCGAATAAAATTAATGTAAATGTGTGTCCAGGCGGCATCGGAATTGATCGGGAAATCGGGATAAAAGTATTCAATTTTATCTCGATAAATCGGGATGAAAGTACTCAATTTTTAATCGGGACGGAATCACTACACATTTGATAGAAACATTATTTAAAAATCGTTTGAATATATAATATGCAACTACAGAAGATATAGGAGAATGTTGTGTATGTTTCATTGGATTTAATTTCATATTGGACGAAATTGCAAAAAGATTCTTTTGAATTTGGGTTTAATAAAAGTGCAAATGTCATATACTGTTAGTGTATGTAATAATAGATATGGTAATACTAATAAACATATATGATACCGATAATCATCAAAAGATCAGATATTACATTTTTATAAATATCAGGGATATTAATGTTTTATCGGTACTATTGCATACTTAGAGATATATTGAAATGTGGGAATAAAAGGTATTCGGAAAAAGAACAGGATATTCATAATATTAATTTATATGATTTTAAATTTGAAATGATTTGAATAGTTAGATGTGTTTGTGAAGTTTGGTAATAAGATACAGATTGATTCGTATAAGAATATAAGTGAATTTGTGATTTTTAAAAAGAAATTTTTAGTAAAGATATATTTGAATGGAGAAATATTTGAGAAGCATTGAAAATTTGAGAAGAAAATTGAAAAGGGTATAAAAATGAAAAAGTAAAAATTAATAACGTAATAACATGTTTTAATAAGTTGTAAATAAATTTATAATATAAAAATATATTAATGATAAAATAAATTTGAATAAGGTTTTGAAAATAAATTGAAAAGCAATTGAATAAATAATAAATGAAAAATATATTACAGTAGGTATTCAGAAAAAATATATATGAAAAAAAGTTAACAAACATAAATTGATGATGAATAGATAAATAGAACTAGAAGGAAAGTTAAAGATTTATTTAGTAAGGGAATGATAGAATAAACAAAAATTAAGTAAGTTTGTTTCTAAGATGTCTTATTGAAAAACAGATTTGTCTGATCACAAGCACTTAAGACTTTTATAACAATAGAAATGTGTTTATGATATTGAAATAGTCAAATTACAATTTTTTTTCTAAGATGTCTTATTGAAAAACAGATTTGTCTGACCACAAGCACTTAAGACTTTTATAACAATAGAAATGTGTTTATGATATTGAAATAGTCAAATTACAATTTTTTTTCTAAGATGTCTTATTGAAAAACAGATTTGTCTGACCACAAGCACTTAAGACTTTTATAACAATAGAAATGTGTTTATGATATTGAAATAGTCAAATTACAATTTTTTTTCTAAGATGTCTTATTGAAAAACAGATTTGTCTGATCACAAGCACTTAAGACTTTTATAACAATAGAAATGTGTTTATGATATTGAAATAGTCAAATTACAATTTTTTTTCTAAGATGTCTTATTGAAAAACAGATTTGTCTGATCACAAGCACTTAAGACTTTTATAACAATAGAAATGTGTTTATGATATTGAAATAGTCAAATTACAATTTTTTTTCTAAGATGTCTTATTGAAAAACAGATTTGTCTGATCACAAGCACTTATCAAGTTCCTCATTCTTTATATGATTTATTTCCACTCAAATATTTATTCATATTAAAAAATTATATCATTATAATTTGCTTATTTCATCTTCATTGCTGTAATTTTTAATCTTTCAATTAGTTCTTTTGGTACGTATTCTAAATATTCTTCTTTTGTATCTAAAATTGTTTTGATAACGAATTCTAATCTTTCGTTTTGCAAACTTTCGTCTGTAAAGTAAATCTTGATTGAAATCTCGAGTATCTTGTTTACAAAACGATGGATACTTAATGTGTGCATTGAAACTGAGAATTTATTAGAAATTCTGAATAAAAGTAATTTATTTGTTACTTGAGATGGCTCAAAGTTTTCCAAAACGTATTGCAGAATATCGCTTTTCCAAATACAATTCGTGAGTATTAGATTAGCTAACAAATCTGCATTTGTATTTCCAAATTCCGCGAAAAGGCGCTCTAAAATAACCGTTTTGTAATCTGACCTGAGAATCGTATAACCCATTAAATGAATTTTCTTTGATATTGCCTGTTTGTTTGAAAATATTTCTTGTATTGATTTTTCATTTTCAATTAGTAATTTGTCACATTCTCTCGTAAACATATTGTAAATATTAATAACGTTTTCTTCATTGTAACTTGTCTCATCACTAAGATTTGAAATAACGTTTATAAAAATTTCCGCAGCTCTTGATGGAAGCAAAAACTCCCTGTGTGTATTTATAAATGATAATAGTATTTCGGATATCACGCAATTTTTTGGTATTTCGTTAATAATTAGATTTATTATTTTGAATTTGTCTGATTCTTCTTTTATTTGTGAATTAAACGATTGAATTATTCCATTCTGAATATTAGTGTCAAATTTGTAGAATAAATTAAACGAAAAGTTATTGAGAAATGAGGAATTTATAAATTCGTCTAGAATTCTTTGATCATTGCATAAAAATCCAATGAATTCGAATTCATTATCGGTTTGAATATAACTTGATGGTAAATTATTAAAAAATTGAAGATATGAAAACTGATTGCATATATGAAATAAGACCTCAGCAGTTTGATCTTCTTTAATCTCCCAGATTGCATCCATAAATTGATTAAATTCTTCTTTAGAGAATGGTTGGGAAAGAATTTTCACAATAAATGGAAGAATATTATCCATTTTAAAAAAGTGACAGAATTGCTAAATTTAGATTTTCTCATATATCAGTTTAATTTCTAAAATAATATCGTAAATGCCTAAAATTTTATTCCACACCTTCAAAATATATGAATTGTTTCCTTAAATTATGAGATTTGCATCCTTCTTAGAAAATTTCAATTTTGACATTGTGAATAATCACCAAAATTTTTAAAAAATTTCAAAAATGAGCTTAATATCATTAATTTTTCAAGACAAATTCGGTTTTCTCTAATTTTTTTGGAGTTTTTCGAAAACAATTTTCATTTTTCTCGTCAAATAAAGGACATAGAACAAAATTAAATAATGAAACAAAGATCATATATTATGTTCTTTTATTATCAACTAAGGAATTGAAGTATAACATCCAATTATAATTAAATTTCAGAAAAAGTAAAGAAATCTGAAAAAAATAGTAATGAAAAAACTCCTCTTAATAGTGCAGATCACTATTATATAACTTATAAAATTTTGACAATCATATGCCTCCTCGTACTTTTCATTTTTCTCAGCCTCAGATCGATGAATTGAATGGAGCAGCTATCATATATCAAAAAGATGCTACGAATAAGCATGAATTTCTGAATCAATTTTTAAATTTACACTTTCCAAATTATTCAAAAAATTTAAGAAAGCACGTATGGAATTATTTAAAGCGTGCTTGCACAATTCAACTCAGAGATTGCGATAAAAACGTTTACACACAATATTATATTAGTCCTCCCTATAAATTTCACAAAATTGATTCATCCGGCACCGAACATTCATATTCAATCGTTTACAAATGCGAAGGAAGCTGCAATTACAAAATAAAAGTGACACTGTACCCAAATCAAATTCCAAAAATCGAACCTCTCAGTGATGATATCAATGGTAATGTTCAAAGGGCATTACGAGTTGTGAAGCTAACAAATGCCCCTTGATTTTTTAGAATTTAAAGTTAACATTGTCCGTACCATTGAATATGTGATTATCAAATTTTTCTATAAATCATATTCAAAAGGCCAAATTTCAACAATATGTAATGATTTGGTGAATTCAATTCTGCTTGTTGAGGCCATACAAAAATAAATTGTGTCAAAGAATGCCAAATTCCGACTTTGCAAAATTTTGAATTTTATTCTAACAAAATGATTCTATTCAATTCACGATTTTGAAAATTCTTTTAAAATCGTGATATACATTGAATATGCTCTTGAGTATATGGCTTAAATCCGGTCAGAAAAAAAGTGTCTGTACCTTTACATAATCAGGAAGTGAAAGATCTTAAGGGTCAACTCCGGCCAATTTGCCACCTGAGCATACATGTACCTTAAAAAGAAATCCCAAAAAACATGCCATTGTTCTATGGTATCATTACTATATAATTGATTCATTTCTATAATGTCTAGATAATAAATAAATTGAATTTTTGTATGTGAAAAATAACTTTTTTGTAAAAAATTTGCTCCAAAGAAAGAATCATAAGTATTCAGCTCAAAATGAAACTTGAATGAGATAGATACACAAGAACATATGGTTTTTATAAATTTGTGTATATATGAAATCTAAAGGACCTCAAAAATGTTATAATCCATTTATAAAAATAATATTTAAGATTTATCTCATCTAATACATCTATTGGTTATAATTTGAACACTGAATTTATACTTAAAATTGATGGTGAACTAATATATTTAAAAGTTATCAAAATTTGATATCTTATATTTTCTAGGTTATTTGATTTATTATAGATATCCCTATCGGAAAATCTCTACCAAAAAAAAAAATTAAATCTATGAAATATTTTTGAAACCATGCTTTCTCTATGAAAATCATGGAAATGAATTACATACAAATAATTGTATCTCAATTTCTTGAGAATCGAAAATTTTATCAATTTTGAATAATTTTTCTTTTGTCTATATATGGAATCGGGATGAATGTTTTCAATTTTATCGAGATTGAGTGCATTTAAAAATATAGAAATAATGATTTTTTTTAATTTTCATTTCTCATAATTTCCATCCAGATTCCAATTGAGAATATTTATCAAGATGAATCTGTGAGTTATTACCAAACTTTGTTCATGAATGAAAAATTGCCAATTTTTCTACATATACGCTTCTTAACAATCAATATTTAGAAAAAAATATGTTGATGACGCGAAAAAAATTCTTCGAAAGAATGATGCTTTTCTTATAATTTAAGAATAATTGTTACTCTTTTTTAATTTACTGCAGAAATTTATTTGATTTCTTGAAATGAGAGTTTTTTTTATCATTCATAAGAATGTAACCATTGCGATTTTACATGATGAAAAATTGAACATAATTGGTTAATCAACTATATATTCAAACCACATTTTATTTATCCAAATTATTAATAAGAGAATTAACAAGATTAATCAAGTTTGCATCAGGTTCAGGTACATCCGGCAGCTGGTAATCGGCTGCACCCGCTAGCCAAGGATGAGCTAATATCTCATCTGCATCAGGTCGAAATTCTGGATTGACCTGTAGCATCTGGGAAAGTAAATCTCTAAGTAATTCGCATTGTTTATCATCGTATTGGATTTCCCCACTGCATATTTGATTTTGTGTTTCTTCCCATACTTTTTCTGGGGGAATAGAGTCATCTACTGTCCATGGCAGATGATTGCAGGTCATTGCATATAAACAAATACCTGCAGACCATATATCTGCTTTAAGACCATCATACATCTGTTCTTCAAGAATTTCGGGTGGAACGTATACAAAAGTCCCGCATGTAGTTGTCAAATAAGAATTTTCGGGTTGGTGTTTGCAAAGACCAAAGTCAGAAAGCTTTGCAGACCCATTAGCTGAAACTAAAATATTTTTCAGTGTTACATCTCTATGCGCAACACCTCTTTCGTGAATATAAGAAATTGCCGACATAATTTGCTTGAAATATAAAACTGCTTCTGATTCATCTATGCCGCCGTTGGCTTGAACAAGCTGCTCAAGATTTCCGCTGTCGGAATATTCCATGATAATATAAATAAATTGTGAATCAATATGAACATCAATGAGCCGAATGATTCCGGGATGTGCCATTTGTGAATGTATCCGAAGTTCATTTTTGAAATTTTGAAGGAATTTTGGATCATCCTTAATATGAAGATCCACAATCTTGCAAGCGTATATTTGATTGGTAAATATATTTTTGCATTTATACACGTCACCGAATGATCCTGAATCTACAAAATCAGTTAGGACATATTGACCAATGTTATGCATTACAGTGACACTTTTTCAATACATATTTAAAATAAGGGTTTCGTTTTGCTAAAATTGTCACTTTTATAGCATATTTGTTTTTGGATGTTTTGCGAAACCAAAAAAAAACTATGATATACAATGTGTGTGTAAAGAAAATACTTTATTTACTAGTTAAAAAATCATTTGGTATTGATCAAGTTATTTTTTCTGGATAAGATATTATATGGATAATTGGATAGAAAATACAATTATATAATCTTGTACCTGGTTTAATTAAGCTAATTGTCATCAGAAACTTGTAATTTTTATGAATTTCAGATTTTCTTTTCATTACTGCTTTTCTTAATAGGTCAAGTTCTTATTTACGTTATAAAGTATGATATTTACAAATATCAAGTTATCATGTTTTTTGAGAAATTATGAGAAACAAACAAAAATGAAAAAGATAGGAATAGCAATGAATAGTGATGTGGGTATAGAAAATGTAAGAGATATGAATGCAAAGCAATCAGTATTTAGGACATTGACCATAGATTTCGAAAAAAAAATGCTGCATATTGAGCGAAAACTATGATTATATTATAAGGCTGTCATTTAAAGCATAATGAAACTATTCCCTTTTCATTTTAATCGAATAAGATAGTAAAGATTTTTGAATTAGCTAGAAACTGATGAGATGTTTTCACAAATCAGATTTTTAATCTCTATAATGCATAATTCACTCAATATCTCAATTTTGATATTGCGAGATATTTTTGCTATCGGTTTCGCAATTTTGACACAATAGCAAGAGGGTTCTATAAGCATTATTATCAACGTAGAATCTGAATATCATATCAGAAAATGTCGCAAATCTGACATTTCCCCGACCAAATAGCAAAAATAATTGAATACTTTTCGCAAAAACTTTAAAAATCGATAAAAATATGAAATATAGATATTAAAGAGACTTTTTATATAATATTCATAAAGATTTTCCAAAAATATGATACCGCAAAATTAAAAAAGTGACCTCTTGAGTGGAGTCAAATGTCGAAATTGCTAGCTAAATGTTTTTTTAGCGAAATTGCGTATTGTACGTTTTTTTCGCAAAACGAAACCCTTATTTAAAATTCACCGCTCCTTTATAAAAATGTAACAAATCGAAAAATTTAATACTAAAACTTTTATTACGCATAAAGATTTGTCACTTTTTCACATCAATCAACAAAAATCCCAGTAATCTGCGAACCACCCGTAAGGAATTAATAATAAATAATCGGTGAAGAATTCAAAAATACCAGATATCAATGCATATACACGAACATTTATTTTAAAATACATGATAAAAAAAATAACAAAAATTATAATTTCACACCTGCATCTATTAATGCTTTTCTAGTCATTACAACGAGTTGGTCTATATCAACCCATGCATCAGTGAAAAGGGTTTTGTCCAAACAGTCATATTTGAGTGGTTCTTCTTGCATACATTCCCATAACCTTTTATCCTTCTTGTTCTCTTCCTCAAAGCGGTTGAACGTTGGGGCATAGTACTGGTGATGAAGTCCATTGAGTAATGAAAGGTATTTGTACCAGTCTCTCGCTTCAATTCCGTATGGGAAAATTTCAATGACACTTTTTCCTGGTTTCATCCAAAGAACTTGGCAAAGGGCCATTCCATGGGCTGCTATAACTACATCAGCAGCTTCGAACAGACCCATTTGCTCTTCGTATTCGTACCATTCTGGTTCTATGAGCGTTATATTGACTTGAGGGAATTCTTTGACTAATCTCTCGTATGCTTCTTGTTGGTTGACTATTTTACGCTTAGAAGCTCTCCTAATGAATAAAACTAATGGCTTATTTTGTGGAAATGTTGGAGGATTGTATCTTTTCCAAAATAATTGTTTGAGAACTTTCCAATCTGTAATATTTTCGAAGTTAAACCATTCTAACTGATATTTAGGCGGATTTTTCTCTCTTTCTTTCGGAATGTGCCATTTTGTGTCAATTACTTTTGTCATTCCCATAAAAACTTCTTCGTAAGTGGCCCATTCTTCAAGAACTTCCGCAGGACTCATAAACATTGCTATATCTGAATATCTGACACTTTGAAGAAGTCCGCGTTTGACAAGCCAAACAGTATCTGGATCTCGATTCATATATGTGTACCATGTCTGCCATAAAGGTATTGTCTGTTCAATCATACCGTGCCACAATGAATATGTAAGATATCCAGGGTGATTATACATATATTTTCCTGGACGGTAAGAAAGGTTTTCATATGGAGGTCCTTTGTAGTTATTCATGTATACAGATCCTTCCCATGGTGCAATCGGGAGAGCACGGCAGGAAGCAATCATGATTGGAGAAGCCCATTTGATATCATATGGAGGGAAGAAGAAAAACTTATCGTGTGCGAAGGATAAGTTTGCAAATCTGCATAATCTACGATCCCATGTATCAGGTCCAAAGCATTCAAACTGGCCGTGAGTGTAATGTGCGTTTAAAGTGCGTACAATTGTATTTTCGTGCTTTATATAGATTTTTTGTGATCCATTGAAGAATAGAGGTAATGCACAGGTCATTTTGTCGCTAACATTACAAAATTTTCGAAGAGATCCGCTAGCATTTGCTGCCATGACAGGAATAAAGAATGTTAATTTGTTGTCTACGTCTTTGATAGTAAAATGGCATTTACCATCTTTGATAATACATTTATTGCTATAATTATCTTCGCCAATGAAGTGTTTGGAATAAACCATTGCACATGCAAATGAGATAAATGAGAATGTTAAAATTAACGAAGCCATTAAAAGAATATTCTTCCTTTTCAGAAGAATTTTCCTTCGCTTCAGCATTGTCACGTTTTGATATGAAACAAAAAAAATCCCTCTCTCTTTCAATGTAATTTGGTACCTGCTGGTAACTAGTTTATAATAAAAACTTCCTAAACAAGAGCATTTCAATTGAAATTGATCAATTGATCATTCTCTGAATTTGTATCAGAAAATCTCTAGGATCAGGACTTTTCAAAGAACAAACACAAAGAAAACGAAATATCTGTTTGCAATCCATGGCATAGTTAGATTCTTCAAGTGGATCTTGTTCAACGATAAATTGGATATCTCCATAGAAATATTAATAGTTGATAACCGTTTTGACAATTTTTCCAAATCAAAATTGTGAACAAAATTATTGATATGTAATGTCAGAATTTGTGTATCAGGGTCCTGGGAAGATGTATTCCCAGGATCAACATATGATGAAGCCCATATTAAAAATGGCACTGAATTTTCAAGGCAAAGTAACTTAAAATACTTTATTTCAAGCTGTTTTTTTCTTAAAATTACATTCAAAAGGTGCTGTTGGAATTACAACAAATAATAATGATGCTAAAGCATATGTCACAACAAATATATTCAATTCATGTTCCTCTACACACTTTGGAGGCTCATTATACTTTTTTGACAAAGGTGAATTCGTTCAAGCTAAAAATTCATACTTCAACTCAACAAGTACTGGAGAAGGAACATCTTTTTGGTTGTATGTTTCGGCTCAGCCAAATTTCAAAAATCATGCAAATGAAACTTCAGTTTGTAACTGCGGCAGTTTAGAAGAAAACTGTAGAATTACAACTGTCATGGTAAATGGTTTTTGTATAATGAATGAATTCAATGTTACGCAAAATCGAATCAAAAAAGATTTAGGAGGTTATGATGTTCAATCAATTATCTCTGATTCATTTATTACCTATGTAAATGTTGTTGAGAACAACCAATCGACAGGTAATTTTAACCATCACTCTTGCAATTCAACATATCCATCAATATTTAAAATTAATTTTTGCAATTATCTAAGAAACAAAGCTAACGCAGGTCAATTGATATATTCTAACACTGATCTTTTTATGAGTTATTGTTGTATTTTTAAGAATAAAGTCGATTTCATATTTAGAACTGTTTCAGGTACTGTAACCTTTGAAAACTCAACCACAGATAGCATCAGTTCGATGTATGCCTTTCCGACATTTAAATACACATATTATAAAAAATGTCCAAGCTTTTATAAAACTCAATTGAATGACCAAAATGAAGAAGAAGGAGAATATTTTCTCATTATGTTTGTCAAGCGAACTTATATTTTTGCATTTCTCTTTACAATTTGATCCTCGATATGTTGATGAATAAAAATTATATTCGTTTACAAATTTTTGAATGCATTGGAGTTCCGTTCTGCCTATTTTGGAATTGGTGTTCATTCAATTTTAAAGTATTCACTTAAGATTTCAATAATCAGGTAATCTCAAACTGTAAACAGAAAAAATATATTATGGTTAGGATAATAGCCATATTTTTAAATTGCGACATGCATATCCAAAGCATTAACACAGATGTTGAATTTGTTATACAATTTTTGGTATTTTAGTCAAATTTGCATGTAGATATCAAATACATAAGTCATCGGAATTAATGTCTCTACTTTAAATTAAAATAAATTTAAAAAAATGAAAATTATAGACAGAAAAACAATGTATAAAAGATTTAGTCATACAGATCATTAAGATAGAAAAGTACTTCTCGTACAAAGTCGTTAGGAGACTCAATATTTTGAGGTGAAATTGTGTGAGGAATATGATTATGTTCTTCTGGACTTCCGATGTTAAGAGCATGTTGGATTGTCATAACACTAATCTTAAGAACGGTTCTAGTAGCTAATTTAGTTGTGGCCTTTAAAACGTCAAATGCAAAGCCTGCAATGGACAATAAAGCATCAGTAGCACTTGGACTATGCTCTTCTTCATCTTGTTCAATTTTCTGGTGGAAGAATTGTTCAGCGTCTGTTATTATCGCTGACAAATCATAATCTGTAAAAGATTGGATATTTTCAACTACAGAATTGCCTAAATTGTTTTCATCAAGAGTAGCAACAACTTGCTTTATATGAGCTAAAGCCAATGAAACAAAATAGTTATTAATATTACGACTTGGTATAGAATGGAGTAAAAACCTATCCCATATTATTAAAACATTCAAAATTGGATGTACGTGTGTAAAGAACAGTAGTCGCCAACTTATGGCAAAATATAAAGAAGATATGCTGTATTCTTTCAAATTATCGTAGAGTTTTGGACTAATTGATTGAATTGAATTGTCTATCTCTGTAAACATTTCTTGGCCGTGTGGATTTTCCAAAATTTCATTAATATTTGCAATTTGTATAAATTTAACAACCAAGTCGAAGCATAAGCCTTCTGCGTAATGGTTATCTATTCCTAGTGATTGAACTATCTTCAATGCTAAGCCAAAGCACATTAAAGTATATCTGTCGTAGCCTTGAGTGTATGAAAGTTCTGGATAAATAAGTCCAATAACGGAATGAATTCTTTTAGTTGAAAGATGTCCGTATTCTTCATCAAGAAGCTGAACACCAAATGTGTGACAAATTTCAATGAAAAAGTTGTATCCGCGAGGTTCATCGGCTGCAATAACCTTAGATATATCTTGGCTTAAAACTTTTAGTGGTTCATTGTAAGAATCTCCAAGTAAACTTCTTGAAAAATCTTCGTAGTTGATAATTTTCTGATATAGTTCTTCGGCATAGTTTTCAAAGCTTACACACTTGAATTTCAAGCAGTATGCAAGAAAACGAAGCTCTAAATTTTTATTTGTATCAAATTCTTCAAGAAAATAGTTTAATGTGTCTTCATCGTGAATAATAGTCCCATATGTTGTCGTATTTACGTCTTTTATATGTTGTATAAATGCGTCATGATTGATTTCCATGATTTGAAAATTATGGCAAACAATTTTTTCTGACAAAATTTAAGATTGAATAGTTTACTTTTGATCAAGTTCACCGAGAAAATTGCACATATATTTTTCGTAATTTTTGGATAGATATTGCTCCCCCTGGGTGTAATCAAGCAAGAAATTTTGTCTATATTGTCATTTCATGTATTGTTTATGAAAAATCATTCAATAAGAATTAAATTTCATTATTTATGTAAAATAAGACTGTGATATGATTGTATTCGACATGTATATAATAAATGTTAACAAAGAAAAGCAGTGAACTATAAAATGTGTTCTTGAGAAAGTTCATGAAATTTTTAACGTATATTATTGATTTAAAATTTTGTTGTTGTGATGGCTGAAAATGGCGAGCCGCAAAAAACTCAGCCAGAAGAGCCACAACCGAAACAAGAGGAAGTAAAAGCGCAAGATTCGCCTGTCGAAAATGAAATGAAACAAGAAATTGTTCAACCAATTGCAATTCCAACAGAACAAAAACAAGATGATATAAATCCACCGCTTGTTGAACATTCTCCCCGGCCAAGCGTTGCTGAGCCGATAAAATCTCGACTAGGTTCTATAGTTTCTTTTTCACTACCTCCAAATCAAGATGGAAAACCACAGCCAATACTTATGGATGAACCAGAGCCAAGTGGAGAACCAAAACATATGGTTTCGCCTACAATGTCACCTGCCAACGAGACTAATTCAAAAGAAAAACAAGATAATCAACCAAAAACTCAAGATAATTCAGTTGATCTTCTTAGAAGATCTTCATTTGATGCTATTCCATTCTCTATGCCTACAGATAACATTAAATTACTACTCTCTGAAGCATTTGAAATTTCAAAATCGCCCGAACCAGAACCAGCTCCACCACCAAAGCCTGAAACTGTTGAGGAACAGAAAGAAAAGCCAGAAGAAGTTGTTCATAATGTCACTAGAGAAGAAAGCGCAGAAACTCTTCAACCTCCTTTATCAATTTCCCCAGAAATTCCTCCTGAAGAGTTTCATCCTGTTTCTCCACAATCTAATGAGAACTCACACCTTGATGTGCCAGCCCAGCCTCCATGCGAGTCTGATGAATTAAAGAAATCAGCAAGATCAACATTTGAAGCTATTGCATTTTCAGATGATGAAGAGGAAGATATGGAAGAGGAGGAATTACACAACTACGCTGAAGCATCTAATCAAACAGAACTACCTGCCGAAGAAACAATTCATATTCCTCTTTCAATGCAAATATCTGAACCTCAGTTCCATATATTCAATGATGACGAAGATGATGATTCAAAGTCAGTTGAAATTCCAACACTCACAGAAGCAGTTGAAGAGAAACTTTACGGCGAAAAAGGAATAAAAATTACTAAAAAGTCTCGACAGAATTCAAATGCATCACAAAACTCAAATCACAGCATGCAACAAGACTCTGCACGAAGTCATAATTCTCAACAAGGCTCGTCAAGAAGTGTTAACTCTCAACAGGATTCTTCAAGAAGTGTTAACTCTCAAAGAAGTCAAAATTCTGGAAGAAATAATGCTGAAACTGAGCAAAATGAAGCTAAAACTAATAATAGACAACATCAGAGACCACATATTTCTCGTCTTCCACTTGAAAGACTTTCAAATATAAGCAGTGCTGCCTCAGAAGAAGCTGTTCAGGAATTTTCCCAAACAGGACGAATTCCAAATTCACCACATTCTCAACGTAGAGTTGCAAGTCGAATTTGCCAAGAGAGAGAAGCTGCCATTGCTAATCAAGATTACACAAAAGCTGCTGAATATGATGATCTTTCCCGTAAAATGACCGAAGCTGTTGATAAACAGAAAACAGAACAATACAGACATGAACAGCTCGATATTTTGCAAGAGAAATTAGAATCAGCAAGGAATGATCACAAAATGTTTCTTCAAGACTGGGATGACAAAATCAAAGATGCTGAACAAATAATGAAAGACAGAATTCTAGAGCTTGGAGAAAGACAACAACAAGAACTGGATGATTTTGAAGCTTTATGGAATAATGAAGATTTTTTGAGAAGATTTTCAAAACCATCACCATATTTATTGCAACTCAAAGCACAAGAAAGATCTATGGTAATGACTAAATTATTTGATAGAGCGAAAGAATATAAGAGAATGGCTAAAGCTGTTGAAAAGAATGATACAGAACAGGCACAGAAAAGAGCAATGATTGAAATGAACTTCCAAAAGAAAACACTAATAGAAAAGCAAGATAAAGAATTGGAAGTTTTGCAAAAAAAGGTTACACAACAATTAGATGTTTTGAAAAGACAGAAAGATGTTGAAGAAGTACCATACATTGCAAGGGTTAAGAAACTTGAACATCTATATGAAACAATGAAGAATCAGGGTCCAACAGCAAATAAGAATCAGATCCTGATACAAACCGGTTATAACACAAAAACTGCTCAAGAAAGAGAATTGCCTTCTGTTAGGGCAACTCAAAGAATTCTTTTATCACGTAAAGAAGGTATGGCACCAAAACTTACTATAAAGCCACTCGGCAAGGTTCTGGCGACCGAAAGGAAGAAGAGAACCATACGAATCAAATCTGCTACATCATTAAAGTAAAAATATTTTGTTTGTTTTTTGATTTCTATGAAAAATTACTCCCCTTTTTATCTTACAGCAATGTTTTCACAAAATTGCATGAAGTTGTCAGCTTTGATAAATGGTATGTTGTTTGGAAATTACAAATCAATAGATGATCCATATGATGATCTATATTGGTTATTGATTGCAATTGATCCTATAAAAATTGATTTGAGCGAACTCATAGAATTAGAATTTGACAGAAATGAATCAACTTAGCTCGATTGCTGGCCAAGTTGCAACCAAAGAGCGTGATGATTCTTCGTTTTTCCATCACAGAAGGAAACTTGTGAATCTTAACTGGGATTCTGAGCCTACAAAAGTTTCAATTTTCATTCAGCCCGGTATTCCCAATATCGAAGAAAATGTTGATATGCTCATAGACTTTTTGAAAGAATTCAAGATTAAATTCGAAGTAGACAAGTTTACAAACAGTGATTTTATTATCCTTGTTGGAACTGATGGTATTAATCTTACTGTTTCATCACTATTCCAAGACCGTGAAACACCGCCAATTCTTTCTCTTACACCGACCCGCAAAGGTTTTATCTCTGTTTTAGATTTCTGCCAATATAATCTTATCATCCCTCAAATTCTTCGTGATAATTGTTGGTTGCTTCCTAGATGCAGATTAGTAGTTGATTACTATAGTCTTGAAGGACTCCAGCACTTTACTGTCTTAAATGACCTTGTCGTTAACAGAGATCATACATCTGGATCTCTGGCAATCAATTGCAGTTCATGTGGCTTCGGTTTTTCGCAAATTGTCGGTGATGGTGTCATCATTGCTACTCCAACTGGTTCAACTGCATATAACAAAGGCGCTGGTGGAGCTTTGGTACATCCTTTACTTCCTGTCTTCATGCTTACACCAATTGTTGCCCTCTCATTGAGTTGCCGTCCTATCTTATTCCCGCAATCTGCAGATCTTACCTTAGAATTAGATTACGATCACTCAAAAATGCAATCACATGTTGCATACCTAACTTTAGATGGCAGAGTACAAAGATTATTTAAGAAAGGTGAGAAATTAGTTGTTTCCATTTCCCCTCACTACTACAACTCAATTACGATGTCAAAGTCCATCGCAGAATGGCCTGTAAGACTTGCGGGACTCATGGGATGGAGTGAAAGAAAGCATCAGAAGGCTTTGCCAGCTCAAAATTCTCCAAAATGATTTTTATGATCATTTTACATTTATTTATATTTGTCACGCTCATTATGTAATTGCATGTTTATAAATTTTTCATATATAGACTTTAAATTTAAATTTCAAATTTATTGAATTCGATCGATCACAAATATGAGCCTTCGTGCTGCTCAAGAATCTTTTATCAAGATAAATATATAAATAACAACTTGATTTGATATCAAGAGGTTATCAAATGATTATAATATCGTAACCACTCGGATTTGAAATAACTAATCTTTCTGTTTCATTCCAGATATCAATATTTTATAACAATGAGCTGTTTCAATTTTATATAAAATTTACAAATCAAACAATGAGAGTGAAAATAATGCAAATCAAAGTAAAAAAGTTATATAGTAAATATATATTATCAATTTTTTACAAAATATAAATCTATTTATTACAATTTGCATGGAGAAGATAAAGAAATCTACTGTTGAGTCATATTGAGGACCGAGTTTGGATCAACAAGGTATGTGAACATCTTTCCACCTTTAACTTCGATCTCTCCACGTTCCTTGATCTGGAATTGTGCACCATAAATGAATTCGTAAACTGGTCTAGATATGTGGACCTGCATTGGTACACCGTGGTGTTCCATTTCGTGTGCGATGTTGATAGCAGGGCCAAGGATTTCGAATGTTGGTTTCTCTGTACCAATAACACCAGCGACGATTGGACCACCAGTGTTAATACCGACACGGATTCTCAAGTTTTCATTCTCGCGCTGGTCGATTTCGAGTAACTTGTTGATAGCAAGGCAACCGAAGTCGACAACTTCTCTTGCATGGACTTGTGGCTGATTTACTTCATCGAAAATGCCACCAGCAGCCATGTAACAGTCACCGATGCATTTGATCTTTGTCATTATCTTGTGAGCGTTTGTGATTGCATCCATTTCCTTGAATACAATGTTCAACATTCTCATGACATACTGAGCATCATGAGAACCACACCATGGAGTGAATTCGACGACATCGAAGAAGAGAACTGTAACTGATTGAACAGAGAAGGAAATGTTCTTTTCACCAGCCTGTACACGAGGAACTAATGATGCAGGAAGGATAGATGCGAGCATTGTATCAGACTTCTTCTTTTCTTCATCAATAAGCATTTCGTGAAGGATGTTCTGTGTCTTGTCACGGCCAGAGAGAATCTTTGTGCCTGAAACAATGACTGGTGTCCATTCCATGAAAACGGTGTTTCCATCCTTCTCGAACTTTGTGTCTGTGATTTGTGTGACAACACTCTCAAGTTTTCCGCGGACTTCGAATCTTTCTGGATTGAAGAATTCCATGACAGTCTTTCCAACTAAATCATCTGCTCTAACACCGAATGTTTCTTCAAGAGCTGTGTTGACTTGGACAACTTTGTGTGAGTCATCATCCTGAATAACAATGATGCAATTGTTAAGTTTGTTCATGACATCATTTGAGTATGCGAGGTGCTTTGCAGACTGGTCGCCATCTTTGTTTGAATAGTCACCAGCGAGCATGTCCATGATCTTCTTGTTAGAGACAATGATCTTTGGTGGGCAGAAAAGCAAGAGATGGAGTGTGAATCTGAGCATGTCATCTTCTGTCCTGTTGATGTATAAAGCAATGATTGTGAAAATCAATGGAATGATGATGAAGATGATACCGAGATATGTAACTTGCTTTGACTGCTTGTTAATATCTTCTTGGATCATGTTGACAAGTCTGTTGCCTGCACGGTAGAAGAAGGCTTCATATAACTCAATAGGGCCGATCTGCCAGAGTGTATCAATGCCATCTTCACGTGGTGTTGGATAAATTCTTTCATCTGGTTCAACATTAAGATTTGAGTATATCTTCTTTAACAAAGCTGTTGTGAGGTACATTTGTGAGGCAATCTGGAAGCAGTGAGCTGAGTGTGGAACTGTCTCAGGTGGTTCGAGTTTGTCTGTGCAAGCAGTGAGCTTTGAAGCATCGTTGAGTGTCTCTGTCATACCAATGAAAGGAACTTCGCCAGCAGCTGGGTAACCAAGTCTAATCTTGTGGAAGTAGTCGATCTGCTTTGGAATATAAATGCCAATGTACTTGATTTCATCTTCAGGATTGACAATTGTGCCCCAGAAAACTTCTGGGTTATATGTCTGGAGAATGATCTTGAAAATGCGTCCCATAACTTCATTGTGTTGGAAGCGTTGAGGAATCTGATGATTGTCAAGTAGTAACCAATAGATGCGCAGACAGCAATGATGAAGAAGCAGAACTGATTCTTCTGAGCGTTTGTAGCCTGTGAAGTACCATCGGAAATTGTGGAGAAGAGTTTCATGATTGATTCTTCCTGGCGAGACATTTCATCTTCATGGCGCTGTTGCTCTGTTTGTTCTGCGTTAGATGTATCATTCTTCTTGACATGGTTGAATGATGCTGAAACTGTTGAAATGACTGTCTTAGGAATTGTTGAGAAGATGCCCATGATGTCCATGTTGTTCTTTCTCAATTTCTTGATCTGAACATTGAACAAAATGATGTAGCCAAAGCAGCAAAGAATGATAAGAACAATCATCAATGATAAGAAGATCTTTTTATCTCTGGCATTGATATTGAGAATATATTCATTGACAATATCTAATGCCTTGCTCATTGCTTGTGTTGGAACAATGTTGTTGTTTCTGCATGTAAGTGCATCTGTTCCTCTTGCAATATCTGGTGACATCTCACCAATTTCTGCGAGTTTTCCAACGTGCAAAGAAACCATAATTGCGATCTGATCTGTTGAAGCATTGAAGTTCGTTGTTTGATTATAAGCAAGGAAGTAACTGAAATTGAGATTTGAAGTGAACAATGTTGTTCTGGCTCTCTCAATAAAGCTGTTTCCTGCTTTATAACTTCTGATCTTTGACATCAATTCGTTGGCATATGAAACTTGACTTGCAAGGTAATATATGATCATGTTTGTCTCTGTGTATCCACCGAACGCTGTCATAGGGAATCCTTTTTCTAGTTGATTCTTTTGCATGATCTTTTCACCTATTCTTTCATCATACATCTCTTCAAGAATGTACTTTCCGGCCATTGATGCCATGACGTTGATTAAGTTTCTGAGATAAGAAATACCATTGAGGAAAGTAAGTGGTTCTTGGAGATCGATGATATACTTAGGGAAGTAGATCATGATTGCAATAATAGGAACAGCAACGAAAATAACGAACATAGCGATAGTTGACCAATACATGAAAACAATTGCAGGAACTTTGTGTTTCTTAACTTGGTTATTAAGAACATCGATAAGTTCGATATCTGGGTTATCTTCAATTGGTTCATCAACAGCTTCACCTTCCATTTCATCTGTAACAGAGTATTTCATGTCTTCTTTGTTGAGTGAGTGTGCAGGAATGTTAGGGAAGATACCCATAGCAAGATCGTGAATGACATCTGGTTTGACTTTCTGTCCCATCTGGAGTTTTCTGATGTTTTCTGACCATTCCTTGAATTCTGCACCATCGGCGTGAATTTCAAGACAGTACTTAGCATATTGGCGTGCAACGAATCTGTTGTTTGAGTGAAGCATCATCATGTTATTGATATCGACTTCGCACTCTTTGATTGTTTTCATGGCGGATTTGATGGACTTGTTCATTTCAAGTAAGTTGTTCTGAAGAATTAAGTCCCAAATGTTACGAATTCTGTTCTTGGCTTTGTTGATGACCTTCTGGAACTTGGAAATCTTGCTCTTGATACGTGGTGTATAGTTTGTTTCACGTGTCTGAATGATTGTAGCAATGTTTGAAACAATAATGTCACGATACATTTTATTCGCTTTGATATTTGCGATATTTTGTACGATGTACATGAGCTGGTCTGTATGTTCTGGATAGATTGAGATGAATTTGGCATATGAGGACCATGGAGAAAGCTGATCTGGCCATTCATCGATTGATGCTTTGAAAATTGAGAAGCTCAAGCATGCTGGATGGCAGTAAGTGAAGCCAGTGCCTGTAGCTCTTCTGATCTTACGCATTGATCCGAAGATCTTGATGTCTTTTGTCTCATCGAACATATCCAATTTGGCAAGTTCTTTCTTTTCGAGTAATCTCATGAAAACGTATGTAAGGATGAAGACAACAATGCCGCAAGATATGTAAAGAACGAAGTAAATTGGCCCCATGGCTTGCCAGAGAGAATTGGATATAAGTTGGCCAAAATAACAATCATACTCAAAATAGAGCCACCCATAACCATGCAGAGATATGTGAACTTAACAGATGTTGAACAATTGAAGCAAGTTGAGCATGCATAAGCGTAAATGAAAATTGTAAGTACAGATAAGACGGCTGTTGCATTTTTGCTTGTATAAGTGGTAAGAGCAGTGAAGAATGTGACGCCTGTTGTGCAACCCATAAGCTTAATCTGTGCCATACCATCTGCAGCGAAGAATGATGACGGACGGAAAACAAGTGTAAGCGCGAATGAAGCAACCAATGACCAGAAATAAAGGGCAAGTGCAGCTATTGTAGAAATGATTGCCACTATACCAATAGCAGTTACTTTCAGCTCATTTGTAAAGTATGCAGATATAAGCTGGCCTGTAAATTGCGCTGAGACTGGAATGAAGTAGAGTGGGCCGAAGATCATGAAGAAGTTCAAAATGTACATTGATAGCTTTGGAAGATTGGTCGTTTTATGGTAAATCATAGCTGTCACAATTAAATAAGCACCGAAAGCGATAAGAATGCAGTTAATAATAAGGGCAATAGTGTCTTCATTACCAAAACGAACTTGTACTGGTATAACGTGATATTCAATGCTTAAAATACTCATTGCGGAGTAGGTCAATGTACCTTCTTGGAAAATTCTTCGGTTGGGAGCCATCATTGCAGCACCGAGTAGTTGAAAGAATCTTAAGTATGTAACAATTTCGTAAAAACTAGGAGTTTTTGGTGCGTAATTATCGAAATAATTAAACATTGCAATTAATGCATCTGAAGCTTGTTTTGTAATTGGAACCTCGATTAACCCTTCAAGTCTTGAACTCATTGACTGGCTTATATCAATTTTCGCTGACGAGGAGGTCCCAGTACTCTCCATCAGTTAAAATAATATATTTGAAATAGCACACACAAAAATTGAAAAGTCATTTAAAAAAGACAAAGTATACTGCATTATGAGTTAGCAATTTATATCAATAAAAATTTTGTATTGTAGCAATTAACGTTTTTTTGTAAGAATAACCAAAAGTAAGAAAAATTGAATAAAACAATCTTGTCAGTTTGAATGATTCGTAAAATGGTAGCCAGTAAAGAGACTGAGGGTCTGGATTAATTGAGAATTGAATTTTCACAATTTATCGAAAAGCTATTGATATTAGTATACTATCCAATAAATGAAAAATTATAATGATAGTTCGGTAATTAAATGTTATTGAATTGGATTTTGAAAAAATATTGAATATTAGTTTAATTCACAAAAATTGGATATTTGAATTAAAAGAGAAATTAACATTTAACATCATACTGCAACAAGAAAAAAAATAAGAGATTAGAAAATATACCAGTTTTGTGAGTGGTCTATTCAAAATAAATAGCCAGTATGCAAAAAAAAATTGATAAGAAGGATTAAAATTAAGCGCAAGCGTTAATATTCATTCAATAAGAATCACTTTTTTGTTTAGTATTTTCAATTACCCAGATTTTCCTTACTTTTACCACTCCCCATGTAATTTCTGGGGAAAACGATAATTCATTTTTTTTATGGATGAATAGATCGTTTTCCTAGAAAGGACCTCATATCTCTGGCTAAAAAGAGTGTCAGATCCTAAATAGATTATTGATCTAGTGTACAAATCCAATAAAAAGCCTATTTTTTTGGCTTTTTTGGTGCTCATTTTTTCGAAGATCTACATGAATATGGGGAAACCATCGGATTTTTTTGGTTAACCCACATCTTCATGTAGTCTGGACTATCTTTCCTCGAAGGACCTCTTTACGGGTGTAAAAACTCATAAAGTTCTCAAAAGATTCATTCTCGATCTCCATGCTGAAAGAATTTACAATAAAAAAGAGATCTACGCATCAAACTACAGCCATAAATGAACTGAACCCCTAAAGCTCAGCTCTTAGTTTATCAAAAACGTCGAAATCCTTCTCATTGCAATCAAATTTTCTCAATAACTCATAAGAAAAATCGAATTTTGATTAAGCCGATGTTATAGGTATCACAAATACTACAAACTTGAGCAATATCGAAATTGCCAGCAAAAGTTTGAAATTGCATTGCTCATATTTGTTTTGTAAACTAAAAATCTGCTTATATTATTCATTAATTTTTTATATATTATTCATATACTTTAATAAAATCAATACTATTTCACCTTAAAAATGAATTTCATAAGTCAATATTATTTTTTTGAAAATGTATCAATTTTCGATTAAAACAACATGAGAATAAAATTTACGCAAAATTATTTTAAAAAATGGTTTTAAAAATTTACAATTGATTAAGAATAAGAGTGCAAGAAGTTTTGAAGTTTAATTTTAAGAAAAAAAATTCGGATACTATTCATGGATCTAAGTAATCTGATATTTGAGTATCGGCACTATGCATAAAACATATATTTATAGTTTTTTTGGATTTTTATGATTTTAAATATATTCAAATTTGGCAATCCAATAGATTTTTAAAAAATAGGTAAATAAAAATAGATTACATATGCAGCAGATTTAGAACATGAAACAAATCTTATAGTGACCCAAAAAAAAATTCATGATCCAAAAAAGAAAAAAATTGGCTAAATGGGAATCAAACCTTGGCATAATGAATCGTTATGTAGGATATTTGAACTACACTACACCGGCAGTTCGAAAAATGCCCTTGGTGGTTCTATTTAATAGCTACTCCCAACGATAGGCGGTGTCCCCAGCTTTAGAGGGGTGGTAAAAGTAAGGAAAATCTGGGTATTTCAAAGAATAGAAGAAATTGATGTAAAGAATTGAATAAATGAACGGTTGAAATAGTACTATTTTCATTTGATAATTTTAAGATTATTAATTAATTTTGATTAATATAATATTCTTTCAATTTTTGTCAAGTATTCAAATTCTCGATAACTTTATCAATAATATTTTCTTAACCGATCTCATATAGTAATTTGGTTAATCTTTTCAATTCTTTTTCAATGCACTAATCACAAAAGTTTGTTTTCAATTGAAAAATAGCTTTTTCAACGAAAAATATGATAGAAATGCTTCTGGGAATTAGGTGCTATCAATGAATTACTAAAATATTATAAACTTATTCAATTTTATCTTGCCGAATTGATGTTTCCAAAGTAGCTTACAAAAATATGCAGATATGCTTATTGAATAGTTTCAAGTATAACTAGACACCTTAAATAGTATGCATTCAATAGCTTTTCAATACTATCAAAAATTTCTTTTTATTCTACTAAAAATAAAGTTGATCAGAACTGCATTGTTTGTTGGTAACATTCAGCAAGTTAAATTTCGAGAAAAATACTCTCTTCTCTTCTTCTAAATCACGTCCATTATTCAAAACCTTTTTTCAAATTTTTTATCAACAAATCTATACGACATTAGTCTAGTTAATACAATTTTCCTTTTCTTGAATTAAATCGAGTAAGTAATTTATGAATTTCACGTATTTTGAGCAATTAAAATCTTCTATGAATCATTATAAATGAGTTTTATAGCTGAAATTAAAGTTCTGAACTATTAATTATTTCTAACATTTGATATACGCATAAATCTTGCAATCGTATAACAATCTCAATTGTTTACGATTTCAAATGCTAAAATATTTCAAATTTTCCTATGAACTCTATTATCATATTGATTTGATTCACGAGAACCAAATAAGTTCATTCACTGATTTAATAGTGGTATCAGATCTGGCCTATTGTGACATTTGTTTTGTACACTCATATCAGGATATTTGTGCTATATACTCATTAGTGAAAAAGATAAAATTTGAAACATTCATATTACTAGTATATGTTCTCATTTCATAACCCCTAAATCGGTAATTTACACGTAAGCTAATCTATCTTTCATTACCTAACTGTATTGAATTTGTCACATATTCCAGAAAGGAATGGAAATTCAAATAATTTTGATAAAATCTTAGAAAATAATAGGTGTATGCTATCTTGAAAATGTCATCGGTTGGGGATCATGATTTACGATTAAGTATTTCAATTTTTGAGAGCTTTCAAAAATATTATTTTAAAATAGCGTGTATTTTATGGATGTGATGAAAATAATTTTCAGGCTGAATTGAATTTTACCTCAAATTTTCTGTGAAATTTGGATTTTATTTATTTATATTCTACTTCATAAGGATATTATTATTTTTGATTGTTATGCAAAATCAAATTTACAATAATCGTCACTTTCATTAAGATGAGCGCGATTGATGCTGACTCAATTATGAAGCACATCATGGATGGATGTGCGCCAACAGTTGATGAAATCAACTGGATTAACATCAAGGCAAAACAAATGTTCGAGAAACTTCCGAATGTCGTTTCTGTTCAACCACCTATCACAATCTGTGGTGATATTCATGGTCAGTTCAAAGATCTCATGGAACTTTTCAAAATTGGTGGCTCTGTTCCAATGACAAACTACTTATTCCTTGGTGATTATGTTGATAGAGGTTCACAATCAATCGAAACAGTCTCATATCTCTTCTGCCTTAAATTAAAGTATCCAAATAACATCACTCTCCTCCGTGGTAACCATGAAAGTGCTGGTATCTCTCAAATTTTTGGATTTCGTGATGAAGTTATTGCTAGATACGGTAACGATGATGTTTGGCAAACATATACAAATACATTCAACTTCCTCCCACTAGCTGCTATTGTTGGTGATAAAATACTTTGCGTTCACGCTGGTCTTTCACCAAGAATCAAAACAATCGACGATATTCAAAAACTCGATCGCTTCAGAGAAATTCCACATGAGGGCCCTATGTGCGATTTAATGTGGAGTGACCCTACACCAACTCCTGGTTTCCAGCCATCTGCCAGAGAAGCTGGCTATCAATTCGGCCCAGATATTACTGCAGGATGGAACAAGGAGAATGGTCTTGAACTTACAGCTCGTGGCCATCAATTAGTTATGTCTGGTCTTGAATATGGTCATAACAATCAAATTGTTACTATTTTCTCAGCTCCTGATTACTGCAGACGTTGCGGAAATTCTGCTGGTATCCTTGAGCTTGATGAGAATATGAAGCGTAAGGAAATTCGCTTCGAAACTCCAAAAGAAGTTGACGAAGAAGCTGACCAGATTCCAAAGTACTTTAGCTTTGACCTTCCAGAGGATGAGTAATTTCATTGTTAATTGATTATATATTTTTTTCATTCATGATAATAAAAAGACAGAAGTATTTTTCACCTTTTATTTCAATATGTCATCGAAAGGATCTAATATTTTTAATAATATTCATTATCTTGACGCAATATACCCCTGACAAATTATAAAATATATGAATTTCAATAAAATATAGTAAATCATGGTCGTAACAACACGAAACTAGACCATTGATGATCAAGTTTTATGAATTACTTAGCTTTCTAAAAAAAAAATGGATCATGATCTTTAAAAATCTCCAAATTTACAAATAAAAAACGATATTACATCAATTTTAAAGGTTTTTATATTTCAAAATTTTTTCGAAAATTCAAAATTTATTTAAAAAAATCTGATTTTCATACTCATTTTCAAATTTTTGAATTTTTTTTGGAAAACAGAATATAATAATCTAGCTCCCATCTTGATGGAGGGAGGGCTCAATTAACGTATGAAACTTGAACAAACATTTTCTTTTAATTTATGCACTTCAATATCTTTAATTTTATGCATTTTTCTTCAAATGAATGTTAAGTTGAAAATACATTTCAATAGCTTATATTTCAAATCGGAAATCGCTTATAGTTTTCACTAAGAATTTCAGAAGATAACTCGAATTCCAGCTACGAGTGTGTTCTCAATAATTCTATTATTCTTATATACGAAAAAAAGAGATCTGACATTGTGTCAGATCTCAGTAAAAGTGACATTTACATGTCAAAAAAATAGAATGAGTTTAAGTAATTAAAATTGAGGGTGAGAGTAGTATTGTATGAAATAATATCTCTCACCCTCCAATTCATCCTATGGCGCCGAAAAAATTTTGGTGAAATGCGACCACATTTCACCAAAATTTCTCGGCGCCATATAGAGAACTAGAGCCTGTGAGGTACTGATACTATCCATGTACCTCGCAGGCTCTAGTTCCAAGCCAAAATGGCTAAAAATTGCCCGCAATTGTTCACATTGCGGGCAATTTTTAGCCATTTTGGCTGGGAATTGGAGGGTGAGAGTAGTATTGTATGAAATAATATCTCTCACCCTCCAATTCATCCTATGGCGCCGAAAAAATTTTGGTGAAATGCGACCACATTTCACCAAAATTTCTCGGCGCCATATAGAGAACTAGAGCCTGTGAGGTACTGATACTATCCATGTACCTCGCAGGCTCTAGTTCCAAGCCAAAATGGCTAAAAATTGCCCGCAATTGTTCACATTGCGGGCAATTTTTAGCCATTTTGGCTGGGAATTGGAGGGTGAGAGTAGTATTGTATGAAATAATATCTCTCACCCTCCAATTCATCCTATGGCGCCGAAAAAATTTTGGTGAAATGCGACCACATTTCACCAAAATTTCTCGGCGCCATATAGAGAACTAGAGCCTGTGAGGTACTGATACTATCCATGTACCTCGCAGGCTCTAGTTCCAAGCCAAAATGGCTAAAAATTGCCCGCAATTGTTCACATTCCCATCTTTTGTTGGTAAGACGAAGAATATGAAATAAATTATGAAGAAGATAATGATGAATAAAATATCACTTTTTATATTTTTGACACGTAAAGTTGTCACTTTTCTGTCAAACTGTTTTTATCGTTTTCGTATATAACATTATAAAAGTACATGTTAATAGCATTTTTACATCGACATGCTTTAACTTATTTCTCACATTTTTTAATCAAAATTCCCAAAAATAAGATCGATAAATGAATACATTTTCTATAAAAATATGTGCACATCACATCACTTATAAAAAAATAATAATATGCTCATTATTATTTTTTTCTTCTTTTCTCTTCTTTTTTTTTCTTTTTCTCTTTTCTTTCTTCTTTTTCCCTTTTCCCTTCCTTTTTTTCTAGTTTTGGAAAGGAAAAAGTAAAAAATTTAATAATTAATTTTATTACTATGAAAATATACTTTTTAGCTTATATTGTAAGCTGTGAGGGTTTTAAGTGATGGAAAATATAAATCAAATTTGAAATTCAACAAATCTTGTTATGATTAAGTTGAATATTGTACTCTAATTAAGAGTTTTCAGTTATGAACTCAGGTATTATATAATAAAAGTATAACTCAAGATAATAAAGAGGTTTTTAAAATGTAGATCTGAAAATCAAACTACCATGTTTGATATGATTAAGTTGAATAATGTTATTTTATTAAATGGTTCAAATCTGTGAAATCGGCAATTACAAATTAAAGGCGTAGTTCAAAAAATTAAAGAGATTTTAAAAATTTAATATCAGAATTAAACTAAAAAAAGGATTTAGTTATTTCAGTAATTATCAGAAAAGGTTAAAAAGATAGGGTAAGTAATGAGACTTGAGTGAGATGTGAGAAATCATATGTAAATAATTAGATATCTGATGAGTAAGGTAGTAATGAGAGTTAAGATCTGGTTAGTAAGGTAGTAATGAGAGTTAAGATCTGGTTAGTAAGGTAGTAATGAGAGTTAAGATCTGGTTAGTAAGGTAGTAATGAGAGTTAAGATCTGGTTAGTAAGGTAGTAATGAGAGTTAAGATCTGGTTAGTAAGGTAGTAATGAGAGTTAAGATCTGGTTAGTAAGGTAGTAATGAGAGTTAAGATCTGGTTAGTAAGGTAGTAATGAGAGTTAAGATCTGGTTAGTAAGGTAGTAATGAGAGTTAAGATCTGGTTAGTAAGGTAGTAATGAGAGTTAAGATCTGGTTAGTAAGGTAGTAATGAGAGTTAAGATCTGGTTAGTAAGGTAGTAATGAGAGTTAAGATCTGGTTAGTAAGGTAGTAATGAGAGATCTGCGGGCAGTAATGATACATCTATGAGTACATAACTAAAACCTGAGTTCTATGAGCGAAATCTGAGAGCTAAAAGCCGAGAGATCTAAGGTAAGTAATGAGAGAAGAGAATTTGAAATTTTACAAAATACGTTTACTCATACAAAATAATTCGCATTCTTTTATAACGAATCTCAATGCCAATTAATACATAAAACAGATTTTAGCAATCAATTGCAAGATTTAGAAAGATTTTATTTATAATCTCAGCCAAATTAACAAATATTTTATTGATTTCGTAAAAAATAGCAATAAAACATAAAAATATGACATTCTATTTTTCCAAAAAAATTTCAAAAATCATTTTTTAACATGAAATTTATATTTTTTAATTTTTTTTTTAAATTTTGAATTTTTTTTTGGAATTTTCAACCATGTCAAAAGTCGGGATCTACAAATGTATTCTCTTTGACATAGGATAAAAACATCCTTTCTTATAATTTCATTGTAAAATAAAATTTTCTTAAATTTATTGAATCCAAACTCAACTTTGCAACATTTTATTATCATAAAAACTAAGAAATATCAGGTAAACTTCAATTTGGAGAGCTTAAAATCATATCTAAATTGAAAAATAAGGGGAAAAAAATTGTAAAAAAAATCTCATTAGATGGGGCAAAAAGTGACTTTTTTAATGTGTTTTTTAAAAAAATCGTGCCAGCTGGCCAAAAAAGGTGTGCCAGCAGGCGTGCCAGTTTGTACAACCCTATCCGTAAAGTATTGAAATCTATCCCGATTAATCGGGATAAAATTGAATGAGTTGATCCCAATTTCCCGATCAATCCCGATGCCAAAAGATAAGTCAATTTAAGGAAAAAGAATTAGAATATATTTGAGAATTTTGATGCAGAGTGTTAACTAACAAGTTTATTGGTTTTATTTTGTACAGCTTTCAATCTTGGTCAAGAATTTCAAAATTCGGTTCATCTGCTTACATATTGGACGAAATTGCAAAAACCTTCAATAAAGTTTAAAGTTATCTTTTTTTTTAACTGTAATGCATAAAAGTTTACGTCATGAATACACATTTGGCAATATGGAAAATAAGGGAAATTTCTATGGGGCCCTAGGATTTTTTTAATTTTCTCTATCAGACTTACTATTCAATTGCTCGAAAATTAAAAAAATCAATAAGTATCTAAAACATATTACTAATCATCGGATTGCCAGAAGTAAGATATTTTGGCTATCTTTAATTCTTTCTATTTTATTGTTTGAATATATAATAATAATAATTGATATGATTAATGATGTCGTATTGATGCAATTGTAATTTATTTACAATATCTTTATGGATATAATTGTTCCCATTTCATGCAATTCATCATGAATTAAATTTTATAATTATGGAATCTTTTAGATTTATAAACATCGTCATGATTTAACAAATAACAAATATATTTTGAACATATAATTTAACATATTATTTGCAAAATGATGTAATTTTTGATTGAAATTTGCTGGAAAGATAAAAAAAATTTTAATTGTTATATTGTATGGGGCTAATAGACTTTTTATTAATTTTAATATTAATGAAATATAAGTTAAAATTGAAGACATCAGGATGTATTAGTTTTTCTGAGAAAATAGAATGTTAAGTATTATGAAAGAGCGAATTTATTAATAGATTTTTAGTATGAAGGGCTATTGAAAAATTCGATTTAAAAAAAATATTTAAATCGGTCAAAATTTTTTTAAACAATGATTGTGATTTGAATAAATATCGAATTATCTATACTACAATTATTTTTCATTCAAATGCTGTTTGGCATTAATAATCATAATCAAGATAATTCCAATTTTATATACTTATTTACGGGCGCTTTAGCTAAAGCTTTAGCTAATTACAAATTGTATCTTTACGGATAATTCTAAAGCTTTAGCTAAAGCGCCCGTAAATAAGTATACAAAATTGTTAATTTTAGAATACGCTTACTGAAATAATTATTAGTTTAAGATAAAATATTACGCTGGCAATTAATAATTAATAATTTTAAAAATTTAAATGATATTTTTTCATCATTAATGTCTCAATTTCCTCTAGTTTTAAAAATATTTTTCAATAAAATTATTTAACAGGTATATATTATTATTTTGATTTTTTTATTAATTTCTCACATTTGATTAATCAAAACAAATTTAATCACATGTGATAAATCAAAATTTAA